TCTGCGAAGTGGAGTTTTATTCACGCATGTGGACCCAGGGGAGACAGTCTCCAAATTCTGGGCCCTGAGTTTAGGTTGGGGTTTGCTTATATTCTTGTTAAAAAGGCAAAAGGAGGAGGGGCAAGGAGTGCAGCTGCTGAAAGCGAGCATACAGAAGCAGAAAGCGAGAGTTAGTGTATGACCTTGAGATAACTGCTTATCTGGGAAAGGCTGCTGTCTGGGAACGGCTGCTGTTCAGCTCCTATCTAAGAATGGCTACTGCTCAGCTATGTCCTGTCACAGTAGGACCTGTAACACAGCATCCTACCTCCCCAGAATGCCCATACCAGTTAGGAATCTCCCTTTTAACTAATGTGTACAGCTTGAGTATTCTGTTGCCAAGTTTCCTTAAATGGTTGGAGGATTGCAGTGTTCATATCTCAGATTCTGAGATTTGAAGGTATAAGGATAAGAATGAGTTATTCCACTAGGGTTTTTATTTGGTTCAAAATTAAAATACACATGAGGGGTGGACTCTCTCCCTCTAGATTATATTTAGGACTGGAGGAAATAAGTATCACTTTGATGATTTGTGTGGTCTTCTCCAAGGCTGATACTTATAACCTTTGAAGAGTTTTCCTACCTCTAAGATTCTTTTTCTGCAGTGTCTCCTTTGCCCAAATTCCTCAGAAAGCAGCACAATGAGGGAGAGAAATGAGAGCTTGACTTTGGATTTTTGCAGTTTGTTTATGTCTTAAAACACCCGGGTTTCAGAGTTAGGTAGATTGGGGTCAAAGATTTGGTATGTAACTTTCAGAAAGTTACTTAAGCCTCAATTTCTCCATCTATAAAATGTGGTTAATTACATCTCCTTTGAAAGGGATGTTCTTTTAGTGCAATACTATAAGGAAGTGTCTAGTACAGCAGTTGGCACATGCCAAGATCTTAGTAAAGCTGCTTATTTCTCTCACTCTCCACCTTCACCCCGTCCATTGGAATGAATATCAAAACCATAAAAGTAAATTCATCTCTATTTTGCCATGTTCTTATTGAGCATTTTTTCCTGAATGTTTTAGGTTTGTCAATACTCAGCCAATGAATAGAGGTATTCACGTTACATGGATAAACATTGGTGTCCAGGTTCATCATCATGTGCGCCCTCTTGCTGTTATTACTGGACAGGTGACATTGACAAGTCAGAGTTCCACAGGGTCCCCTTTGGTCACCTACTGGGCAATGGGCAAGACTCTGAAGAAGCCATTCTATACACAGGATCCCATCTCAGGAAAAGTCCTCATTCCTCAGGGCAACTCAGCCACTGCTACTCATAAGCTTTATCTCAAAGCCAGAATCTGGGAGGGGTTTCCAGCAGTGGTTGGCTACCTACCCAAGAGCCAAATGTGGCCACTTCCTATTTTTATACCAGGGAGCTAAGAAAAATACTATATATTTTAACATTTAGAAAAAAAGAAAGAATGATGTTTCATGACATGAAAATTGTATGAAATTCAAATTTCAATGTCCATATACAAAGTCATGTTGGGATGTAGCCACACCCATCCATTTGTCTGTTACCTATGGAAGCTTGCATGCCTCAATGGCTGAATTCAGTAGCTGCTGCAGAGGCTGTAAGGCCCACAAAGCAATGTATTTACTATCCGGGCCTCTACACTGTTCACTGCCCCCTCTGGTGTCAAGCACAGACTCCAGTCCCTGGCAGCATCGTTCAGCTCTGTGTTGTTTCCACTGAGGCACCCTCCCTCAGCTTTCACTTCTTCAACTGAAGATGATAATAGCATCTATCTACCTCATGGGGCTTCATGGGAATTAAGCAAATATGTAAAGCACTTAGAAGAGGGTCTGGTGCATATTAAATACTATCTGTTTGTTGTTATTATTAGTTGCTACCTTTTTTTTTGTTCCATAAACTAAAGCAGCAGCAGCAACAGCTTGTCAATTTGCTAGCAATAACTGTAAAAATTTCATTTGTAGCACTCCAGTAAATAAGTTATTTTAGCAGTGGGGCAGTAGGAAGAAGTCTAACATCAGCTGAATGACAAGTAGCATAGTTGCTCATCCTCAAAGTTAATTCTGTATTACTTTTACATGCTAGCTACTTCTTTCAAACTTGAGCCTTCAAAGAGCTTACACTCAACTTTGAGTTTTGTCCTCACCATCCATTCTTCATAAGTATTTCTAGTTACTTCGTTCTGAAGAAACAGATAGCAAAGCAGAGGCCAAGGAACAAAATAAAGAACACAGAAATAAATTCACACACATACAATCAACTGATCTTCAACAAGAGAGCAAAAAATACACCGTGGAAAAAGGAAGCTCTCCTCAACCAATGGTGTTGGGAAAACCAGATATGTATGTGCAAGAGGATGATATTGCACCCTTATCTTACATCATCCACCAAAACCAGCTCAAAAGAAATTAAAGACTTAAACGCAAAGCCTGTAACTGTAAAACTCCCAGAAGGAAACAGGGAAAAGCTTCCTGACACTGGTCTCAGCAGTGGCTTCCCGCTGTGACACCTGAAGCAAGGGCAGCAAAACAAACCAGTGGGACCGCATCCAATCAAAAGGGACAGCAAATCAAATCAAAAGGCACAGCAAAGGGAGTAGCGGAATGAAAAGGCAACCCGTGGGAGGGGAGAAAATATTTGCAAACCATATATCCTGTAAGGAGTTAGCTTCCAAAATATATAAGGAACACCTGCAACTCAAGAGAAATAAAACTAATAACTTGAATTAAAAACAGGCTAAGGGCCCTGGCTGGTGTGGCTCAGTGCATTGAGCATGGGCCTGTGAAACAAAGGGTCGCAGGCTCGATTCCCAGTCAGGGCACATGCCTGGGCTGCAGGCCAGGTACCCTGTAGGGGGTGTGTGAGAGGCAACCACACACTGATGTTTCCTCCCTCTCTTTCTCCTTCCCTTCCCCTCTATAAATAAGTGAATAAAATCTTTAAAAAAGACTAAAAAAATTGAACTAGGGACTTAAATAGATATTTCAATAGACATTTCTCCAAAGAAAACTTCCAAATGGCCAACAGATGGATTACAAGGGGCTCAAAGTCACTAATTATCAAAGAAACTCAGATCAAAGCCACAATGAGATATCACCTAACACCTGTTAGAATGGTAATTACTAAAACATACATAGTAAGTGTTGGCAAGTGTGTGGAGAAATTGGAATTCTTGCAGATTGTTGGTGAGAATGGGGAATGCTGTAACCACTATGGAATACAATACAGAGGTTCCTCAAAAATTGAAAATAAAAGTACCATATGTTCCAGCAATCCTACAATGGATCCAGCCCTAAAAAAAGATTCCTGCCATATGCTACAACATAGATAAACTTCAAGGATGTTATGCTAAGTGAAATAAGCCAATTATAAAAAGACAAATACTGCATGATTGCAATTATATAAGGTACCTAAAATAGTCAAACTTACAGAAACAGAAAGTAGAAAGGGGCTGGAATGAGAAGGAAATTGTTCAGTGTGTATGGAACAATGAGGAGCTGTTCAATAGGCATAGAGTTTCAGTCATGCAAGATAAAAAGGTTCTAGCTCGGCGGTGGCAGTATTGTAGCCAATGAGGTTTACCACTGGCACAATTATTTTTCCCAATGTCCACTGTGACTACTTGAAATATACTCGACAATGGCAATTTCTGACAGTCTCTATGGAAACTGAACTTAAAAAAAATGATAAAAAGTTTCCAAAGATATAGTACAACACTGTGCACATAGTTAACAATACTGTACGCTTAAATTTTTGTTGAGATATGTTAAGTGTTCTTATCACAAACAAAAAAAAATAGGAAAAAACCCACAGAGACCATGGAACTCATAAAATATCTAGTGTACTTCGATGCTTGCTATAGTATTTGTAAACAGTAATCCCCTTTCTGAATCAAACACAAATCAAGTAATACATAGTTTATTTGATATGAGACAACAGGGACTATTGGAACTCTTTTCTCATAATTCAAGGCTTTCACTTTTGGACTTGGGGTGTCCAAGTTGGGAAGGGAGCTATACATAAGAGGAAAGCAATGACCGTGTGGCTTTCATTTTTTCTGTGCAACCTCACAGCAAATATTGTGAATCCTACTCATTAATGCATTGTAAAAATGTTAAGATTAAAAAAAATAACATTCTGCGAGACTGAAATTACGTGAATCAAAACCAAACAATCTCACGTCTGAATGGCTTCAGGCTGTTCAACTGGGTAAAGAGGAAATATGTGAGGTAAGGAAAACCATTTTTTCGGAATCACCTAAGTGAAATTCCAATCCCTGACCTTCCTGCGTATGTACCAGCACACTCTTCACTTGCTCTAAACTTTTCTGGTATAAACAGTAGCTGAGTCATTCTGGAGCGAGGGTTAGTTTGCCTAATTCATCCAGATACGAATTCAAATTCCTTTTCTAAGAACCATCTGGGCCAGGCTGCCCTGCCCTGCACGTCCCCTCCGTCCTCCCCAGGCTGTATCGTGCAACGCCCAGCTTAACCCCGAGAGATGACAAAGTCCCTTAGCGAGGAACCAGGCCGTTGTTGTTCAGGGAAAAGTGCAACCGCACGCCAAACACTCCCTTGCACACAGTTCCTGAATGTTATTACTGTTTTCCAAGGGAGCTTTCATATTTTGATCTTTCACCCACGCCTCCTTGCCTCACAGGCTCCTAAGAGCTGCCCTAAAGTATTCGGCCCCTCCAACAATACTGCACTCTGATTAGAGCCGGTCAGACCTGCCCAGTAAACTTGTTTAAAGTAAAAAAGTCAGAAAAACAGTCATATAGGAAGAAAAAATTCCCTGGGCCCTGTATAGATGTTGGAATGTACCATTCGTTCCGAAGGGAGGAAAATCCTAAGTGTGAACTAATTCGCAGGTCTTAAGTCCCTTACTGGATCTGGTATGATGCACGACCTGGGCTGGTGAAACATAAAAACAGAGTAGGACGCAGGCTGGGGCCCCAGGGCGCCGCAGAAAGTCGCGCGGGCCGCGGCTCCCGGGCGCGTCCCCCGCCGGTCCTCTTGGTGCGACCCGGGCGGCCCCGAGCACTGGCGGCTAGGTGGGGCGTGCAGGGCGGCGCCAGCGCAGTCTGCACCATGGCTTACCCCGGGCACCCCGGCGCCGGCGGCGGGTACTACCCAGGTGGGGTAAGTGCAGCTCGCGCGGGCTCGCGGCCCAGGCGCGACCCCCCGACGCCGGGGGCGCCCAGAGGACTCACTTTATGACTTCGCTGGGGCGGCTCCGCGGGCGCCTCCCGCCTCTGGCTTCTCCTTGCCGGCTGCCTCGCCCCTGGTCTTTCGACCTCTTTCTCTGCCTCCCTCCTTCTCTCTGTCCCCTTTGACTCACCACGGGTGGAATGCGGTTCCAGAAGCCCACCCAGCGACTCTAGGATACCTGGCTTGAAATTGTGCAAATTGGGTGTTGGCTTCCTCCTCCTCCTCCTGTGTTTTTTCTAAGAGCAACAACCATTTTAATCTAGAATGGTCCAGAGATCTACTTCTCCCTTTAAAAGAAAGTGAGAAAAAGAGGTCAGGGAAAGGCCGCCAGAGTAAAAGTCTTCCGGGAGGAAGGCCCCCTCGCCCAGCGTCTGGGATGCGCGTTGTCGTGGGAACTGTTTCCAAGACTGGACGTTCCCTCACGAGGAAAAGCCCGACCCAGACACACCTTACTCCTCCCTGGCTACACCTGCCCCCAAACGCGTTGAAACTACCGTGAAACTCTATAAGAGGATTTAAGCTTGGTCTTAAACAGCTTGTCTGGCTTGCATTTACTTCAGTAACCTGAAAGTTACCAGGATTTATGTAAGTTGCTTCACTTAACGCAGATGTCACCCACAAGACAATTCATTTTGGTCCAAGCCTCTCGTTTTTAAATTAAGGGGAGTGGAATGGAAGAAAGGAGCAAAGTGACTGCAGTTAGAGTGTGCCCGGTGGTGGGGCGGTAAATGTCTTGCTTTGCACAAAGACTTGCAGTGGTGAAAGAACAAAACTTGGTTCAGCAGAATGAAACTGAACTTGTGTTTTCTATCTTGCAGTATGGAGGGGCTCCCGGAGGGCCTGCATTCCCTGGACAAACTCAGGATCCGCTGTATGGTTACTTTGCTGCAGTAGCTGGACAGGTTAGCATTACCCTTTCATATTAAAGAGTCATCATATTCTACATTTGTATTAGTCTTTCTTATGGTGGCCAGGAAAACGACCTTTCCTCTGGAAAAGAATTGCTTTTCCAAAAGAAAAGAAGAGAGAAAGGAAATTTGTCAGTTACTTTTTTTGAATATCCAGAACAAATGAGGACAAAGTGTTACTGGTGTTATGTTAGTTCAGTTCAAAACTGAAATTGTGATTGATTTAGGGGCAGACTGAACACAATAGGGGATTGCTAATACCCTTTGAAGGTCTGTGAGGTAGAAAGATGTCTTTAGAACTGGATTGTCAGGGTCTAGGGTGGTTTCCAGAGAAGAAATTGCTGGTCTGGTGAGCACTATTTGTACAATTTAAATGCCTGTGCTAGTGATTCTGTTGCCAGGTTCGAAGGGACACTTTCTTTGGGTTGGATCTGTTAATCTCTTGCCCCCTTAGGAAATAGATTTTTATGGTAAAAAGCCACCAGCTTCAAAATAAGAAAGTTACTGCTCTCTTCTTACTATCAGGAAGTTAATCTTGTGAACAGTTTCTCTTTTGATGGAGATGCCGTTACTAGGTCAGCTCTTCTGTGTCCTCAGTAGGGGTTGTGGCCTGTTGACCCAAAGAGATGATTAAGGTCTGTACCCCAAGGTCCTTCACTTTTAAATTCTGAATTGTGTGACTTTTGGTGGTGTGCATTGAGAAAGGACACTTCCTTAGCCCAGGAGGTTGCTGTGTCTGCTCACTACGCTGTTGGTGTAACCCCGGTGTGTCCAGAGGGGATGGGTGCCCATATGAATTCAGTTTAGCTCTGTTTAGATAAAAAATTAGAAATAATACAACCTAAATGTGGAAATGCCATAGACCATATGGGATAAAAACCTAAGACCACCTTTTAGAATAGCATTCTAAGAAGTATAGTTTGAGAAAACTGGGTGGAAAGTTGACTCTAAAACTGAAAGGGCTTCCCTTTAAGTATCTGCTTAATCTGTTAATGATCCGTATCTTTGAAACCACAAGACACAGCAAAGCTCAAGACTCACATTCTTAGATGGCCTCCAGCCTGTAAGTGACCCCACCTGCTTAGCTTTCAGCAGCCCTGGCCTGTATCAGCATATCCACTGTCTTTCAAATTATTGACCCTGCTCTTCATTCAGAGCTTACAATACCTATGGACTTGTGAAATTAGGTATTTTATTTTTAACTTCCTAAAAATAACATATATTTAGTTCTGACCTAAGCCAGCCAATAAATAGGCACTTGGGAATCTGTATCTTCCACACATGCGTAGTTGTGACGTGAAAAAACCATTTGCCATATTGTAAGCAACCGTGATCACAAAGGTTTCTCTCTGAACCAAGCTTTTTATTTACTGATGTCAGCTGTGTGCCCTGCTTTCCCCTCCTAAAAAGCTAGAAAGAGGAATACGATTTTTAAGCAACTGCATAAATTATTTTATTTTAAAATGCTTAACTTTGGTATTTCCTCACTCAGAGTCAGAGAAGAGTAGTTCAAGACAGAAACTAGTTTTATTCATTCATTAAAACATATTAAGTATCAATGGAAGAAACTGAATGCACCTTAGTGTTTTATTGAGAGAGGAACCTTATACTTAGGAATGTTTATGCCAAATCTACCTCAGGAATTTAAAGGAGAGGGTGAAAAGATATTGCTAATATTAAAGTATAGGTGTAAGCAGCTTTCTGATTTGGTTAATTCTTGTGTAATAATTATTTAAAATAGAGTCTGAAATTGAACGCCCACTTAGATATTAAGAAATGCATTTTGATGGCCCTAATTATGCATTTGTGGAAGAGGATGTAACAATTTTTCTTTTATTATGGAATTATTTTTGGAAGTAGGATGAAGAAAAGAATGCCTGTTGTTGAAATGCATTCTTTAAAGTTTCATGCACAATAATACTCATTTTCTTGGTTATTATTGCTACATTGAATACTGAAAGTAAACAGAGAACTAGAAGGCTCAAATTATGATTGTGATTTTGTGATCTCTCTTCCTATGTTTGTTTTCAAAAGGATGGACAAATAGACGCGGACGAGTTGCAGAGGTGCCTGACGCAGTCGGGCATTGCTGGAGGGTACAAACGTAAGTTCACGGCCTTGAGGTTGCTCTAGAAGCACCCTTGCATTTCACATCCCAGCCGTTGCCCGTGATCACAGCCTTCAACATGTAGAATTTCAAAAGCTGCATTTGGTTTACTTCAAAACATGAATTTGAAATCAGTTTTTAAGAAATCATTCCACACTCCCTGCCAGTTTAGTGAGTTTCTTATTGGGTTCCACATATCTGGAACCATTCAAAGCAGGAACCACTTACATGGCTGGCCTCTTCATGGAGGATGAGTCAAAGGTGCTGAAATGAAATCTGCCAGATCAGGTGTCTTTAATGACAGGAGAATGTCCAACCTATAGAAAAGTTTTATAAGAGTTTATTCAAGCCAAAATTTTGAGGACTTGCCGAAAGCAAAATCTCAAGGGCCTGAGAACAGGATCCGGAGAATGGCAGTTTTGCATTTCCTCTTAGGTATTTTGAATCAAGGGGAAAAAACGTAAGGAAGGTACATGAAATCCATCAGTGGTAGATTAGGGAGGCCAGAGAAAGCAAAGTAGGGAAATCTCTAGGATTGGATAAAAGGCCAAGTAGAAAAGCACATGACTGTACATTGGTGGGCACAGGATAGTTAATAATTAACATTGGCAGCACATAACTGGTCCTTTGGGAACGAGGTAACAGTGAGGGCTTCTGTCGTCTCCTGCTCTGGTTTCTGAGTCACCCTAGGTATGTCACAGTGGACAAGGCTCATGTAAGGTAAAGACTGACCTTTGCTAAGGAAGATACATGTCTGGGTCATGACTTCTCACCTTGACCTGTCCAGTTAGGAATTTATGATCACTCAGACCATCCTGTGTGGTTAGTTTAGGTCACTGAGCATGTCAGACCTGTCCTCAATAGCTAACATTTACTGCTATTTGCTAATAAGAGCTTACTTAGTCCCCAGCCTGGTGGCCAAGAGCTGTGAGAGGCTGGTCTTGGGCACTTTGTCCCCGAGTGGCCTGCCTGCACTCCTGGTTCCGATGGCTGGGCTTGTCCTTCACCCGAGTCCTCAAGGAGCCAGTTGTGCTAGCTGGTCTCTAAGAATGCCACTGGCACCTTGAACGCTGGCCATGACATTCCTAGGTCTTCCCTCTTTCTTTCCCCCTTCCACCTCAGAGAAAGTGTTCTGGTTGAGTAGGACCTTCCCTCCTAATTTCTAAACTCGCTACGCTAGTTCTCCTTTCCCCTCCTCCCCAGTTCCTCAGACTGCATCTGCTGCTCTGTAACACCACTTCCTGCCCTTTGCGCTCTGCTGCAAGCTGGGGACTTGGAGCTGTTGCAGACATGCTGCCTCCCCACTTCGGGCTCCACATTACCCCACACTCGAAGACCTTCTGCCTCTTTTCAAACCAGATCTTGACCATGACAGATACCAGGGTAGACAGTAGTGTACTGACTGAGGTCTTTAGCTGCCCACTACTTTGCCCTTTGTTAATTGAGGCAGAACATCAAATCAAAGCCCTTCCTGGTAGACTGTGAATTAAAATGCTCAAAAATTCACCCCTGAGGATTTATAGTGGCGTTTTTTGACTGTTTGACATGGGATGTTCACTAGATGGCTCTCTTTTTAAACTCTTTGCATCTCTGTTTTTATCCTTTGTGTTATATAACTTCATCGCCCTATTAATATTTCTCTTTGGGGGGAATTAATACAAAAGAGGAACCTTTTGCATTTCTGTCATTTGATCTGGTCCTAACCAAAAGAAGCACTTTCTAGATCAGGGGATTTTTTTTGTTGTAGGCAGTGCATTTAAACTGTTAACTGCTAACCTCAAGCAGTCGGGTCTGGTGAACAGAGAGGTCTAACAACAGTGGTCACAAGAGTGAGCTGTGTCACAACGCGCGTATCATTCCACACTCCCTCAGTAGAAGTGTAGTAGATTTTAAAATCTGACTAACAAAGTGGCTTGTATATCCTCAGAGAGTAGTCTTTTAAGCCACACTTCACCACGGCTGTAGACCATTGAGCAGTGGAGGAGACATTTCCTGGTCATCGGGGTGTGTGACTGAGCTCATTTGTTTATGCCATCTGGTGGTGGAGGCCGAACTGAACCACAGAACCTTCTGCTGCAGAGGCGTCGGACTGGGTTTTGGGCTACAGTACATTCGTGGGTGTTTCACACCCAGCTTCCAAACTAAAACAGCACAGACAGGGCATGGGGATGTGCCCCAGCTCAGTATCTACAGACACTTTTTAACCTGTTTAAAAGGAAGCAGCCACATCTGGAGGTGGAGCTGATGAGGACAGTTGCTCTAGCTTATGAGACATTAATTCAGGTCCTCTTCTCCCCCTCTAGTGTTGTTGCTCCCCCAGCGAGCGCCCTTGAGAGAAGCAACTGGGGGTAGGGCTTTCCTGCTAGGTCTGTGACATCGTGAGTTTCTACTAGAAGCGAGATGTTGGAGGCATTCTAGTGCAATGTGTTGGAGGAAGAGAGTAAAAGTAAAATTATAGTAAAGATTATTTCAAAATTATTTAAAATAGAATTAGTATTAATAAAAGGTTTCTCTGGGGGAAATACAAGTAATATTAAGCAAGAGTTTCCTCACCCATGCTTATTAGACATCAGCATTCTCACCCCTAGAACTGTCCAGAATGGTGAACTTTCTATTTGGTCACTTTTGTTAACTGCCCATTGCATTTCCTCCCTTTTAAACACACACACACACACACACACACACACACACACACACACACACGCGCGCGCGCGACCAGATTTCTGTTGTCCCTGAAACACAGCTCTGACTTCTCACTCTCCCCCTCTCAAAATCTTGAGTAGCTCTATGATGCCTGTAAAGTAAAAGGTAAATGGTTTATCAGGAATTCAAGATCCTCTGACTTAGCCTCATTGAAATGCACCTGCTTCTTCCCACTTCCTTTGTCTGCCCTGACTTTCCCGCTTCTCTTGGCTTATGTTGGCCTGTAGCTCTATTTGGCGGTCACCAAATGTCCCCTGTCTTTCTGTCATTCTCTCTGGCTTAAATGCTGCTTCTATGAAGTGTTTCTTACTAGGAAAGAGCCTGTAAGTTACCTCATTGCATCTTACTCCGGAGCACTCTTACTTAACACACAATTCTAGCGAGTGTATTTATCTAGTTTCATATAGGAGCTTATTGTGCATGGAAAGACATCAGGCAATTTGAGGTAGGAGGTTACTGTTCAGTGCTTGACATTAAAGGGAAAAGTAAGAAAAATATGATTAGACAACTAGCAAACCAGCAATCTATAGTCAATTAGGAGTAGCAACAAAGCACCCCTACCTTCCTACTCACCATGCTGGATGTAATATGTGGTTCATTATGTTGAATTGAACTCACTCTGTTACAGTTTCGAAGGTAAGAAAGTATATAGTGTTTTTAAAAGAATATGATGATAGAAAGTTTAAGCCTGTCCAAGAATATGGATAATTGTACAGTGAACTTCTGTAACCATCACTCAGTTTCAATAGTTAACACTGTGTTGCCATTCTTATTTCATCAATGAACCTGCCCCTTTCCTTTGGAAGCAAATACCAGATTTCTTAACGGTCATTTTGTGTACAAATAACTTCAGTGTATACTTTTCTAAAATATAAAGACACCTTTCCCCCCAACTTGAAAACCATAATGACACCTAAAAATACTGTAACAGTACTATGCAATGCCTTTTGTAAAATATCTACTTCAAAGTTCCATATAATTTAGTTCCACATAAGTTGAGTAGCATATAAAAATGAAAGTGTATAAATCATACTCTTAATTTGAAGGTATCTAATATAATGTGAATTTTAAAAATTGTGTTGATGTGTATGTACTCTCTTGATTTAACAGCTTTTAACCTGGAGACTTGTCGGCTTATGGTTTCAATGCTGGATGTATCCTTTACCTTGATTGCTGCTTTGAGTATTTTTTCTTGTCAAAAAAAAAAAATCCTCCCTAAAGGAATTCACCTAAGAATTAATACCTGGTAAACACAGTGACTAATGACAAAAAATATTCTCCCCAAACCATTAGCTTTTAAGATGGAATTTGGAGAAAGGAAGGAAGCTCAGTAACTAGAATGGTGGTGGTTCAAGAACCGAAGGAAGTGTCCCAGGAGAACAGCGTAGAACCTGAGCGGTCAGGGAAGCTTCTGCTGTAACGGTGGTCGCTCCGTGTGCCTACCCCCTGACCTTCCAGCAGGGGGGTTTCACGGCGCAGAGGTTGGACTCGGTTTAGCGAGTGCTGACCCCACACTGCCTTCCATCCCACCTCCTTCCCAGAAGTGACAAGCCTGGGTCTGGGGGGGCTTCCCGAGAGAGGGTGAGAGCCAAGAGCACCCCAGGACGGAGAGTGAGCAGCCTAGCCTGGGGCACCCCCAAGGTGGGGTACAGCCCCAGTAACAAGGGTGCTTTCTACCTGAGGCTCTTCCTGTCATTTCCTTGTAATCACATCACATAGACTAGCTTTTCTCCCACGATGAAAAGATGTTCTCAGAGCTTTTTCTCTACTTGCCCTGTTTACTCTATCATTAGTGTGTCTTTTTATTATACCATACCAACAAGAACGTGTAACATTTGTAACCTCTTTAGCAGCAAGAACATTAAATTTCCTTACCATTGATCTTTGATTAAATCATTAGACACTGTTGCTCCCCCAAAATGCTGTCTTCCTTAATGGCAGTGCAGAGAGATCTGTCAGGCACGATGGGTTTCAGTGAATTTAAGGAGCTCTGGTCTGTCCTGAATGGCTGGAGGCAACACTTCATGAGTTTTGACAGCGACAGGAGTGGGACAATAGACCCTCAAGAACTGCAGAAGGCGCTGACAGCAATGGGTGCGTATGGGGAGGAGCAGTGTTTTTCTAATTTCTAAAACTTAAGTGCTACATGAAGGCAGTTTCTATATTCTAGAAGTATGGTGTGTTCATAATTCAGAGGAGTACCACCAGTCTTAAAAAATTGTGCTTGATTATTTCTGATGATCTTTCTGTAACCCTTTAACACTTCTGGCTGGATGGTTTTTCTTCCTCTCAGGATTTCGGTTGAGTCCCCAGGCCGTGAATTCAATTGCAAAACGATACAGCACCAATGGGAAGATCACCTTCGATGACTACATCTCCTGCTGCGTCAAGCTGCGTGCCCTCACAGGTGGGTGTGTTCCTTGGGAGGGTGTCAGCACCAGCCCAGGAGACACTAATTTTCATAACATCTTATTTCTCAGTGCTTCTGAACTTTTATTGTCCTAGTCTTTTTTCCCCTAACTTAAGTGTCTTTTTTATTAACATTGCTATTAAACTTATCTAGCAGAATAGTAGTTTTGTTTTTTTTTGTTTCAGAAATTTGAGATTTGTACATGATCTGCCATTAAAGAAATCCTAACTACATTTTACTGAAATGTTCCAAAACATAACAAACTAATTTTGATCAGAGTATGAGCACTATTCTGTGATTTCTTCCTAGTATTTGAAATATTTGAAGAGTGAAATTACTCATTCGTAGTGCTCTTTCCTATTTCTCCCTGACAAAGTAATTTAAAATAGGGGTCATCCGTGACAGGTGTATTTCTTAAATGATGAGATGTCAATAGTTGGTATACGTTTCTATTCCCTCTATTCTTTGTCTTTCCTTTGTATATCTTTTCCTGTTCCATTCCTCTCTCTTTACTCTTTTTTAATATCGGGTTTTATAGTTTTTACTCATCCTAACAAAAATTAGTGGGCAGATTATTTTATCAAAGAAAATCCTTTCCTCGAACCAAAGCATCACAGGTTCGATTCCCAGTCAGGGCACATGCCAGGGTTGCAGGCCACGGTCCCCAGCAACCACACATTGATGTTTCTCTCTTTCTCTTTCTCCCTCCCTTCCCTCTCTAAAAATAAATAAATAAAATCTTTTAAAAAAGATAAGCTAGAAGAATATTTATTAAAAAAGAAAAAAAGAAAATCCTTTCCAATAGGGCAGAGCTCAGATGAGTGGAACATTTTGTCACAGCCGATTTTTCATAGTAGGGACTCTACCCACTCTCTCCTAATGTGATATAAAGAAGTTTGAATTTCTGTGCTTTCATCAAAATTAAGTAATGGCCTCAGAAGTTGCACAGGTTTTACCTACTTTGGGTAAGGTATTTTCTTCCAGCTCTACATTGAAAAAGACAATTAGCCAGTTTCTGCATGTTGTATATTATTTCTATTCATACTCACATAGTTGGCTTCTCTGCTTTGATGTTTTGGTTATGTTGGCTGGTTGTACAACTTAAATGTTACTGCATTGTGAACCCAAAGTGAAAACAGTTAACTATTGTGAGTTCATATAAGATGTAAAAAAAATTTTTTTATTGTTGTGTTTTACAGACAACTTTAGACGACGGGATTCTGGGCAGCAAGGTGTTGTGAATTTCCCGTATGATGATGTAAGTCTCAGTAGACTCAGAACTGAGTAGATGAGTAAGATGTGCACCAAATGGGTACCCCTTTTAAAGTTAACCATTAGAGCATCTTCAAGATGCAGAGGAGCGCAGGCTTAAATGATCAGAAGGAGTCACTATTAAAAACGTATTGATTTCATTTGTTACTCATCGTACCCATACATAGACCACTGTTTGCTCTGCATTAAAAGACCTGAGTCAAAGCCCAGATCGTCCCGCTCATCAGCTGGTCCCATAGGCAGGTTTCTGTGTTGCTCCAAGACTGTTTGGGGGAAGAGAAAGTAGTGACAGTGCCCTCTGCCCTGGGCTGGTGTGAGACTTCAGTCTGGAGTGGCCTTGAAAAACATTGTGCACATGTTGTATCTGTGTTTGCATTCTTCCCAGTCACTGAGCAGTGACTTGAATGGCTCAAAACTGCGTTTGACACACCCGTGTCCTTCACTGGGGACATCAGGCGCAGACTTAGGTCACAACTTAAAACAGTGCATTTACTGAACGAACAGCCATGCTGAATGAGGCAGGCTAAGGCCATGTCACAGTGTGAAGGTAACCAGAGGCCATCTTCAGTGGCATTTGCTGGACGTACTTAACAGAGTTAGGGGGATGTTTACTTGTTTCCCCATTTTTGGCTTTAAATTGCTTTTTGTAAAAAAATTGCTTTTAGAATAGAGTCACTGTGATAATTGAATGTACTAAATGTTTTTCCATTACAAAAGACAAAGATGCATGTGTATATGGCTTAGCAGCTGCTGAAGTTGCTAAGTGAATACACTTTTAAAAGGTTTGGGTGTAAATATGTTTACTTTTCCTGCTTAAAGATGTGTTCTCTTTAGTGTGCAGCTTCTCGGGTGACAGTTTCGTCACTGTTTCCAAAGATGTAGAATCAGCCTGTGGAGTGGAAAGTGCACAGGCTTTGGCCTCAGACGCAGTGACTGAAGAGAAACCTAAACATCGTGACCTTTAGTTTCCTCTTCCCTGAAATAGGGACAGATGGGCTTGGTCTTGCAGGAATGCTACGAGGGTTAGCAAGTTATCCCTGGTGCTAGAATAGTGAAAAAGAAAATCGATAAGAAAATGCAGTCTATTGTTGTGTGTTTAGTGGTGAAGCAAGGGAATATTGCACAGCACATACTGATGCTTCTAAACTAGGTTTCTGAATTGCAGAAGGGTCAGATACTCTGCTTCTGTGCGCGCACACACTTGCATGCTATGATTGCATTAGTTAAGTAGATTGTAAAGGAATTGACTATTTAAAGGAGCTTCGTTAGAGTGATGGAGTAATCCTGTGTAGTGCGGAAGCCTCCATGTGACATGAACATATGAACTCACCTGTTATTTCTGTTTGTGAGTAGGTTCCTTTGATCATGCCCATTTCTAGAGTCTTTTATTTATTTATTTTATTAGAGTCTTTTATTTCTAGAGTCTAGATATTATTTGGAATTTAAACAGTTCTTCATCCATTGGAGTCAGATCTGCTCCCTGTAAGCTTTGATGTGAGGAACCCCAAACGACCCTTTCCATATGGCATTTACCCTTCTTTTATCACGGACTTTTTTGAAATCCATAGTTCAGATTAGCATACGAAAAATGTAAGCTACCTAAAAATAATGCAGGGTGTGCCAGGATCTGCGGTGTAACGCTGATGCCCCTCTCTTTCAGTTCATTCAGTGTGTCATGAGCATTTAAACCGAGAGGAAGCGCAGACGCGTGACCGACATTCCCCCGGGAGTTCTGGCTGGCTCTCGCCCCTCGCCTGCAGGAACGCATGGGAACTTGCCTCGCCACTTGTCCTTACCAGTTGCTGTGAAAGTGTATTACTTTATGTACCTCTGTAGTTTTTGTTTTCAGTTTAGATAATAAAGTCTGAAATTTTATTAAGATCAGTTCTGCTAAACCATTTAGAATTTCCTTGAGCCACTGTCATATGCTTTATTTTCTTGCTAAACCTGTTTTATGTAATTGCAGGCATGCAAAGTGTTGACGGCACGTTATAGATTTTCCATTGCAAGATACTAAAGCCTTTTCACCAGGCCACAGCCGTGGTCATTCCTCTCCTAGAAGGGCTTTTGCATGGTATTGAAAGCTTGATGTGTGGAGCATTCTTATCACGTAAAATGGTTAGACCTACTTGGATACAAAAAAGACCGTGGTGACCCAGGCCAGGGTTCACCTTCATGGACACTTAGCACAGGCTGTAGGGCTGACAGATGTCTTCATGGCTGTGTGAGTGGACAGGACCATGAGTGACTATTTTCTGCCTTTTGAAAACCTACTGAATAATGTGAGTGGCAAATACTGTCACCAAGATCTTGTTATCATCCACATAGACCTTTGTGAATCATCCTTAAAAACTTTGTACCTTACGAGCTTAACTATGTAAAAAAGAAAGTTAATAGAAAAAGACTAAGGGACTATATGAAAATTTTAACTATGATTATTTTGACTAATAGAATTCCAGGTGATTCCGTTTCCTTTATGCGTTTCAGTATCCTCTGGACTTCATATAATGTGTGCTCCCCCTTTAAAAACAGATGTTAATTTTTTAAATACTGATGCTTCCATTTTGATATGCCCCGTGTCCACACACTGACAAGGACAGCAGAAGGTCTGGAAAGAGTGCACCGAAACGTGGACGGGACTGCCTGCCCCTGGGAGGCAGAGTCCTGAGTTCATTTTCTTCCTGCTGCTTTCAGAAGGTTCTCTGATAAGCAAATATTACATTTATACTGGAAGATTTCCTATTTTATAGAAAAATTGTAAACCATGAGCTCTTAAGTAACATCTGGATTCTAATGCTGACTGTGCCTCTAATGATATATGTGGTTTGATCATTTCAGATAATCTCAGAGCCTGAGTTCCCCCATCTTTGAAAAGGAGATAACTCTTAACCTCCTGGGATAAATCTGAATATGAAAAATGTGTTGGTATAATAAACACCAATAATGTTTCTGTTTCTTGCATTTAAAGCTAGCGTGATTTGCTGTTTTTGCAAGAGAGCTTAACAGATAAAATAATGAAATTAGTCTGTTTTCTCCCTGCCAACAGCAGAATCCCTGTCTGACCTTAGGGCACAGTGTGACAGCTACCATTCCGAGGTCAACCAATGAAAATAAAAACATTTCTAAGCATCTTTAGCCACCTTTCCCTAGTTATTTTTTTCAAATACTGCTAATAAGTATATATTCATTCTATACATATTTATGTAACCCTAACTGAGTGTTTACGGCACATAGTCCCCCCTGGCTGTACATTACAGTGGAGCACAGTCTGCTTCATACAGGGTGGGGCAGAAGTGGGCTTACAGCTGTGAGTACGTGGAAGAGTTTATTCTCGTATTATTTATTACTGTATTTTCCATACGAACACCTGTATGCCTGCTTTTGCCCCACCCTGTGTACATGGCGAGTATAGGTTCACTCCAGACAACATCTGAGGCCACAAAGCTTGGCTTTCCAGAAAAGGGCCCAGGGGACCAGGAGGCAGGGACACCCTCAGTCCCAGTGCCTGCTCTGTGCTCCGAGCTCACCAGGCTCCTCTGAGGAAGTCACAGCTGAAGGGAAGGGTCATTTTCTGGATGACTGTCGTGGTAAGGAAGAAAACCCTTGCAGGGCTATGGGCCATATCTGCTTTGATAAGTCCCGAGGTGTGCTGCACCAGTCATGGTTCTGAACTTGCTTTCGGTTAAGTGCCAATGTACTACAAAACCATGTCTCTGGAAATACTCAATTCAGTTTTAATTATTGATACTTTGTAACAAGTCTCCTTACCTCCTCCACATCTACTTTCACTGTTTCTTTCCGAAAGCCTGGAGCCTAGTCTTCAGCACATCCCTGCAGTTCGAGTTTCCCTCCCGTCGGCAGATTTGATGTATACATCCCTCCTTTAATTACACCAAAGTCTTCATTACAAGTGAATCTCGTGTTGCCTTATTTCTATCTGATGTTGGGTTCTGTGTTTCATTCACTACAGACTCCCCGTGCAACCTCACCCACTTCTTTACACCCGCTTCTTGGTCTGTCTTCCTTAAAGCATGGTAAAGCTATGAAGTCAAACCTCAGTACTTCCATTATCCGGAGAATTAAGTTCCTCAGATCACCCCACCTCAAGATTTAATTTAATTCTACAGATGTGTGCTTTAGCCTTGTGCTTCAAGAGGTCCACTGCCATAGGACGTGGCCACCAGGGGCCTGACGCCCCCCTGGGGACGACTGGCACAGCTCTCACACAGCAGTCACAGCTGTCTCCTGTTCAGCCAAAGTGGAGCCCAGGCCCCACTTCCGCATGACGTTCCGGGTGGTGCCATCGGTCCGGGAGCTGGCGTGTGAGCTAAGACTTCTGCTGTCTCTGCACTAGACTTGGCTTTCGCTCAGCTGAGTGGGTTCATTTCAGTGTTCACCTCAATGAACTATTACATATGCCTAAAATATTATTAATACAAGAAATGGAGCTCTGTGTAATCACCATAAATTTTTATTCATAATAAATGTACAAGCCCTTAATCAATGACTTCTATTCTTCTCACATATAACTACTTTTTTCTTCAGCAGACTAAGAGCTAACGGCAGGGGAAGGAGCAAGTGCCAGGGCAAAGACTGGTGGGCAGAATGGCTGCCTGGGGGACCATGGAGTGGCCAGATGGAACAGTTATTTAGACAATGAACGCATGAACTCGAACTGAACCTCCCAAGGCCCGTGGCTTTTGAGTCTAGCACAGGTGAGCTCACTTAGCACCACCGCCTGGGCTCTAGGTCAGGGTGGGAAGCTGATCCTTGTTAGGACCGGAGAAAGTGCAGGAAGAGGCAAAGCAGGTGGGTAAATGCAGGAGGCCCTGCCAGCCACCCAGCTGAGGAAATTGTCCAAGAAATCGAGCATTCAGCCTTCAGCACAGGACCACTGTATTTCTTACAGTGCTCATGGTCCCTCCTGGACAGTGGAACAGAAAAGAAAACCCCCAACATTGTTCCCACAAAGCTGACAGACAAGCAGTGGCTGGGAGGAAAATAGGATCAAAATAACACTGGTCTTGTATTGAAAGTCACTTTATTGATGTTACAAGGAGAGTAACATAGAAAACCATGGTATCTTATGAGCTTCAGAAGTGAATACTAATAAAATTGTGCCAGAAATTTGAACCTCGAGTTACAGTAACCTTTAAAAACAGCAAGATTTTTGATAACCTACAATATAAGAACTTGATAACTTGAACAGCCATAAAACAAATCACACTTGCTCACGAAAGCAGTTGCCATACACATTTCAGTTGGTGTTTGCCAAAACCCAGTTATTTTTAAAATAGCTGAAGAACCTGAAGTGCGGAGAGGCAGAGAGAACAGAATGTGCAGACAAAGCCGATCTAAGATATGCACGCTGATGACCCGGTTACCAAAAGTGAGGCCACGCTGCTATGGACACTTCTCCACAAAGTACTGCCACTCTGTGGATGGGCCGTCACCCCTGGAAGATGACAGATGTGGAAAGCACTGCCACAGACCTACACTGGCTAGCGTACAAACTGCCATGTTTAGGGAGAAGGTCCAGTTTCTAACAAGTTGTCTGTCTGTAGGGGATGCTATTGGGGCAAGTCTCTCCCAGCAGGTTAGGAAAGGAGTGCATGCTTAGTTATCCTGAATAAACCTCTACCATTAAGCACTTTTGAAGCTAGTGTAAAAAGTAAGTCTTCCATATAAAACAAAAGTCTTGGATCATTTTACCCACTAAAAAGACTGTGGAATCACAGTTTGATTTTTGTGCTGGATTAGAAAAGAAAGTAGGGTTTCTAATTAGGCAGTGATACATGTAATTTAGCAGAACTCTTGGATTGTTAGTAAATATATTCATATCAGCACTTTCTGTATTGTTACCTGGTATAACTTAGCACCTCTGTGTTTAAAGATTTGGGGGCTATTTTCATTATTTTAGAGCTTGACCATAAAAACAAACCCACATCTGAAACTACAAATAGGCTAGGCCCTATAGTCAATGTAGATTAGTATTTGGGGGCGGGGGTGTTTGTGTTTGAGAGGAAAATGTCCTTTTCTTCATAAACTGAAAACTTTATTTTTTAAATGCATTATTTTAACAAGATTGCTAGTCTCATTGTATGCCTTTTTGTTAAAAAAGAAAAAGAAGAAACACATTTTCCCTGGTTTTGACTGCAAGGATTCCTACAAACATGAAATGACAATGCTCTTGAGTAAAACCTTTCCAGCCTAGAAGCACCTCCCGGTACGATGCAGGCTCAGTGCCGATGCGACAGGAAGCAGTGACTGGCTCATCATGGACTGGACCGTGAAGTACTTGTAAAGCCAACACTGAGTAAAACTGCAAACCATGCAGCTCAGTTGCAGGCACTTGGCACCTCTCTCCCTGCCTCACCCCAAGTGCCTGCCTGCACCGTTAGCTTTGGAGCTCTGTGTGGCTCTACGTTCTGCTCCTCTGCCAGGACTAAACACCCCAGGAGCCCAAGGCTGTCTGTAGCTTGTTGGTGCAGCTTATCTCCCCTCCATCCAGAAACAGTGCAATCCACGCCCAGGTGCCCAGGGGAAAAGGCTACAGGTGCCTCTACCCCCAGTTCAGCATTTCTGTGGTTCTCCCAAGTGGCCAACACAGGCACCAAAAAAAAAAAAAAAAAGGGAAACTCACCTCTATGACAGTGAAAGTTCCTAGTCAGGAGGAAAGGGCTGACAGCTACTGAAGGGGGAGCGACTTCGGAAGTAGGAAGGGTCTGGGAGAATCTCAAACCCCACAGCAAGAATGCTGACTGTCAGGCTCTGGATATAAGGGAGAAAAGTACTAAGCAGGTTTTTATTTGTTTTTGAATGTTGTTTTTCTACTTGGAAGCCGAACAAGAGGATACTCCATTCTAGGGCTCTGACAAAATGATAAATAAAATGTGACCAGAAATATTATCCCCTAGTATCTAAAGTCTTGTTGGATCTTTGTTTGTTCGGCACCTGTAGGTGTGATGGAAAAGCTCCTCTGGCAATTAAAAGCACCTGACCACAGAGCATATGCTATGAGCATGCGCCAACATTTCCCAGCAGGTGTGGCTGTTCCACTCACCCGCCCCCACCCCCACCCCCGCACACACACAGCAGGGTAAGCTGCTGCCTTTCAGCCCATTTTCACAAGAGCAAGCTGGCTACTTGGTGCAATAATCAGGGGAGCTGTTTATCAAAGTCCTTAGCTCACCCCAAGCCAGAGAAAAGTTGCATCCAAAATCAGAGTAGTCTTACCAATTCAGAAAATATTTCAGAGGGGAAAAATAAAAAATCTGAGCCCCGAGTAAAGCTCTATTCCATATAAATATGTGCTGCTTATATATTTTAAGCTACTAAATAATGAGAATGAGAAATTCATCTTGACTCCATTTAAGAACAAAAGCATGTGGGTGGCAGATTTAGAGGAAAACATAAAAGTGAAAGGAGGAAGATCATTAGGACTAGGATAAAAAGTAGACATTATGCCACAAATGGGAGTCAGAGCGTTTGATACAGAGTTCCTGCCGACTTACCAGCCGGCAGGACGGCATGAACGTGCGTTGCCCGGGGCGGCCCCAGCAGCAGCCCGTGGGGGAGCCCTACCTCCTCGGGCCTGGCCCAGCTATCTCCTCGCCCCTCCCGCCGGCACCGCTTCTCTCAGTGCTGCGCTTCGTTCTCCCGTATCCTCTGCACGCCTCTCGCCTCTCGGTAGCCTTCCAGAAACTTCCCTCTCCTTCAAGTCATATGAAGTGAAATAAAATAGTCTTCTCTTTAGGTTAAGATTTATTATTATGTTAAACAAAACAAGGATATATATATTTAAAGCACTAAATATATGTTAAAATAGAACTATATCACAGCAAAAGATGAAGAATAGATGAAATAAATGAATAAACCTGATTTTGAAACAGTGAAAGAAGTGAATGGCAATGCCGTATTTCCTCTGGCCCATAGGGAACTATGGATAACAAAAGTATAAAAAACAAAATCTACAAAGATAAGAAGTAGCCCCAAGAGATTTGACCATGGACAGGATTAAATTTTGCAAATCTTCAAGGGAATCAGTGAGAGAGTGAGGGAAAGGTAGCTTCTTTCTATGGAAATGTGCAAAATACCTAATTCTGTATTTTCAGCAACTTATTTTATAAACCTTATCAATCTTATGTTCAGAAATCTATACTGGACTGACCTTATGTATAAACCCTATTTTAAAATCCTTTTTAAAGCAAGGGGAAAGTGAGAGAGAAGCTTTTATCCCTTAAGAAGCACCTGTATCAAAATACGTTTGTCATTTTAACCTTACATTTACTTAGTCAACTTTCTTTTTAAAGAAATAGTTCCTTAAAAAAAAATTCAGCAACTGCAGCAAACTGAAAGCCCTTGTTATGCTGTACTGCTGGTTTGTTCCGGTCCACAGAGTGCAGAACCTGGGGCTGGGGGACCCGGCAGAGCTGGGAGACGGTGGTGACTGGGGGTGGGGGGGGGGCCACTTCCTGTCTAGAGGGATTGGCCGTGCACAGAGATCAGTTACAGTGATCCCCGATCCCACAGGGCTCCTGGTTCCCCCTCCCCTCCCCTGGTGTCACTCTTAGGAGAGATGTAAATGTTTCGTTTGTGTTTCCTTACTGATTTTTACCTTTATTTAGGTTTTTTCCTTCATCTATGTATATCATCACGTGGTTTTTCCCCTTTAATCTGTTATATGGTAAATGAAGACCTCATTTTCATAAGCAGCTTTGTGTCCTTAGGATAGAACTCACTGGGTTATAGTATGTTTCATTATTAAGTGTTTCTTTAAATTAAATTGTACTACACTGCCATGACTATGGGTTGAATGGAATATCTTGGGCAGTGGGGTTGTCAATCCAAAGTCTCACCCACGCACAAAACTCTGGAAGGAGAGGAAAAAGGCATACAATGGGACAGGAAGGCCAGGTCACCGCTCTTCTCTGTGCAGCACGCCAGTCCCTCCGGTGGACTGGGGGACATAAGCATTAGTGGCATGACACAAACGGCTATGTGGCCTCCAAGTCCCTCTCCAGAGTAGATATTCTGAAAAGTAACAGTGATGTTGTGCTTATGTTTGGTGTCATGAGCCCCTTCTCCCTGCCTCCGTGGTGAAAAGTCATAGGTATTTACACTGAGTACATCCGGAACACCAACACATGCCTCTTGAAATTACCCACTAAGATGATAACCTTGCCAATGAATTTTGCAAGTGGCTGTAAGAATGCTTAACATTCCTAGATACATTAAATACTGACAATACAACATTAAAGCTCCTATAAAATCATAATCTCTCTGCAAATAAAACACTTTCAGTTCCATATGAAAGTTATTACAAGGAAGATGACTACGTCACTCAAAAGGTACATAATAATGATTTCACTTCAAATAATAATTTTCATGTAAAATAACTGAGAAGGTGAGAAAAGGGGGAGATCTGTGATTATGTAGCTATCCATTTGCGTGCGGATTCTTTCAAATTAGGGTTGGTGTAACTGTAGCTAGGGAGCATATATACACCAGGTACCTTACATTCAAATCTATAAACTCTTTCATAGTCAAAATAAACCTTATAGCATTAGCATTTTATACACTCAACACCAGAAAACATTCAGTACACATTACAGTGACCTTGGTCAAAGCCACTTTACCTGCTGTACCTTTACACCCATCTGCCCCCCTGTCCTCGGCTTGCCCTAGGTGGCCGTGTCACCAGCACTCACCCAGACCTTAGTTAGATGGATCGTTTGTATTGTTTTGTTTCATTTTTGTAGTCTCAAGAGTTACATCCCTTCTTGCCATAAAAATGCTGTTTATACTTTAATAATCTGGCTGATCAAATTGATGTACACACATCTTCGAAGACTTTCAGAAGAGAGATGATGCACTGGGAGACAGAAACACGGTGAGCCTGGCCATCCCGGGAGATTACATGTAAGAATGAAATGCACTTTGTCCATGAATTGGTTGGAGAGAGTTCTGCAACCTTGTCTGCGGATCCCATTCCTCTCAAGAAGAAGGAGAGGAAACGAAGAAACTCAGAAGTCCTCTTCACATCCAAGCATCTGGTGGATCCCACCAATTTCTGAGCTCACCCAGGGAGTCTCCTTAGGAAAGTTTTCTTTCAGAATGACAGAGCTGCACCGTGATGGCCATCAAACTCGGGTTTTGAAGAAGGGGCTTTCACAGAGATTTCTGAGTTTTCTATGGATTAAAAAAATTTGGAGCTCAAAACGTCTCTCCCAGCCAGCTGTTTGGGTGACTTCGCAGTGGCTGCACACTTGCGGCTTTAGATTTCTTTTAACCCTCTGTGGCCTGTTGAGGCTTCCCCCCCCAGCTGGTGGAACCTTCCCTCATCTCGCTTCCAAGTCAGTGCAGAATGACCGGTTGGGACTCAAGCATCCACTAAGGATAAATATCCTTGGTGAACAGTGTGAAAGTTGTTTCTATTGAAATCAGTCATTCACTTCACAGATAAGGGTGGCTACCAGTTTTGTTAAAGACCAAAACTTTAGGCCACAAAGGGTTACAGTATTGGCAAATTGGGAGCCACTAATGCATCCACAGCCTGTGGTCTCATCTATTCTGGATGAACTTGCTTAATCTCAGTGGGAGTGACTGCTGTGGGACTCACAGCCTCCCGAGTGAGACCAGCAGATGTGCTCTTGTGCTGAAAATAACGGCTGCAGAGGTAGCCACTGTAGCCCCAGAAGCCAAGTGGACAGGCTGGAGGACTCCCAGGAGCAGCTGTGGGCGGTGGAGGGCCTGCAGGTGGACGGCAGCACCACTGGACTCCTGCCCCCACACCCTGCGGGGGCCACATGTTTGCTGGGCATGTGATCTCCTGGTCAATTAATTGCTCAATAAAATTGCCACCGGACTGTGCACAGTATAAAGGGATGTCACACGTTTTGGACAAATGCCAATTATGGAGACATGTTTACAGCACTGACTACCAAATTCACAACATCAGCTGCTCACGCTCTTCAAAGACCATCTGGTGGACAACAGTGACATGACTGTGACTGTGACTGATTGTTTTTAGGCATTTGGCAAAATACACTGTAAGTAACAGCTGCTTTTTTTATTTTAAAAATGTTTACATATGTACAATTGTCCTTGTATGCTGATATAAATATGAAAAGTAAAAAAAAAGCAGAAATAAAAAATACATGTTTAAATTTAGCATATGGAATATTGGCCTCTCAAAGCTGTAAAGTCCTGCAGGAGAATCCTATATGCCTTAGCCCTGCATGCTAGTGTCTGTCGCGGGATGTTGTCTCCGTAAACGTGGAAAACAATAAACAGAAGCTTCATGCACATAGCATTACTGTCTACAATGAGGATGTGCTTCAGAATGTCAAGTTCTGAATCCACTATTGTCCCTTAGAAAACTTGCTACATTTGGGTCATGTGACTTAATTTTAGTGATATTTCTACATATATCTGTCATGCGAATTATCCATTAACATACCGATACCTTTACTGTGCCATAGGATAGTGTAACAGTTCAGTAGCTCTTTTCAGGGTTCAGTTAAATCTTAAGCCAATGACAGAAAGAAAATGGTATCCAGATGTGAGACTGGGCTTCTCCTCGCGTGTGGCATCTCAGAGGGTGTTCGTATTGTCTGAAGAGCAGATAGATTTGCAGTCACTCCATGAGGCTGGGTTTCTACATATAAAAGTTGAAGTAAACAGTTTCGATGTGTCACATGTAAACAGTTGGTCTTAAATGGATGTCTCCCATAGCTGCACAACAGAGAAGAGCAGATCGCACATCGTGAAAGCAGGAAGCAGTTGTATTAAGAGCTATGACGGCGAAAGAGATTTGGTGATTACATCCATACTTATGAGACTGTGGCTGTGCACTCTAGTGTCTAGTTTAAGAAGTCTAATAAATGGATAAAATAAACACTAATTTTTAACTCTCTTACCTCTAAACCTATGTCGCAACCTTCTTAACTGTCATCTTTTAATACAAAAACCTTCACATCCTCATTTAATGTAACTCAAAATTTTGAAAAAATTGAATACTGTGTCTCAAATGAATAATTTAAAATATTATTTTTTAAAACTGCACCGTTCCTGACCTGACTCGTGTGGCTCAGTGGGTTGGGCATTGTCTTGTGAAGCGAAAGCTTGCCAGTTCGATTCCCAGTCAGGGCGCATGTCTGGGTCTCGGGCCAGGTCCTTGATTGGGTACATATGCAGGAGGCAACTGATGGATGTTTCTCTCTCTCTCTCTCTCTTTCTCCCTCCCTTCCCCTTTCTTTAAAAATAAAAAATAAATTTTTTAAAAAATAGTATCCCCTTCTTTCCCCAGGACTCTGATAGAGCAGTAAGAACAGTGGTTCTCAACCCACCTGCCCATCTCAGTGATCTGGGGACACTGCGAGGCAGTGCCAAATCAAAGTCTCTCTGAGTGGGACTGAGGCATCAGTGTATTTTAAACACCCTTCAAACAACCCCCTGTGCAGCCAACACTGAGAAGTACTGACCTCAGGGGAGTATAATTCCATCAATACCACCATCACCCACTTAAAAATCACTGCCCTGGGCCTATCACCAGGCTATACACCCTCCGATTCCATCACTGCCTCCTAGAAAACTGTCCTCTCTTGGGACCTGACATATCAGAGTACAATGATGCATCCAGGGCAGGATGTCAGTTTCTTAATTCCCTCGCCTCTTCCCTCTCCTTGCCCCTGCCACAAGTTCTTTATATTGGCCCTGGTTTATATCTAACTTCTGTGATGTTCGGTAATTGCCTTAATGGGCTGGAAACAACTTTGGCGTGATTAAATATGAATACAGCTCAGTGAGCCAGAGAAGGCAGGCTGATTTAAAAAATAGATCAAGCTGATCAAATGTTTCTAGACAATATGATTTGGGTTTAATTATTATAAACATGAACCAAGAAAACCTAAGTAAAACTAAGTGTGACTTAAGTTGCATCCAATTTTCATTTTACTGGAAATCTGGCTGGGGCATGTCGCTATGTAACTAATGAGTTTCTAGGGAAGAAAAAGAAGAAATAGGTAAAGGACTAAGTGGATATTTCTATTTAGGTTTCCTTAATATGTTCTTTTGTATCTCCATGGAAATCTCAGTCTGATGCCCATGGGGGCTACCCCACAGGATTGCGTACACCCGCCCATGTCATCTACCATAGGTCATTGAAAAGACAGCCATCTCCTGCTTTTGAAACCAAGTCTCTCAGCTGTGAGGACCACTGTGTGAGGATTAATACCTGTTGGTGGGGACAAGAGAAAATGAATGACTCCCAGGGTGTCTGAGGCAAGGAAGTTCTAACTGATGCTCAGACAATGGCATGGAGTACTAAAGGGTACAGACGTCAGTGAGCCCAGTTCCCTCACAAATGGTTATGGAGGTTAAAAAATAAACAACAGCTTGCAGAAAGAAGAGAGGCACAAAGTAATGACATTGGGAAAACCTGAAGGTCTCAATTATCCTTATAATGTAACGGAAGCTGAGAGCTGCCAACTTATCACCTTTAGAACAATGCATGACCTTGGCCATGGCTGGACAGCTATAACGGAGGGGGTGCTGATAGAAAGATCTGCTAGCTCGATTCTCCACAGCCCACACAGACAGCCTAGAGACAGGGGCTGCCTACTCTGCAGGACGCCGCTACATGCGCCTGTGGCTGCTCCACAGTGGACAGAACGAACCAGGCCTTCTGCACAACTGCCCCTCTCAGCCCAGGGACGGAGCCACAGCCAAGCATTTCTTCTGGGGATCTGTCATTTTCATTAATAACCTGTATCCTGGCATGGCAGCAGCTGAGAGATTGTCACCAAGTAGAAAGAACAAAAGCAGCAATGTAGACAATTTATCGGGGGAAAGGGTGGAGTATTATACTTTGGCAATTCCCTGGGGAGGGAAGGCGTGAGATCCCTTTAGATTTCATCACCATAAGTACATCAGGAAAAACTGAATGCCTGTTAACAAGTCTTTTTTTTAAAGCCCTGAAAGCTGGATGCTGGGAATCTGAGTTACCTTCTTCCTTTCCATCTTTTACCATTTCCCATATTAACATATGAAGATATTTTTTGTATGATTAACAAAGCACCACTGATTGTTTGTAAAGTCTTTTTTATTACAGTGACATAATCAGCTCTTAGTGTGTTTTCTTACTGACTTTGATTTAAGGGCATTAAAATTTGAACGATCCATGTTTACCTTGAACCCCAAAATTTAAGTTCAGGATCAAAGACGCCTTGAAATATCTTTCAAAGCCAAAAGGCCTAGGGACCTACGACCCACAAGCAGAGAAAGCTGCCCATGCTTCTAAAGATTTGTTTTATTACTTTTTTTGCAAACATTATTGCTGAGAAGATCAACATTTAATATAACTGATCATAACAGAGCTTGGACATCAATTACGATAATTATTCTTCAATTACATTTTTCACTTAAGCCTCTGAGAGCTGGCCTGCCTCTCCAAACTCCATGGCATCTCACATTTCACATAATGGGTCTGTTCTGGGAACCCGAGACTGGTTAGAATTGTGATTAAGATGTAAAAGAGGACTTAGTATTTAAATGCAATTTCTGGTGAATCATATTTTTATAAAAATAATCAACTCAACATATAGTGTTAAATCTGGCTTTTTAAAATATAAAAGGTTGTTAAATTTCACCATATCCTTTACCATACTCTAAATATGACAAATTTCGAAGCCCTTTTTCCTTATTGCCAAACTCTACCCCCATTTCCAAGACACTGATCTGCTTTTCTGTCCTGGGTTCCTCCTTCTAAAATCCAATTGGTTATTATTAGCCAGTGAAAGGTCTGAGTAAACAAATGGGGCATGGAAATGAGGCTAGTTTAATCTCTGGCATTTCCAGGTATATTGAAAAACTGATAAAGGAAAAGACATTCTGTTTTTGTCTATTCCAGGTTGTAATATACTAGTGACACTGAAGAATAAAAGATATAAATATATGACAATAAATCATGAATATATACCAAATATTTCTAGCACTTATCAATGCAGTGATTAAACTCATTTGCAAATATAAATCTAGCTCCAAAGCCCCAAGAATCCTATATTTTTCAAACAATTTTTTCTTTTGCTTATGAGCAAAGAAGGAAAAAGAACTCTTAAATATAGGAACTCAAAGATAAACGATAACGACGGAGGACATCAGCATCAGGAAGACGTCTTCACGTACCCTGGCACTCTGTCGGTTCACTTTCTTCTCCTCATCAGGAAGTGGAGGCATGGGGTAGGGGTATTTTCTGCTGGAGGCAATAGACCCAGTTGATGAAGAAGGAGACTTGGCAGGAGATAAAGTCCTGAGATGTTGAGAACACATGGAATAAATATTATGTGATGGCATAATGTCTTCTGCAAATAACTGAAAAGTGGGTTCAGAACAAACCCTCTGATTTCTACTTTCATAGGCCACTACTGCACAGGGTTAGCTACTGGGAGATAATCTGTCATTCACAACACTGGAATGCTGGAATTTTATCTTCCTAATTTCATAACTGCAATGGATTGTTTGAATGTTAGTACACAGAATCATACTTTCAACTAGAAAGCCAAGAATGAAGTTTCCTATAGAATAGAAAGCTGAAGTGGAGAAGGGGTAATATTATTCTAAGAGCTCATAATAGTAAATTAAGTATACAACATCTCAATATTCTGCCTTATTTTTACCACTTACTGTTAAAACTATTTTTAGCACACTTATTCCAATTATATTGTTAAGGTCCCAAAATACAATTACTACAAGTATTAGTTTGCTAAATTCCACACCAGTTCACACAAAACTCATGCATTCGGAGGCCAGTGTGTTAGTTGTGAAAGAACAAAGGCAAGTACGGAGATTTTAATAATAAATTAGTAAACATGCAAGCAGTAAGGAGTGCAGAGTTTCAGCCAAACAGAGAGTCTGATGAGAACATACAGAAATGGTCTGATTAGTCCCTCCAGTCCGCATGTCTGAACAGGGGAGGATTCTAGGCCATAGAAGTGGATCTTGATAACTCATGTAGGGTACACTCGGTATGCCAGTAAGGGAGCTATACTTTGGAATTTTACTAAACTAAAACAAACACAATATGATAAGACACCTTCCTATTCGGATAACATGTTCTCTTCATCATGGAGTTATTCCATATGAAAGCTCTCTGTAAGCTCCTGACGTACCATGCTGTTCTTGTTTGATTCTGCATGTGCAGTGGTAATATTTGCAACTAAACTGAGCACACTGGAAAAGCCCGTATCTGCCATCTTGTCTTTAAAGTTGAAAAAAATGAACAGCTGAGTGAAAAGTGTCGAGCCACCATACAATGGAAAACAGATGTGATGACTCGGCAGTAGCTATTCAGTCACAAATGCCACCACTTCACATCCATGACTCCTCAGTTCCTGGGGCACGGTGGCAATGACCCACACCACTGATCTGGCTACCCTGCCAGGGTACAGTAGAAGTACCTGTCTCGGTAGAATGCGCCTCTTTTGCATCCTGTGAGTGCCTGGCTCAGCCAGGGGGATCTGGGGTGGGCGACACTGGGCAGGGGAAGATCTCTGCCTACACTGCATGCAACTGCATAAAGGTGTCTTTTTTTTCTCTCATTTTACATTTTAGCCCCCATCCATATATTATCCTTTGCTCTGGGTCTGACAGAGTTATCAAATGGTCTATTTTATGGACACTGAATACAAGCTAATGTTTTAAAATAACTTTTCCTACAAACCCTGAGATGAAAGTGAGCATTCTCACTCAAGTGTGAGAATCAAGAGTGATTCGGTCTACTTTTAATCGAGAATTCCTAACGTTCCCTCTATTTTTGGAAAATGTCCAGGACCACTGTTTAGCGTGAACCTGTTGGGATCTTCCTGGCGATTGACTTCTCTGGTGTTAACATGCTCCACTGTGGAGCAGGCAGGTAGAACAAAGCATATGAGTACTTCGAATCCTCTAAGGCAATGGACTACAGCATATTTTTCTAATTCAGAAATTAACGATTTTCAAAGCATGACTAAGATCTTTAGTAAACAAATTCAGCATGCATAGACTGAGGACAACCTTTTTTATTTAGATATTTTTAAGTACATCTTTCTAAAACAAAGGACATTAACCTCGATTTGGATTTTTAGCCTAAGCACTACTGACAAGATATCCCAGTTCAAGAGAGCTAGTCAGGGACACCAACAAATAACTACCTCTCAGTGAAGTTAGGGCATCATGCAAGACAGGTCTGATTTGTTGCAGTACGTGTGTCCATGGCATGAGCCATTAGCTTAGAGCTTCAAAGTCACACCAGCCATCTGCTTGGCCATGGGTTGCAGTGAACAGCTTCGTACACATACACAGCCATCCCAATGAGGACGGCTGAAAGTCCAGTCTTCCCCTCAAATGTCTTTCCATGGCCCAAGCCAGTAATGACTTAAAACAAAGGGGAGGTATTCTCCAGAACCCCAAAGAAATTGCAGTTATACTACTTCTCACAGAGATGCACTAATTAACTGACACTTGGCCCCTGAAGGGAAGAGAGGCCAGGCAGGACAGTTTTAGCTGGGGGCGGGGCCTGGGGCCCTGGAGTGGGGGTGGGGGTGGGGAGTGGTAAGTTGCCACAGTATAAAGGGGATTTTCTTGGGGGGGATGGAGAGCACCAGAGCAGGAATCAGAATAAGAGCAGAGAATAAGGCAGGGTCAATTATAATTAGTTTAGAGAAAACAAAAACAAACGTAACATTTCTCACAAATGTCTAAGATATTTCTTTAAAACCACCTCTAGGCTGCGTTCTGACCCTGGCTATTTGCCTGGTGGTTCTAATTGCTTTCCCTGAAACCTGGGCACCAGTCCAGCTCATTCACTTGTAAGCTTTGGACAAATGCTAACCAGATCATCCTGTGTTTTTGAAAACCATCATGACCATGGTGGGTGCCATTTAGAATCACACAGTGCAAGTATGTCTGTGTGCCACAGATTGTGGTGTCTCTACATCAGCCCTCCTCGCCTGCCTTGAGTACATATGCCTGCCAGGCCAATCTCAGCTCCCTTCTGCCTCTGGAGAACAGGCTAATACCAGGCCAGTCCAACACAAGGGACACAGGTCCACCTCTTGACTGTGTTCCTATGCAAATTTTAGAGTAGCCTAATCCTGAAGGATTGATAAAATGTCCTGGGATAGAATGTAAATAGCCCCTGTCCACCCTGCTCTTTTAGGTCATTGCAGTGAAATGGAAAGGGGGCAGGCTTTGGAGGCCTTTGGAGCCAGGCTCATAATTCCGGTCCTGACACTCACTGGCTGTGCTACCTTGAGCTACTCTTTGTGCCTCGGTTTCCTCCATCCGCAGAAAGGAAATAAGAATGCCTACCTCTCATGATGTTGTGAGAAATAAAGATACGTGGTCTGCACTCAACACGTGAGTTATTAACAGTTTCTTTTCAGAGTTACAGCATGTTCCATAAGGTCATGGAAGTAGACTCAAAACCCATTAATAAAGTGAGTAACCAACTGGATAATACCCCAGAGTAAGGATGCCTGCAAACTTGTAAAGCACTGTCACCAAGGGAACTACCTCTGGGATCTACTTGTGGGGAGATAATTCTCTTGCCCTGACCTCACCCACTCCTTCCTAATGTCCTGCATATGTGCCCACTATTTGAGAAACCACCGGCATTCTAGCGCTGGGGAAGGGAGCACATCTGAGGCACTCGGGTCCCTCAGTCTTTGGGAGTTTACTTTTCTCTTCATAGTGATGTAGATACTATACTTTAAAATGCTGGGCTGTATTTTGGACCAGTTTCCTGCCTTCACAAAGTCCCCACAGGGTGATTAGTAAAGTGACCTTGGCCCTCATTGGCAGTTCTGACAGGAGAGATAATCCCAAGTGACCTGGTGGCAGATGGAGCAGGTCCGAGCTTAAGCATGGGGTTGGCTAAGAGGAGAGCCAAGCTGTGGAAGCACTCGGGGCCTCCAAAGTGAGGCTTGGCTTGGGCAGAGAGCCGATGAAATTCTTCCTGTTGCGTTAGAATCACTATATTACAAGACCTGGGAGAGCTCCATTATTCACCACTTCCACAGAAATTTTGTGTTGATTTTCAAGTCTGACCAGTGTAATGCTTAACAACCCCCAAAATGACAGATAATTTATAACCCTCCGCTGAATTATATCTAACCTTTAAACACAAATGTGGATCTTCAATAATTAATTCTTAATGTGACTATCCACCAAAGAAACCTGCATCTCATAAAAAGAGAGGAGATTGGGGAACCCTCTAAAACTGCCCTTGCAGCTTTGCACGTGCAACTGAGGGCGCTAAAGCATTTCCTCATCCAAACTGCGCGCAGTCATGTGGCTTCTGGGCAGACCTGGGCGCTGGTTTGAAAAAATGAAAAAATGTGAACTCTTCTCTGGGAGCCACACAAACCACTCAGCTCACCCAGGGGAGGTGAATCAACTCTTCCGGGGTACCATTTCATTAGTTGTTGCTACAAAATTGCTAAGTCCATTTAGGTATAAAAGCCCTGGTCCACATAGGACCAAAGTCCTTCTGTTTTAGTTCCATGACTGATCCAAATTACAATCTGCCCACAAGCCTGAGGAAGACAGAAAGAAGAAATGGGACTGCAGGTGAGCCAAGATTCCAAATAACGTTCAAAACCATCTTACCTGTCTTCCTGACGTTGGCCATCTTGGGAGCTACGGGTGAGGGTGGGATGTTTGAATGTGAGTGCATGTGTATGAGGCTCGGTGGAAAAGTGGTACAAGCAGAGGGACAGGGCGGGAGGCCAGGATGGGGCACAGAAGCAGGATATATTTTTGTGAGCAGGCAGGGGTTATGCTTTCCTTGGGGCATATGCAAATGGATGGGTCCATTAAAATGCAGGTAAGTCTAATCATTTTCTCAAACTATACACATCTAAACTAAATGGTACACAGGAAGAGAAAGCCCACCTTATATGGGTGCTGAGAGTTAAATTCACATATATATTTTGATATCTGTTAAACGATGACCCAAGTCATGGCAATAAATAATCTGAAGGCTTATTGTTATGTTCAGAAGAGGAAGCAGTTCAGCCTATATTTCTTCTTTACATTAACCGTCACACAGAAGTCAGGTATAGAGCAGAGAGGTATCTCTATGAAGTCACTCTGATATTATAGTGAAAAAATGCCATTAAGCTCTTGGAAATTCTCTTTTTGACTTCTAATGTTTCACAGAGCTGCAGTGAATTGAGTGAATATGCTAGTTTCTTAAATGTACGGAGACTCTATCTGCTTGTTTGTGAATCAAGAATATGTTTCAGATCTGCTTGTTGTTCTATCTGAAGTGTTAGACATGACATTTTCATTGGAATAAAAAGTTCCTGAGCTTTGCTGAGAGGCTGCAAAACAACTGTCAGCGCAGCTTCTCTGGGAGCAGACGGTCGCGCCGAACAAATGAAACTACACTCAATTCATACACTCTCCTGTGGCCGGTATTTTCTCAATAAGGTTCAAGTTACAGCACCTCACTGTTTTTACTCGAAGTACAATTCCACTAATTGCATTCAGTTTCCATGTTTTTCCTTGAGTTTTCGTATGCACTATGCACTCGTAAGGGAGTAAGTAGGAAAAATGCACTATGGAATAACCAAATTCTAGAAAATAAATTGCTCAGGTTAATAGTGCTTCTTTATTAGTGGGAAGGATGGTTCATGCCCATTGAACACTACATAGCATAAAATGAAGAGAAAGCTACTAAACAGCTTAAGATGGTGAGAGAGACATGCACTAAATGGCAACCCTTTCAAATGGCTTCATTTGAAACATTCAGAAAGGAACTAGACTTGATCATGAAACCAAAAACAGAGATCAAACGGCAGCAAAGAAACAAGGACCCTTTCCACCTCTGGGAACTTGTATTGGAAGATACAAGATAGAGAGCCAATCACACTACAGTATTCATATGTGCTGGGAAAGTTTGAAAAGGATATAAAATTAATTTGTAAAATACCTAAAGTATGGTCCTTCAGTGTTTTTATTCACATCTTCTACCCACTTAGCTACATTATAGTCTCTTTTGAACCATGGGTTTAAATACCTGCAGAAAGCAATGGAAGGAACAAAGAAAGCAGAACAAGATAGAAAATCTGAAAATACACAGCACAAGCTTAGCAAGGATGTTCTTCACCCTCCAAATGCACGTGACTATGGCAAATAAACCAGGATGGGTGCTGGGTGAGTATGAGGCAGTCTATACAACCACGTGAGGGTACACGCAGCTACAACAGGGCTCAAGGCATTCTGGAATGTATTCCACATTTCAGGAAAGCCTTCCCAGTGGCTTCCCAAAGTGACACAGAGCTCCCTTTCAATCCTAGTTCTGTCAGCAATCCCACTCACCCACCTCCAAAGTGGCATTTTCCAGGCCACCCCTCATTTGGCTCCTTGATTTTCAAATGATAGTGGTGCTTTCTGAGAACATTGAGCTGGCCACAATTCCAACCTGGTGTTTGGGTCTATACCCCCAGGAACAACTCAAAGGAGCAAAGTTCTCAAAGTTCTCATTCCAATATGAAAGGAAAGGCTTTATATGGCCTTTGTCTTTCTCCTGATAGTGGATCCCAAGCTGGAATTAACAAGAAAGGTGCTCCAAGTGGCTCTGTAAGGAGCAGAAAAGGTCCCACCCTTCTGATCCTGGAGCCCCAACGCACATTTAGTGTGGTCCAGACAGACCTCCGTGATCTCGAACCCAGGTTTAGTAACTGAGGTGCAGCCGCAGTGTTCCTTCCTCGTCTTCGTGCACTCCAGACTACAGGGCTGCTGTGTCCACTACGAAGGGGCCCTCAAAAGTTGCCTTCTGAGTGTCTGAACACCAGGTATGCGATTGTCAGCCAATAATAATGACCTTAGTTAGATTTCACTGATGGATCTGGCCAAGCCTCCATCAGAATGACTGTGCAAAGGGAAATCTTGAAGGTATTAAAATTCGGAGTGCAAGGTTTTTGTTTTTTTCAGAGTTTCCTTTTATTTTTCCCCTGGGAGCCAAGCAAGAGTACATCCCCTTAGAATTTGCTCTTTTAAAACAGATACAGATTCAACAAATTCAGTCTTGGAAGAACTGGGAGGTTTTACTGAGTTTTCTCATTTAAAAAATAACTTATAGAAACACTATAGGCAATAAAGATCCAAGCTCTATAAAACTTTTCAAGTTATTTAGAAATAAACCAGGGAAATTATAAAATATAGTATTTGTGATTAAAGTTTCCTTCTTTCCTCCATATTTAGTTTTAGTTTGTAAATACATTTATATCAAGACTATAATTCCACAGTTACATAAACAAATTAGATTATTTTTTTCCATAGTCCTTTTCCTCATTTTGGGCTATAACACTGGTATGTCCCGAAATGAATTCATGAAGTCCCCTCCCGAGGGAAGGGTGGGGTGCTTTATGTGCTTATAAGACCATTTTTGCTGAGACAGTTTCGCCTGACTCAGGAGCAACTCACAGCAGTTTTGCCTTTAGCCACAATCATTGCCAACTTGTGTTTTTCACAGAGATAGCCAATTAAAACTTGCATAAATATTTCCACTGAGACTCCAAACAAAAAAAAAAGTCAAAAAGCGAGTGCAGCCACAGATGAAGACTAGTGAATGCTCTGGCCTGGGGAAAACCATAGAAAAAGCCCATGCAGCTGTTGTTATGGGTGAGACATAGCCACACAGCAAACTGAATCACCCACAGACAGTTGGCCACATCCACGAGGAGACATGTGTTCCTTTCACTGACAATCTTAGCAGCTCAAAGGACTGGTACCATGGCTGTTCCATGAAACATACAGCCATATGGCTTGACTTGCACGTGATGGACCTCTTCCTCCATCTCATGGAGCATCTCAGAAGGCTGTGTTCACTTCACTAGAGGTCACTGAAGGGAACTCTCAATTGTTGTTCCTTCTGGGGATCTGCCATGAAAGTGTCTTAACAGTGGGCTTCCTAATATCCCCAGCAGTGGTGGCTGGAGTGATGGGATTTTATGGAACTGCTATAAACCTGCCTATGTGGTTTGACTTGGCTTGTAGCGCAACATGCAAAAAAATAAAAAATGCATTAGACAGGATAGGAGAGCTCTTTGCGTTCTCCAGGATGGAAAGGCAGAGGAAAATTAGCTGATGCTGGCTGGACCAGGACCCCTTGTGAGCAGATGTTGGGGGGTCAGAGATCAAACGACCCTGCTCTCAGCCAAGGCAGGGACTCGGAGGGAAATTAAGTGGCAGCCCAGAATGAAGGGGCAGGTGGAGACTGACCTGTGATCCAGACTCCCTGTCTGGGGGCTGTCAGAGCCCCCTGGGCTTATGCCTTGGGATGGGACTGTCTGGGCGAGGGAGTGCCCAGGCTCAGGTGCTTGGGGCTCCCTCCTGTAAAAACACAATATATAATACAGAGTCTAAGCCAAAAACTTTTTTTTACATCATGTACAACAGTGAGGAAGATGCAAAAGCTTTCAGGGGAAAAACAATACATTAAACAAAGATATTTTATGTTGTCACTTAGAGTATGCATTTGTGGTGCATGTTTTAATTCATGTCCCAATGTCTCATCCTCCTTTGGGATGATGAGATGCTAAAAGGAACGTTGAAATAATAGACCTGATAATACCTCTTAGTCTAAAAAATAAAAAAAGATGTTTGTCCATCGTCATTCTGCTCCTGGTATGGTTACACGAATGATGTGGTTACATCAGAAGCAAATGGGATTATTTAATAAATATGGAGAGTATATAAAAAAAACTATTAACGTAATTCTTGATATGCTATGTATTAGTATTCCTTTTAAGAAAAAAAAATACATAGCGCCTGTACAATACGGTGTGTAGAAATTCAAGAACAGTGGTCAGCTTCACAGATCCGGCTCCACTTAGGTAACACGAGAAATGTAACCCAAATCTGACAGTCTGAAAAATCTGAGGGAGTCCTTAATATTTCCTTTTTGTAAAAATGATTCCATTATTATATCTTATTAAATATTATTACTGAATTATCTCAGAGGCAAAGTTTCTCAAAGGCTGTTTGTAGCACAATATTTATCATATGATATGAATGGGAATTTTACAGAAATTTTTTTTAAAAATTAGTGACTACCCTAAAAAAATCTGTTATGAATCTTGCTAAATACCAAGTACTCTTGGGGTCCTAAATTCATAGCTTTAATATAAACATTGGATTTTTTTTCTTTATTTAGGAGTTTTTAAAGCTTCGTCATAGGAAATGCTGTTAAGAATACTAAACAATAGGAAATGGACAGACACTCGGAAGGACCTTTTGCAGTTTTATCTGCACTCTAGTGAGCAACTGAGATAAGCTAAGGAGCTCTTACCAGGTGACCTCATGCAAAACCAAACAACATTCCAAGAAGAGTTTATCCACAATGAATCCTAAAGCATCCAAGCACTTTGGGAATGAGTAAGATAAACTCTAACAGATTAGTTATTTATGATGGAGTTCTATGGTGCCATTCTGGACCATGCAATGGTATCACTTGAACCTATCTACTGTTTCTATGTTAAAATGTCTTCTAATTAACTTTTACAAGCCACTTATAAGAAAATACCATCAGCAGAAAGGTCCGAATTTCAGGGCAATGCTATTGTCCTGGACTCAGAAAGGCAGAGTATATGATGGGAAAGCTAACGTAAGTTTCTGACAAGCAGTTAACAAATACCTGCTATTGACATTTTAAAAAAAATATTTAGGCATAAAGAAGCAACAGCAATCCTGGGAATAATAACTAGCACTGCAGTCAGATATCAGTAAAAAAATTTTAGATGGGTCCGGAAGGTTTGGGTAATTAAAACCGGGTGGCAAGGTCCAGAAGGATGGCAAGGATGTGCTTTATTATGTGATGAGAGATAAGGGCTTGGGGAAGGTGAGTTTTGCTTATACTTATATCAGGTGGAGAAACACAAAAAATGTGCATGGTGTTTACCTCATTATAAATGACTTAAGTGTAACTTCAGACCCAATCCCCAGTTTCAAAAAAACAATGAGTGGCTATCAGTCCAAATGGATAGTGTTGCATTTAGTGACAATGATTCCGTTAAAGAGCAAGTTTAGGTAAATGGCCTTTTAAATGTCCTCACAAGGACATTTAAAAGGGAAACTAATTCCATGAGTCTGAGAGAATGCTTAGATCGCGGCCAGGAGGCTTCAGGGCAGTGGTTTCACACCGTGAGCAGTATTACGTTCTGGACAGTGGGATTGCCCCCTGATGCTTCCAGGCTGTGTGGATACTGGGGAGAGGAAGGGTGAGCCCTCTGCAATGGCTGGCCCCCAGGTGATGAGAAGAAAGGAATGTTATCAAAATTCCCTTCAAACGGAACCAAGACACCACAATGGCAGGTTACTGGAGGAAAAGCCTGCACAAGGGCGAGACCCCAGGCTATCAGTGAGTATTGGTTTGGGCACAGTTGCGGAGATGCCTATGTAAAAGAGAAAAGCCATGGTTAATTTTGAAATAGCAAAAAAAGAATCGAAAGACAAAACTAAGACCAGAGGCATGGTTTACAGTTCTTTGACGATCTGGTTAATTAACTCTTCGCACTCTAAATGCACAGGACCCTGGGATGCCTTTCTCCATTAGAGGTTCGGACTTACTCAGTTGAATTAGACCGAGGTCTAAATCTTTTGCCTCTGATTTTCTTTCTGTTGCCTCCCAGGTTACCTGAAAAAAAGATGGTTTATAGCTAGATTTGCATATAAGTTAAAAATCGCCATATATTTAATTACATGATATTTCCAGTGGGTATGATTCACATCTAGCATCATCACCCAGAGGGCAGCCTTCTCCATGTGTCTGGTGCCCTGCTATCAAATCCCATCATTTCCCACCTAAGAAAAAATAACTGAACTCATAATAAATGCCCTTCTGTCTACTGGGAGGAGAGCTAAATGGCTTACAGAAAAGAACATGTCTTTACAACCAGGGACCACAGAATACAGAACTTGAGTTATGAGGACAAACAGATTCAGAATGCCACCCTATACCTTGCCAAGAGTTACTTCGAGGTCGCCCATTTTCACAGATGTCTGAAATATGTTTTGTGTCTGGAATCCTTTCACTCCAAGAATGAGAGAGCCCATTTGACCTGAAATTGAAAATGTGTATATATTGTTCAAAAATATAATCAAATGAATGTTTAGAAATCAGTAAGCAAAATTTCTAAGCATCGCTGTACATTAAATAAAATAAATCAAGAAAGAAAAATCTGAAATGAAAGAATGAACAGAACATGAAAGTCTTCATGAAGAAGGCAGAATTACACAACATTCAATTTAAGAAAAGTCAAATACAATGGAACCCCATTATTATAGCTCATAAATTAAAAGTATCAGGATACAATGCAAGCCAGTTACATTCCCCAGAACACAACTACAGATAGCAAATTCACTACATGTTTCAGTTATGTAACCCAAACAGCAGCATTATAATGGGGTCCCACCATAGATGTTTCTTAATTGTAAAGCAATGGTTTCCATTCAAATATTATGACAACATGGACTTGTAAGAGATTTCATTAAGATTTGCTCTATGTAACCTGACTAACTTTTATCAAAGTAATACTGAGTTTTTCTTAAACAATAAAATTTTCTGAGCATTGGCATTTTTTCCACATATATGGCTCCCCAGGATGTAGCACTGTTAGTTAATTGTCCAATAACCAAACTGAATGGGATGTTGCCAGGGAAGTAACTCTCACAAAGCCAGTGAACCACTTAGCCCTCCTGGTGATTGTGTCCTGCTGCCTTTAAATAAACTGTCTACTAGAAGCAAAACTTCCACACCTACCTTGTGCCACATAAGAAAAGTATTTTAACAAATTACATATACTTAGGAGAAGTCACATAATTTGATACGATTTTTAACAGCTTAAGAGTCAAAACCCATTATTGAGATTTTGCTAAAATCTGGAAATTACTCAAATCAATATTTAAACTCTCCTTGGGTAACTTTAGAAAACAGCACTGTACTTAAAATCTTTTCCATATATTACTCCAGTTAATGCTAATATTATCTATTTTAAAAGGAATCTTCTACTAATGAATGAAAATAAATGGAACTCAAAATAAGTATTATATATTAATTCCCTAGATTAGAACTTTTTCAACATAATTTGCTAATTAAGAATGATGCCTATTTTCTACAGAAGGACAACAGAAATTCTGATGAAATCCATTGATTTCTCCACTTATTTACCATATTATTTACTTTAGAATTAAATATTTGGCCAAGAAAAAATTTATATGCTGAGAGAATTTAAGTAAATCTTACACTGTTAGCCAAAAGACCTCCAATAAATTTTAAAAAATAACTTTTCAAACATCCTTCCACAGAACTGTACTCCTCATGCAAAAACTAGTACTTTTACTTTTGCTTTAAGCTATGTTAATTGAGTAAAAACACCTCTTCATGCTTCAGACAGTTCTACATGGAATTCCCAGATCTCTGTGTGACACTAATTTCTTCTATTCTCTTTCCTGATTGTTTATAAAGAGTGAAACTCAGAGCAGAATTTTTACAGATGATTCACTCTATTTAGAACTCCAGAAGAGATGATCTTTCTTTTCAATACACTAGCAAATTCCCTTTCTTCATCCTACAAAGTAACTACTATACCCAAAGTAATGCAAGGGGCTAAGAATCTTTTCTCCTATACATTCCATCCCTACTGACAATTCTAAAGAAACTCTCTGTAGGGATATTTTAGTGTCCTTCCATGAATGTCTCATTTTCTTTAGGAATGTCTCATTTCCTAAAACATTCCCACTACTTATTTCTTTTATCAGCTTATTTTATTAAGCAATTATAAAGCATACAGAATTTTAAGTGGTGTTATACACCTCAAGATCCTGGAGCAATATAGCATCAAAGTTTAAGACATATAAATAATATCTTAACCCCACCCACAATATTATAAGACTCACAAACATTAAATATACTTAAATTAATTTGGCCACCAAGCTCTAAGTCATAAAGTCTAGAAATAATCATTCCAGGCATAAAAAGCAAAATCATAATATTCAAATATATGATTCACAGAGAAGCAATCTTTTTTTCACAGCAAGCTTAGCTTTTAACATATTTAAAATTTTAAAAATATTCAACACAACATTCATATTACCAATTTATTTTAACAACTACTTATATTGAAGCATGGCAGTAACCTTTTTCTTTGACTACCAAACATGACATAAAGCTCACCATTTAAAAATATTGTGAAATACCGCATACAGTTTCTGAAGCCACATAAGAGCAAAGACTGAAAAACCCCTGGGTTTCCATATAGATTTAATGTTACTTGTTTTGTTTCATTTTGATTTGATTTCTGGCCTGATTTGTTAAACAAGTGGTTCTGAGCATATGGCATTTTGAATCAGAGTAATCAAAGAACAAAGGATACTATTTTTCAACATTCAAGAAAGAAGGAAGAAGTAATCAAACCTGCTGCAAAATAATGAAATGTTCTGACTAATGGAATAATGTGTGATGGAACAGGTAGAAATCTGAAAATGCGACAGAAAAGCAGACCTCTTCTTAGAACTAGATGCTGAGTTTGTGCTGACTCCAGGAGGGATGTCGCTATAAAAAGAGTCGCCATCTCCAGGCTTTTTTACATAATCTCCCTGGGGCAACTGTCTAAGGCATAATAAACATTTCAGAGTCAGAAAACAAGACACACACATGAACACAGACATATACAAATATTATTTTAGGAAAAAAGAGGTAGGGATAATGATCTACATGAATCAAATCTATAACAACACATAAGGTTATTAATAAGTGTGACAAGTTAAAGTCATTCTAGAGATCAGAAATGCAATTGCTGTGGTCTCTGCAGTCTGATGAATAAAGCTTTGCTTTCAAAGGAAATATGAAGAGATGAAGTTTTCCACTGTAACTGCATTATACTTAAAGATGTTAACTATAGCTTCATCTCAAAAAAAAAAAAAAGAAGAAGAAGAAAAGAAAAAGAAAAACGGTGTGGAGGGAGCTGTGTTGGGTCAGACAGTCCTTGCCCAGATAAGACATAGTTTTTTTTCACCATGTGAATAAATTATTCATGATTCTAAATATTATATAACATTGGTCTTTTAAAAAACTGATGGATTTCCAAGCTATGTCCTATAATTTAATGCAAATAAATTTTTATTAGAATTCTCTGTTCAATTTGGAACTTCACTGTTTATTTAACAGAAATATGAATAAACTGAAAAAGATTCAAAGGTGAGTCAAAAATATAATTCTAAAACTGCACAGTAGAATATGTAAAGGACGGTAAGTTAGCAAGAGGTAGGGTGGAAAAAAGACCTGAATTATTTGATGAGATTATAGAAGGACATTCACAGGTAGTTGGTGGGTGACCACAGTTCTCTATCTTCACTGCAGAGATTCAACAAGGGAAAATCCACATTGCTACTGACTCTCCTGCTCTGGTACTGATTGAACTAAGATTGGAACAGATTCTCAATACTTCCCTCTCAAGGAATAGGGTGGATTCAGCCCCCCTTCCTTGGTCGCTAATCTGATCATTTGCCAGTGCATGGTCCCCAAGCAGCCAAAGGAACCAAAAACTTGACACGGTTCCATTCTGTGCTAAAGTAGTGCTGGATGGAGAATTTTAAACAGAGTTGCACTGAAACAGGTCTCCAACAACTGTACACATTTGCTAATTCCTTTTCTCATTGGGTTTCTCTTTAGTTCCTATGCTAGTCACAGTTACTTGCTGATGCTAAATTTTATCTAAAATATGTAACTTTCAGATGTTTTAAGTGTTTAAAATACTTGGTCATTCACTCTTCTGAATTATTGAATATCCTATCTCATATTATTTCAATTCTATATATGTATTCACACATCTTTACAAAATCTAAAGATTTTTCAACTCATATAAAGCATATATGTTATTTGTGTAATTAAATCTACTCTTCCCCTTTGAAGAATTTCTCATTAAATTAGTAAGACTAATTTTACCCATAATTCTTTGATACATAATCCTTCAAAATATTTTTAACTCTGTAAGTGACTTCAACTCATAATTGTAATCTTTCATTTTCCTGGTACATTATGAAACATTAATTTTATAAAAATAATGCATTCCCCCCTCATTTATAGTGTTAATAATATAGGACAAATATATCTTCTCATGCAAGAGATATTTCTGCAATTTTATTTTCTTTCTTGCCTCCTATCAATAAAATAGTCTATCAATGCTTGGAAAAATGCTTTCAGTAAAATCAAAGTCCTTCACCTTGCCTCAGGAAGGAAACTTCGCTTTTGCTTCATATTCGTCATCCCCATCAACATCCCCATCAACATCACATCCCCAATAATAATTTGTATGGTTAACCACTCCTTTTCGTCACTGTTAGCTCTAATAATAATCTTTCTAAGCTGATGAGATGTGCTTCATTAAATTCAGATGAAATCACGACAAGTTCCAACTACACGTGACCTTTCCCAATAATTAATTCCCCTAAATAACAGGGTTCTGTCATTTAGACATTTACCAAGGCCTCACTCAGCTGATAGCACAGTTTCAAATGGACGGCTTCTCACAACGGAGGGGACCACATTGTGTTTGTATTTTAACTGAGTGTGTTTTACCACACCCTCAGTGTAACTTCTCAGCAGTTGTATAAAATCACCTTTTAAACATCTTAAATGCTAAACATAGCATAAACTGTGGACTTCAGTCAGAGGGTTGGAAGGGAGTTTAAGTTCAACGAATTTCTGGTCACAGCCTTGCTTTTATCATCCCAGTAAGAAAAGATTCTTACCTGTCTCTAATGTGAAGTCTCCAAAATACATAAACTACTTTGCATTCTTAAAATTCTGTTAGTAATACAGGTAACTTTCTTCACATAGTAAATACATAAAAATTTTAATGATTATTAATTTTGTTAAAGATCTCAAGAATAATTTTTAATGTCTTCCAACCGTCTAGAAATTTACCCTTCTCAATATCCATTATATAACAAACCTACTTCTTGTTTAACCTTTAGTGAAGACAGAAAATATCAGGTCCCCATGATAAAGAAAATAACATTTCACCATTTGTTATACAAGAGCACAAATGGCCAACTACATGATCTCTTTTTTTTTTCAGATTGAATTTATTTTTCTAGTCTTTGTGGTTTCCTTCCTAAATTTCGGTGGTTTCACAGGCTTTTGGAATCTAAACCACATTAAGTGGCCTGACTAGTATTAAGTTTTATGATGGGGAAAATTATGTCATAGTTCCTATATTACATTTAAGTATCTTAGACATCTGCATGAATTTTTAAAACAATAACCAAAAAGAAAATAAAAGCTTTTTAAAATTCTTTTTGCTCAAAAAACAAAATGATCCCTTATGAGGGAAGTCTGATCTTTCCTAAGAGGGTCCATTGAACCATAATATTTAACTTAATAATCCTTGCATACATTAGAAGTGAACACAATGGAAAAAACTTAATTAAGTCTTAACCTTAAATCGGAAGGAGCATTTCTCCAGTGCTCTGTCAGTGTCTGGGCTGTCTGTTATTGAAGTTATCACTTGACTGTTTTAAGAAATATTGTGCAATGTGTACCAAGTCACACTGACAGATGCATGACTATCACTGAAATAATAATATAAAAACAAACTAAAAAAGGTTTGAAAAAAAGGAGGGAGGTTTGAAAGCAGAAACGAAAGTGGCTAAAACAGGTAAGAGAGAAAAGAAAAGGGAAAGGGGATTTCTGCTTAAGGTATAGATCAGTAAGATATGGTCTGTTTATTTTATTTCACCTTAATCACAATCATGTGTGTTCATCTCAGACAAAGAAAGAGAACATTTAAGCTGAATATTGTTGCCCTATAAATCCAAGTTCAATGACTGTTTTCTTGTTCTATAGCTATTGCAAATCTGCTTGAAAACTCAAACTCAAACTTATAATTCTTGTTATAAACTGTACAGCTGCTAGGTCCTAAAGCAATTATTCTAGACAACTGGGCTGGCGAAAAAGTCTGTTACGGCTTTTTCTGTAAAATAAAAGACACATTTTTCATTTTTTACCAATAACTTGATTGATTTGGATTATTTTGAGTCTGTTAGCTATCTCCTGCTTTTAGCCTCTACTGGGTAGAGGCCAGAGGTGCTGCTAAACAATCTTCCAATACATAAGTCTGCCCCATAGCCAAGAATTATTTGGCCACAGTGCCGACACTACCAAGAAACTTCGCAAACCACTTTTGACATGTTTGATCAGTCATTGCACCTTCTCCATACATTACATAATTTTTTTTTTTGCATTTCAGTTGTATTTTTACCTTTCTTGAAATAATAAAGCATAATACATTGAAAATGTATATTTTCTTCCATCTTCAATATTAAAATAGCTGCACAAAAATTCACCAACTTTGATTTTTTTTTACAATGCATGCTGATATGGCAGCTGTCACAATACAATCTAGCAAAATTGTTTCGCATGAAGTTAAAGACAACTAAGCATTACTAGAGCCATCGTATGGAAAAAACTAAACGATCTTTTGGGCCAACCCAATGAAACAATAGCATCAACTAAAAAAATTATAGACGTCATCTTCCCTGAAGGTTTAAAAAAAAAGGACCAACAGCCATCCTTCTGACTATATGATGTATAAGGTTTCTCCGAGGCCCCTAGGTCCCATGGTTCTACCCTCCACTGTGACTGGCAGCTTTAAAGTGATATCATTCATGTGTGGGCTTCTGCCTCCACTCTGCCCCAGAATGGAGCTTCTGTTTTTCATTAAGCGGTTTGCAAACAAAAAGAAAAAATGGGTTTGCTTCTTATCTTTTTGTCAGACCTGCAATTAAACCTATTGCACATTCCTCCATATAATGAGAACCCTGAGGACACGTTCTCCAGGGAATATCTACCAGGTTATCAGGTTCCTTTGCAGAATTACTTGCCTGACCTCTCCAATAATTTGAAAGTTACACCCAATTTGGCATTTTTCAGCCATTACATTAACATAAATCTGATAACTGGCTACTTTTTAAATAGGGTCTTGTATTTAGTGTCACAGCAAACCTCATGTTCATCAGTTCTCCCACCAGCTTCACTGGCACGTGCAGGCCTCGCTGATGTCCCTGAGCACTGCCTTCCTCTTTGAGGACCACATCCATCTCTTTCATCAGAAGATCGGAGACACACAGTCTCAGAGACCACCTACTAACAACTTCCCTTACTATAACGTTTCACAGATTACAAAGCACTTTACCTGACTTTAGAGTTGAGGAAAGTGTAAGTGATGTCCCAAGACCACCTACTAATAAGTAGATATCTGATTCCTTGTCAATTGGTCCTCCCACCAGGGAACCTCAAAGAAAAACCTAATATAAAGGCCAGGACAACTCAAAATTTTTATTTTTATTTCCGGGCACATGTTTATTTGAATACCTGCAGATATTTTTACAAGATTATAAATGTCTTAATGCATGCTTTTGTCTATTGGCCTTACCATCTTCTCTATAACCACTTAACATATATTCTCAAAAAGGAAAATCCTTCAGGAGGTATTTACATATTCACAACTTCCTGATCTAAAGTCCACTCTGCTACTTCTCCAAGGTGAGAATACTGTACAAACCCATTAGCTATGGACCAAGGCAAAAATAAACACAGGCTAGCAAATCAAAATAAATAAAACAAATATCTGCTTAAGATGTGACAATTTTCAAAATATAAACTGAATTCCAAAAGAATAGCCAGACTGATGAAATGATGACTCAGTAATAGCAGGAAACACGAAATTATATCAGGTACATAAAGGAGAAAATGTAAAAATTTCCTTAACTGTACTTATGCATTCATTGAGTTAGAATAAGATTGGTGCACTGCTTTGCATATTAATCATTTTTGGTACTGAGGACAATTCTTTTATTCTGGAGAATATCCCTGGTGAAGATACATCTGAGAATGCTGTTTTAGCTTTACTTATGTTACATTCCCTTTTATGTAGTCAGCAATATTAAATTACATTATAGCCTTAGCCCCTATGGAAATAGAGCTGAATCATCATTTTTTATCTTATTAGCCTAATTCTATTTCTCACTGAAGAAAACAACCAAACTTAGGTTTCTGATATGAATGATCACCTCTGACCCAACAGCAGAGAGCTTGAATGGCTCCAGCTCTTGTCCAGTGTTTCAGGACAGGCGGGTTTAAAAAAGGCAGAAAGAAATCTAGTCGTTTTAAAATTTAACCTAATTTTAAATTAAATTAATAGAATTTAATTAAATTTTGCCTCGGTTTTACTTTTTTCCCATTAGTAATGAGTGAGTTAGTCCAGGGCAAGGTCAGCATTTTCTAATAGCTATGCCAACGGACCAGGATTCAGTTGCTACCCTGTGGCCACTATTTATTCATAAAGACTCTGTAGATACTTATGGCTAAAGCTCATAGGGATTTTAAATTACAACATGGAAGGAAAGAGAACGTAAAGTTTACAATTTTAATTTGTGAAAAAAATGAAAGCAGTGGTCAGGGCCTGAAAAAGTCTTACTGTGTTTATTATATCTTATTCTTAATCTGCCAGAGGCATTTAATAAAACAGTAGGAAAAGCTAAGTAAGTAGCCATCTGCAAATACATCTTGAGTACCAAGCTAGTACTATATGATGCACATAAGCTGGTTTGGGCTATCCATATCCAGGATATTTGAGATTATTTTGTATCAAAAGCTAATAACATTAGTCATTTTAAAAATGAAAGTAAAGGGTGTACACCAATATGGACTAATTTAGATTTATTTAAAAAACAGGTAATTCTTACAGAACTACAGAAATGCTTTGAAGCCCTTTCTATGCTGTTGATTAGACATAGATTTTAAGGTTATGATGAAAGGGTGCTTGACTTTATGGATTTTTTTGCATCCAAAAAAGTACACTAGACAATCAGAAATTCCAACTATGCAAACTATTTCTTTAACTACCCATGTAATTACCTAATCAGTACAAAAAAATATTTTCTTATACAGAGACTAAACATGCAATCAAGTGCAAGGACATTTTCCTGACCATAATAACACTGTGCCCATAGAAATTTCATCACCTATGAGTGAATGTTACTGATATAACAACAGTGGAAAAAATAAAAAGATAAATCTCCTCAGAAAGCGTTGGCTATAAGAGTGTTGTAAACATGAGGAAAAGCTAATTAGCTAATATAAACAAAGATCACACTTTAACGTAGGGGAAGTTTGTTTTAGAAGGAAAAAAATCAATTTCCTTTCATAGGACTATGAAAATAACACAAATAAAAACTTGTATTAATTGTAGTATTGTTGGGCGAAAGAATCATTAAAATTTAAATTATGATAGTTATTTTAAATTAATACATTCCACAGTACCATTATTAAAATGTAATAATCATTTTAAGGTCATGAAATGTCAAGATTAGTTTATGACCACTAGAGCATACAAAAGTAAACTTTATTTATAATTCTTGTATGTGTGAATTCCAGAGATGCTAATAGGATTTAAAACTTTCAGTTATATGTTCAGATTGTTCTCATTACATACCTCTGTTCTCGGTAGTTTCTTTTCATGGACAAGTAGAGAGGGGGGAAAAAAAGACTAGTTACCTATAAAAGTACATTAAGAAAGAGTACTAAACATAAAAGCAAAGTCACACAAACACAAACTTCACTTATCTTTAAGAGAAGTGACAAAAAAGAATTAATGACAATATTTTCAAATAACTATTTTTTAAAGTATTAAAAACTTTAGTTATAAAAGATCAACTTTTCTCAACAATGATTATATCCTATTATATATTTAGTAATGTTCTAAAGTCAACCCTATTTCAAATACAGGTTTTCAGATGGGTATATTGTTTTAAATAATGAACTGAAGTAATCAAGTTACTTATATAAATTCACTGTGTTTTCAAAAATTAAAATCTTAATTCATTCCTTTTTTAGACACAGTATATACCCCAAACTAAAGCTATTCCTAAGAATTTAAAAATAGGAGAACATAAACGGACACTAGGACATTTTATTTCATCAGGTATGATAAATCAGAGTGAGTTCATTCACAGCTGTTACGGACCTAAGTTACTACTTAGTCACAAACTTCACATTAGAAATACTTCATTCAAAGTCTCTGTTTTTTATTTGGCCATATACTGAAGTAAAATTACATGAGTTTTAAAATAAGCCAATCTTTAAAAATGTGTTGTAGGGGGTATGGTAGTGAGGCACCAGTGACGTCTAACTTTTAACTCAAAAGAGTTAATTTTTAACTTTACCTCATAACCTAATTAAGTGTCACTATTTTGAAGACAAGTTAGAAAGGTCAAGCCAATGAACAGTGGACTCCTCCAAGATCAAGATAATGTTTCCATGTGGATTTTATTTGGAGCACCTTTACCTGTCGATCTTTTCTGTGCATCCAATAAGTATCTTGTCTAACAATGAGCTAATGAGGTTGAAAGCGCCAATTAGTTACTTATGATTTTCCATTCCTAAAACCACTCATGAAGGAAATATAAGCCCTGAATTTTCTATTCGGCATGTTTTACTTTTTATTCTCTCAACCTGGTTACCTGAGTGGCCCCTCAGTTCCTAATGACTATTCCTTATTTCCTATTCTGCCATTCCCCCACTCACTCCAAGGCTTGGAGAAGGGGTAGGGAGTTTAATTGGAAGAATTAGTGAGAAAATGAGTTCTCAAGACCTAAATCCATTTTGGAATTTGAAATAGAATATGTGAACATCACATTAATAAAATTAATTTCGGTATTAAAATTTTCTACAGTCTCATTATATTTTTAAATATGTTCTGAATAAGTTTAGTGACATTAAAACTTCCATCATTTAGGTTCAAATTATTTATGAAGAGGATACTGCAGTATAGACAAGATTTGTCTATTTCCTTAATGAATCTGAAAAGTACATATATTCAAAAATTTTAAAAATGACACCAAAATATTTCACAAAAATAAATTATATACAGAAATAAGTACTTTTAATTCTAATCATTAAAACAAATGAACACAGGTCATTACATTAGTAATAGAAGTATATATTTTGGTTTCATATTTTCTGAAAGGTAATTTTTCCAAGATTATAAAAATGAAATATCAACTTGCTTCAGTAGGTGGCAGAAAATCACACAACATAGAACTAACGATTTTGCTTTTTCCTTTCATGTGAAAATGAAACCACTGAGCTACTTCAAAACAACAATGCTTGTGATGGCATTTACTACATAGTCTTGCATCAGGCAAGTCAAGAATTTTGTGTTGCTCTAAGAGTGGGCTAATTCACCTGAGGTGTGGGGGAGACCAAGCAATAAATATACAGAAAAGCCTTCCTTTCAGACTATAATTTTGTAACTCCAAATGTTATGCTGAAACCAGCCTGTGCAAATATAAGCACACAATATACCTAATGACCTGCACATCGAAGAAGCTGGGAGGTATTAGGCATCTCTGGGCTGGTACAGAGCTAGGTGCTCATCTAATCAGGCAAACTGCTACTATTAAGCTGTGCTCTCCTCACTGTGCTATGCTAAACTTTACCGTGCAGTCTGTGTTGTTTGTTAATAATGCTTCCCTGAAATGTTTTTTCTGTATTTTAATGTTTGCAGCACACAAACTAAATACTCTCTCTTTTCAGTAACTACTATCTCTTTCAAATCAAAGAAACTCTTTCAGGGTCCTGGCCTCTCCAAAAGCAGTATCTACATACACTTTTAAAGGTATTCCCTTTGATTCCATTGGTTTAAGATGATGTCAGGGTACAATAGCAATAGCAAACAATTATATAGTGCCTGATTTGTTGAAAGCTTTGGAGTAATTTTAAAGTCTGAAACATTTTAATTCCCAAGTCTTTTAGTGAAAGTGCTACAAAACAAAGCAATGCACTGAATGCCAAGCAAAAGTTGCAAGACTCCCAGACGGAGACATGCCTAGGGCTGGGACCTGCAGCATCATCAGAATCAGCAGAACTATGATTTTTAAGCGGAAATATTAAAGAGAACTTAAAGTTCACCTTAACGTTTAATTTATTAAAATTAAGTGTTATTTGAATACTAAGGACATTTTTCACATCTAGATTGAAGTAAATTGAACATATTAAATATATAAATAAGTTTGGAATGTTTGAAATAATTTACTTAACTAAATACTTAAGGGAATCCAATTTTAAAGTTATATAGCAAAACTTTTAAAAATTTATAAATAGAACCAAAAAATTGTCAAGTAAACTCTGAAACTTAAGAAAGAATTAGGCTTTTAAAAGTTGTAACTTAAAGTTGAATTTCAATTTTAACAAATATCTCTGAACAGTCTTTCCTTCACACAAAATACCCACACATTTAACAAATAACACCTCCTTCATACTGGCTGTGAAGATACAGAGGTTTCACCCTTAGCACGATGCACAGGCACAGCAAGCACACAGTTACAGATTGGGGGCTGCTGTTCTTTGCTATGCCTGTTATTATTAAAGTGCCATGTATGCTCCCTCATTGACTCTCTGCCCGAGATTCCTGGGTTTGGGTTTAAGGCAAGAGAGAACCTGTATTACTAAAGAGTAAACCAACACAACCCCTGCCTAAGAAAAAATTTAGATTGATTTTACTTCACATAATGGTTTTAAGACATTACTCAGTACTGTTAGAATAGACAGGAGGTATCTCAAAATCTAAAAAAAAAGTAAACGATAAATTATCATTACTTCTAAATCATGCCAAGAAAAATCATTGACCGAATGTTGAGTCAGACTGATTTTCATTGCTGGCATATTTATCCAATGACACAATACTTTCTAGGTGTTTAACTCATTTGAACAAAATGTTTTAAAGTATATGTTGATAGGAGAAATACTGAGATATTTCACTTACTTATAACCCCATGCGATTATTCCTAATATGAGGGCCAGCACCAAAATGGTGCCGGCAATTATGCCTATTATGATGTTGGTGCCAGCAACACCTGGAGGAAAAAAAGAAACAATAAAGATCACTGTATGTAATTGAAATTTTGATACAAAATTCTTTCAGGAATTTTTTTCTCCAAATCTGTAATCCCTACCCCAGCAACATTATTTTAAAATATTTTTAGAGTGGGTATTTTTTAAATGGAAGAGAAATCAACCATAACTTATCCATGTACATCGGCAATTTTCATTTAAATTATTCTGTGCATCTGTTCCAATTCTCGTCCAAGTACATTTTGTGCAATTGTATTTTCCATGAATTTTTCTGGAAAATATGACGAGGTCACTGAACTAAAAGGAAGAAGAATAAAATGGGAAAGAGAAAGGGGCAATACTACTATATTGGTAAAGCACCCACTGGGGGAAAATTTTAGCAATCCATGTTCCTTTTGACCCTGATCTCTTCCTCAGAAATTCTAGGAATGTTATTGTGCCTGTCACTCCATTCTGACAACTAATGTAAGGTCCTTCTTGCTCTCGGTTGTGTGTATTTTGCCTCTTCAAAGTAAATGCAAGCTTCTTAATGATGAAAATGTTTATACAGATTGCTACAGTCATAGATAAGAAAAACTGAGGGAAAAGAGTCTAGTGAGCTGGAGACTGGAGCTGTTGAGACACTAGAGCGAGACAGCATCTGACTGGCAGAGGGCCAGGGCAGAGATGAAGCTCAGGACTCAGTAACGACATTGTGTGTTGGCCTCCTTTGTCAGTCAGGCTGAGATGTAACTCTTAAGGGCAGAGAGAGTGGCTCAATGAGTCAAAGGCATGGTCAACAAGTCCAAGTGAGTGCTCAAGAGCAGAAAAGGCAGATCAGAGGGGCCTGGCTCTGACACCAGAAGGCCTGGTGTGCTGCTAATGATTTATATCCCATGCTTAAGTCGCCCAGATCTGTTTCACCCAGAGCAACATAGATCTCTCCTTGTCTGTTGCAGTCCTGAGGCATTCTTCTAAATATCAAAGATCAGTAGTGATGGGCACCTGAGGCAGATTCCAATTCCCCGCAACCAAGTGGCAGCCTCTACCTGGGAGCCCTCATGGTCAGGTCAGATAGCAGGACTAGAGCATCTAAGGGGACTGGCAGACTCCACCATGCTCAAGTCCCCTGTGGGATGGGTGGATGCCAATGCCAGGGATTTTCCCACTCTAAGAAGCAGCATGTCTGTCCTCCCTTCCTTTTCTTCATTTAAGAAGGACCAATAAACTTGGCAGCTAGCTCTGGATATTTCTAAGTAATGGTATGACTTTCAACAAGTAACTTCAACCCATGGCCCTGAACAGCCTCACTGCTGCATTGACTGCTGAGACGAGCACCAGACCACCACTGCAAAGGCTAAGGGTACAAAGCTCTTAGTCATTCTGTGACTTTATTTTATTTTTTTAATCCTCACCCAAGGATATGTTTATTGATTTTAGAGAGAGGAAAGGAAAGGGAGAGAGCGAGAGAGAGACATCACTGTGAGAGAGAAACATCAATCAGCTGCCTCTCATACACGCCCCGACCAGGGATCAAACCTGCAACCTTTTGGTGTATAGAATGATGCTCCAACCACCTGAGCCACCTGGCCAAGGCATTCTGTGACTTACTTTATTAAAGTCACACTGGCTAAGATTTTTAACTTTTCTGGATGATCAGTACAAACATACCCCTTTTTTCTCATTCTTTGGAGATGAACAAACTTCAGGATTTGAGCAATACTTAATGCAAAGGAATACTCAATAATGAAATGATAAAACAGTTTAAAAGGGGACATTTACCTCCAAGGTCTATGTTCTTTCAACTGCCTGCATTTAAATCCTACTCGTCCAGCTGGGCCACTCTACCTTTTATAAATGCACCTGTTCTTTCTGACCCACGTCCATACACCCCTTCCGGGAACACTGGCCAAGGTTACTACTTCTAGAAACACATTCAGTTCACAATACAGAACTGTGGTTGAATACACATGAGATTCTATAATAAAGGATACCAAAGTCAACAAAAAAATTAAAACTCAATTCTTCAATTTCTTTTCTTATTTATTCAATCCCAAAACATAAAATTCTTCCTTTAAACTCAGACAGTTATGAAGGATAACTACTTTCTTCATTTAAAAGAAATGGTATGGTTTGTTGTCAGCCCCAAACAAGTAGAATACTTGAAAAAAATAGGTTCGATGTCACATAATATAATACTAAACCACTAGACTAAGTTATATTCAATGTCATGTGTCATTACCATTTAATGGAAGTGACCAGTTGCATAATGTGGACCCAGGTACACACTGTAATTCATTACTGTCTGGATTTAATTTTTATTTGAGCTATAAAAATAACCCACATGAAACTATCTGGAGGGCAGCTGTATACAAAGGTCACATGAAGGCATCAAGCGAGGCACCCACCGCTGCCAGACAGAGTCGTGCCGGTCTTTGCCTCGTCATCGTGAGGGAAGTAGGTGCTGCAGTCAGCACCAGTCCAGTGTCGGTTGCACGCACACTTCAGCTCATTGCTGCACACCTGGAATCCAGAATCAATCCAGAGTAAAAGTCGACTCCGGTGCACCGGCACCAAAAACAGGCATCTGTTTCTAATTATTATACGCCTCGAATTTGATGCTAATTACTTATTTGTTAGCCAAATACCTAAAAAATATTTTCAAGAGATCAACAGTTGTCCCAAAGGAATACTAAACTGTAACAGAGGAAAAAATTTGTCTAAAAAAATCAATGAAATTATTGTTTAGAATTTTATTAACTTAAATTTTGTAAGAGGGAGATTTAGAATTTTATTAACTTAAATTTTGTAAGAGGGAGATTTAAAAAAATAACTAAGCAGAAATGAAATCATTTGCCAATTATCCAATACAAAGGTTTCTTCCTTCCAAAGTTTCTTTATACTAAAACTGTATTCATCTTTTAGGAAGAAGATGAGAGAAAAGAGAAATCTGATGAAGAAGCAGGAGGCCTGGTGCTTTGCGGAGCTCTGAGAAGAGAGCTTCACGAAGCTACAACCTGGCCCCTCAACACAAGCTCCAGAGATTCATGGCATGGTCGTGGAAAACAGGAGCTCCCTCCAACAAGGCACAGGAAAAAAACCCACATAAACATGGCACCAAACTTTTAAAAATTCTCAGTCAATAATCTGTCTTCATTCATCTTTCCAGGAAACAGAATCTATACCTAGACCTTATAATTCAAAACAACTGTAAATGGAGTGGAAAGTACAGGAGAGTCCAGTTAGGTTTGAGATCAGATTTCCTCAGGAGGTAGGTTTTCGCTGGATCGGCTTGTCGTTTGTCTGATCTAATTTGCCATAAGATGGCAGACATCCATACCTAAGTGTAACCGTAAAATGCGATTAGCAAACAGCAGATCTCAGAGTAACTCAGATGAATAAATTTCGGCAGATCAACAAATATGTGGGGAGAAAAGGTTTAGGCTTAAAGTCAGAAGGCCTGAGTGTGATTCCCCATTTCACCGCTGTCTTTTTTTTTTTTCTGGTTTAAATCATTTTTACTGCCCAGAATATTTTTTTTCTTGTGTCTTGTGGGTTTTTTCTTGTTTTCTTTTTTAATAACTATAAATTTAAGATTAGGGAAACTTGCCTTTGTCTTGTAAAACAAAACAAAATAGAGCTTTTGCATCATTTGCTAAACTGATCTTATTTTATGAGAGATGGTAGTTATCTCCCAACATTAAAGTTTACATCATGAATGATGCAGGTCTCAGTCTGGTAGTACTCAAAGGACACAACAACATTGTTGACAAAATTATTATCTGCCTGTATTTCCAAGACAGCCCCAAAGTCAAAACACGAGAGAGGAAGAGAAATGGAATGAACACCTTAAGTAATTTGCAGGGGAAATACTCCCTTTCCTCACGGCTCCACCTTTCCTCACACTTAAAGAAACAGAATGTATCGGCAGGCCTCCTGGACCAGTCGGACACCCAGTCTACACTCTCCTCAAAGCATCAACTTCTTTTCCTCCTTCGACAGCTACTTCTTCTGACTTAGAACTACAGGCCCTGCTGGTGTGCATTTCCACACCCAACACAATCCGCCCATCTTCTTGTGGGGAAGGGCTGTCAGTGCAAAATGCCTCTTGAACTACTCTGTCCTGATGCATGTTGGGCATCTGCACAAATCTTCTCCATGTTTCCACTCTGGATGGAGGAGGAGGAAGGGATGTGTCCCAGCTTCCCATTCCCCTCACTGCCACGATCATGGCCATTGCTTCTGTTCATGGGGAGCTCCCCACTGGGGATTTCCACCCCCGGGGAACTGGTGAGGCTGGCTAGCAGGGGCCACGGCTGTTCCCCTTCCTCGCAGTTGTTACTGTTGTGAAGGGGCAGTGGCCGTCTAAGTGAGACGACATTGTTGAGCTGCTGGAACCTGTGGTCGCAGCTGGACTGGCTCCAGTTCTCAGGCAGCAACACAAAATCACCACTGTCTTATTGACAGGCCTTAACCAGGTTAGCTAGCTTCGCCACACATCAGTGTCCTGATCACACATGGCCAGTGACAGAGAGACAACGTACAGTGAGTGAAGAGTCACAATGAGCATGTCACTGGCACTGTGTTCAGCATTGTGCATAAGTTACAAACATTAACTCATTGGTGACAACAGTCCTGCAAAGTAGGCAACGTCATTTTCCCACTTTACAGAGAAAGAAAGGCTAAGTAATTTGCTAAGCAATTTGAGTCAGGGAGGCTAGCTAATTTGCCTAATCTCACTCAATTAGTAAGAAGACAATGAGCTGGGATTCAAACTGTGGGTCTGATTCCAAGCCCACATTCTTCACTAGAAAATGTATAGTCCATAAGTATACCTACTGCATTTCTCATTTCAACTTTAGCCACACATACGAAGTTCAGTTACTCTAAGTTAAAAAATACACAGGATATAACATCTCTGTGTATGAGTAATTATTGTAAATGATTTGGATGCTGCTACCTGATTTACTTGTGTCTATCACTCTTGATTCATTCATTAAACAAATGGCTAGTTAACACAACTTTATTTGGTCTGTTATATACTCAGAATTTCAAGATGAATAAGGTACAGTAAACATGAACAACCGTGAAAAATTTTCATTATTCTTTCCCCCGCCCTCTCAAAATGTATTTCCTTCTAGCATCTTTATTTAGCAAGCCTTATTTAGGAAAGAAGGCTTACTAGACCCCTTTACAGGAGCAGGGCTACTTACTATATTCCTTCTCTATTATGTTCCATAAGGATCCCTATCCATTGGCAAAGAGCAACAATTAGTAAGACCTCAGGAAGGATATTCTGGCCATATCCCTTGGGGATATATGTGGCATGAGATCCTTTACCTCAACTGGAATAGACCAGTTAAAGCAAAAAATCTAGGAAGAGGGTAAGAAGAAAATCACAGCACATGCCAAAAGAAAAAGAACACAAAAAGGTTTTGTTACTACAGGACTTTCTGACTGAAAATGACAAAACTGCAATCACTAATAGAGCATATTTATTTAACCTATAAAGTTATTTCTTTATTAACAAATATATAACTGAAAGTCTTTGTTTCAAAGACTAGATTCTTTCATCTGTGAGAAACATTTCCCTAAATTATTCTGTTTTTATTCCTAGGCAGTCTCCTCAGCTGACTCATGCTGGTGTGGCTATGGCTGCTGGAGGTCTGTCCTAGTTGGTCAGCAACTGGGCCATGCCAGTTGTTAGACACTGTGGCCACTGCCCTGCTTTTCACTCCCCTTGTATCCCATTGTAGTTTGGTAAAATTTGTCATTTGTAGAAAACCGGCATTACAGTATATGAGATCACATTAGTACAATATGAAAGGAAGATGAAAGAATTTGGTTAGGAAGATTACACTATTTCTTAGTCCCAGGTTTTTGCAGATCACACAACAGAAATATTCAAATGACTGTGACAAAATAACTGTTTATATGCTGCCTAGAAACGTGAGTAAGTATGGCTTGCATTAGGACAGAAATAAGAGGTTCAGGGTCGTATCTATTTCTGTGTTACAAAAGAAATAACTAATTCCCCATGGCGAGGTACTGAACACTTACTCCATTTCCTGAACAAACAGCACCTTCTTTATTGCTTAAGCAAGTACTAAAGTTGAAGGAAGCCACAGGAAGACACCTGTGTTCTAAGCACATCATTTGGGGACCACAAGGTGTCCCATCTTCCACATAGCCAAGATCTACATCTTCTTCAAGCTTAACATGCCCACCACTGAAAATAAATTGAGAGAAAAAAATGGGATTCCATTAACTCACATTCATTTGGAGAATATGCTTAAATACTAAAAAGCAGGCAACATCACTTTCTCTATTTTCTAAATATTATATAATAAAAAATGATAGCATAAGCATTTTCTTCTAAATGGAGAAAGCAATTCAGTCTTTTGATCTAATTCTTTTCAGAGATACAAATATATCTTAGGATTTAAACATATTATAACAACTGCCTGAATTTCAATAACTTATCATTTTACCTTACATATTATTATAAGTCAAATAAGCCATTATTTTATTTGATAAGTAAGTAGGTTTCAAAATTTCAAGCATGTTTTGAACAAAATGAAGATTAATTTTGGTTTATCTTTCTCGAAACAACTACTGTATTTACAAACTACATTTGAGAACAGCTAAACTTATAACTTCACTATTCAATATAGCAAGCTGACATGTAGGAATTGAAAAAATAAACAATCAAAACTGAAAATGTATATTCATAATCAATTTATCCATATGGCACCATGTTTATATCTCCCTTGTTTTAATTTATTTTATTATTTTTATCAAAATTATATATGCATAGAGTTTCAAGAGTCAAGTAGATAAATTAATTTTTTAAATGTCAAAATCTCCACACAAGATGTGTCTGAATATTAGTTCATCTTCCTGTGGAAATCTCCCTCAGAGCTCCCCCTCGAACTCTGCGCTGCGCGCAGCTGATCTGGACGTCCTCTGCACCTGGTGCAAGCTGCGCATCTGGGATTTCCCCCACCATCCACTGGAGGACAGCCCTCACAGTGGGGATTTTGACTCCTGAATTCCTTGCCTTTCTCTTTCTAAGTTTACTCCTTCATTTTGATGGAGTGCAATTTCCAGTGGCTTCCGAGAAAGGATTTAAGGGAGTAAATGTGGGGGAAACTTGCATATCTGTAAGTGTCATTATTTTCTATCCTCACCCTTGATTGGTATTTTGCCTGGGTACAGAATTCTAGTTTGGACATCATTTTCTCCATTTTCTTCTGGCCCTGAGGGTTCCTGTTGATAGATCTTAAGTTATTCCAATGTGTTATGTTTTTTTCCAACCTCTCTAGAAAATTTGAGATTCTGTTTTTTTTTTACTAAGGTTTTGAAATTTCTAATATCATCTTTAAATGTACCTCTAACTCCACTCATTGTACCTAGCACTTGGTGAGCCTTTCAATAAAGAAATTCAAGTCCATCAACTCTAGACAATACTCTTGAGTTACTCACTGATGATTTTCTCCCTGCTGTTTTCTCTGTTCTTTATCATTTCTATTCTAATGTGATGAGTTCTTCTATATGTTCATTTTCTTTCCCCCTTTTGCCCTACTTTCTAGAAGATAACTTCAACTATTGAGTTTAATTTAAGCCATCACATTTTTAATTTCAAATGGCAATTTTTCCTTCTCTGAATGTTCTTCATTTTTTAAAAGAGTGCTCTTCTATTCTTGTTTCATGATAGAAATATCTTCTCTCTCATAAATATTGACAGGTGGTTGTTTTTTCTAGTTGGTTGATTTTATCCCTTTTTTACCTGTTGGAGACTTTCTTCACATGTCTGGTAATCTGCTCATATTTCAGGTGTGGAAATAGACAGATGTTTGGAAATTCCAGGGCTTTCTGACTGAACACGGGTGTGGCTGGGCCATTTCCACACAACCCTGACACCAACACTACTGCCTGCTGTCCTGTAGTCTGGTTGCCCCCTATTTCACTATCTCAGATTATGAAGCCAAATCTTCCACGGGATGATTTCAACGGAGTCAAGGAAGTCATCTGCTAGTGCTTCTTTAACACACTGTATTTCAACCCCTTCCTTGCTCCTTTACTCTTTCTTCCACAGATAAATGACACGACCCATTTTTTGAGCTTTTTGAGAACTGATAGTATATATTGGCTTAATACTCAGTTCTCCCCCTTAACTGACTTGGGAATTTAGCTTTCTTAATTCTGATAATCATTTGTCATACATCCATTTTCTTTCCACATTCCAAGGTTTTGTTGCTGTTGTCTTCTCTCTTTCCCTCTGCCTCTCTGTGGATATATGAATTTTTAAAACCTCATTAGAGTCATTTAATGGGATCTCAGAAGGAATGCATATACCAAGGTCTTGCAGAAGTAACACCTTCTTGAGTGCAGTTGGTAGGGTAATAATATGAGTGTAAAGAATTTATAGTTTTAATTTGAACATTTTACCTAAAATGTCATATGGTGTGCTTGAGTGTGATATTGTTACATTACAGAATTACATGATTATGATTTTATAATAAAATATTTTATAATAAAAGGGGCGTTATTTGTGCCAGACCTTAAATTTAATCCACTGATTTTTACCCCAAAACTCACATTCTTTTCCATTCAAAAGAATAAGATGCAAACTAAACCCTACTTTTTATTTTCTTTTTGTCTCTTCTCTGTCCAGATTCACTCAATCACCTCTATGGGCTAGAGTCTTTCTTGGCTTGCTAACATTCTTGGCTTGACTGAAAACAGAAACAATCCTCAACTACATCCCTCAGATGTTCTCAGAGAATGTAATAGATAATTACCTGCAGTTTAATGTTCTTCCCTGCTGCACAACTAAAGTAGATGTGATTTCACCATCAAGTTCTCCGAGCCTTGGGATATTACCGATATTGGTACACAGGAGGTAACCACAAAGCACATCCCTGTGTTGGAACAGGACCAGTTATTCCCAGCCTTGTGCAGTTAACACAATGATCTTACCTCACCTTGGCATTTGTTTGTCACGAACTACACTACTTGCTGAAGTTATAGGCAAAATAAGCCCAGATTAATTTATTCCAAAGTCCCAACTGTTCTCTGGCTTTTCTTTACTGCCCATTAGTGCAAATATTTATCAAAAGGAAATTACCCATCAAACAGACTTCTTTTATGTCAGACAAGTGAATGAATGATCTTTGGATGCACATTCTTTTGGAAAACAGCTCTTTCTTTAACTTGCTGCCCCAGAATTTTTTTTTTTAAAAAGAGATTACATGTGTGCACAGGCACACACACGCACCGGACAGATCTGGACCACACGGGTCTGACACATCACCCCACTCCCCCAGTGTCACACACAATGCCAATGTGACTGGCAAAATATTCCCACTGGTATTGAGTACTATCTTACATGTTCTCCATATCTAACACATTTTAATTATTAATGTAGATAACAATAAATACATACTCTCATAAATATCTTGTTAAGACTGATTAGCAGGCCATCAAAATTACACATGAAAATATCAGGCCTTATCAGGTAGATGAAGGGGAAAATTAGTACTTGTATCTATCACCAACTCAGGGGAAAATGTATTAATTCATTCTTTAAAAATAATTTTTAAAAGCTATATCACTATTTTATTAAGTGTCTGTCAATCAAAAACACTTAACACAGAAAAATATATTCAATCTATTTTTGAGTGTCATTTACATGTATGAAGTTTACTAAGTACTTTAGGATATATAAAGAAAATTAGACATGTTTTTTTTATTGTCGAGGAAATTATATTCTGGATACAAAACAAATCACAGGCATAAACTATGGAACACAGAATTGGGGACCAGGGCCACAAGAACAGCACAAAGGGCTGTGAGAGTTCTGAGGAGAAGAGGGAGATGATTTATTTCTAGAAGTACCAAATCCAGAAATATTTGTGGAGAAAGTAGCATCCAAGCAGATCTCTGAAGAATGGATAGGCTTCTGACTGGTAATAGAGTGGGCACAGCACGCTTCCAGAGGATGAACAGCAGAAGCACAGGCACAGAGGCAGGACAGTATGATAATGCACACATCAGGAGTATACGGTTTGCTCGACTTCGGGAGAGCAGAGAAGAAAAAAACAAAAGATGGGAGGTTTGGGGCAAATTGTGGAGGAGGTGCAGTGCCAAGCTAACGTTCCACTGTGTTTGTAAAGCAAAAGAGTATGACATTCTGCAAAGTGATTAGAGTTCTGAAATTCCACTGCCTGAATTCCAATTCTGCTTCTGTTACACCTTAATTACATGGCCTTGGTCAAACTAGTAAACTGGCCTCAGTTTTCTCTTCCATAAAATGAGGAGAACTGACATAAAGATTACATGACATAGCTCATGTAAAGCATAATACAATGCATAGTACACAGTGTGCACTCAATTCATGTTGGGTATTATTTTTACTATTAATTAGCTATGTGGATCCAATGAGATTTGAACAAAGAATTGACATGGTCAAAAAGATTCAAGTAGATTATCCTGCTGGCAGCCTGTTTAGATACTGCTAGCATAAAAAAATAATACCAAAAAAAAATACTGTTAAGAGGCCTTTGTGATAGCTGAAGAGTTAATGTAGGTCTCAGCTGGGTCCTTACTGCAACAGGAATGGAAATGAAGGGGTGAATTAGAGGCAAATGGTGGGGGAGTACAAGAGAAGAATGGACATGATTTGCATTTTGGGCAATTTGCCAGAGAGAAGGTGGAGTCCAGGATCATTCTGAGGTTTCTAAACAGAAGGACAGTAGGATATTAAGACCTTTGGCAAAAACAGTGGTTTAGAAAACTCAGAGCCAGTTAATTATATATTCTGATGACTTTAATTTTTTTTCCTTCGAAGCGCTGGCAGATGCCTTGTAGGCGAAAAAGTCCTGAGGCAGCTACAAGCATACCAGGACCTAGGAGAGAGCTGCAGCTACATGTCAGGACTTGGGAGCCTTCTGCAAAGACAACACAGGCAATGCATGGAAAAGACGAAAGCAGCACACTGCCTCTTGGGATGCAGAAAACAGGAAAGTCCTGGCTGCTTAAAAAGTAACATTCATAATTAATGAAAAGATAAACTCCGGGCTAACTTGCCCTCTCACCGTTTGTTGCACTGTATCCAGGTGTCTTTGTCTTTCCCACAGTTACCCTTCTCTGTGCCTTCGATATTTAGTTTCTCGTAGCAGTATTTGTCTGATGCCATCACCTCTGAAGCAGAACATAGTTTTCTATCAGTGACAGATAGACATGTGAGCTGTTCAAGCTGTCTGCAGTCAGGGAAGCAGCCACTTAAAGACTCTTTCACTGCAGTGCTCTCAATTCCAAAATTTGTACCTACTCTGTAAACATCCATGACTCATGGACAGTTTTTATGACTGCTCATTTGAAATCTGGAAAACAAATCTATTAGACCTTTGATAGAATTCAGGCTATAGGTTCCAAGAATAACGCGCCTCACAATTTGGCCAATAATTAGGGGAAGATGCTACCAAATGATTCTTTGAATAAATACTGCATACTTTCAGTGCCAAACACAAAGCACAGATTGCTCACTGAGCAAATTTTATTAATTATAAAGGCAATTTTATTAAAATAGTTATGCACTATAATTAAAGACTCAAGAAACAGTGGTATAATATCTACCTTGCTTACTAATTATTAACAGCTATAAAAAACACTTGTTCTGATTTTAGAAAAACTTGAATTCATGCCAAATCTCAGAGTCAAATAACATTTTAAGACATGTCAGCATCTTTGTTAGGATTTTATTTTTGCTAAAGCTGGGATTGGTTGATGAAGTTATCTAAGAATTAGATCAAAGTGACTTTTGCAAACTAATCAAAAGATGACTGTTGGTTTATATTTTAAAAAGTAATAATACTTATGTTGATACTTCTTTTTCCAACCTTCTGCTGTCAGCTACTATTTTCTCTCAAGTGGGGAAAACAAAACTCAGTCTCTCTGTTCAGAGAACAAACCTGCGGGACCAAAATTTCCCCCCTCCCAATATTTCTCTAATCCCTCAAAAGAGAGCACACACTTTCTCTCCCAAAAGTAGCCACTATTTATGACAACTGAGGATTATCATTATCTTTAATGATAACTGCCTTCTGAAAAAGTTTAAAACAAAAACTGCTTTCAAAAGGGCACCTAATATGTCCAGAAGAGCATATATAATATCTAGTATATTTTTAAACAAAAATATATAACTTAAACAGTATATTTTAGATATCATTGTTATATACTTCCCTCTGAAACTCTGGCAAACTTCGAAGGGAATAATATTAAAATTTTTCTCTGGTGTGGCAGAGCTACTTTAGCAGAAGCTCACCCACAAGCAGAAAATTGAGCTAGAGTTCAAGAAAGGTAGTTGAGGCAGAAAAGGCAACTGTAGCTAAAATGCTGCAGCTCTACTGCCAAAGTGTCCTGCCCAGGGCCCACGCCCATCCCACATGGTCGTATAGGTTTTGCTTAAGGACACTCAGCTGTGGAGAGCACAGGTGGAGCTGAAATCACGGTTTGTTCTGTTCTCCAAGCTGCACCCCCTGGCGTGGACTTCACTTGCCTGGCAGTGAAGGTACCTTCTGTCTCATCCAAAGGCACTGCCAACTACCCAAGACGTGTAGGGCTGAGTCCTCTCCAAGGAAGTGCCCTGATTTAACTTCCACAAAAGCATCCCTGCTGAGACAGGTGGCAGTTTTAAGAATCCTGACTCTTAAAGTGACTGAAAATTTACTTCGAGCACACATGTCTCTTAGCCTGATACCACACTCTGAAATGATCAAGCCATACTGTTTACTTACTTTGTCCCCAGATGTACTTGCATTGTCTATCCCTGGTTTTGCATCTTCCTCCAAAGCAAATTCCCTAAAATGGAAAAGCATGCCTATCAGTAATGCAGTGTCTGCTTATGTCAGATAGCTAAAAAAGTGAGTATGAACAGAACCAGTAGATGAGTATTCTAAAGACCTTTTATCTCCAGAGTTGATCACAAAATATTTAATTGATATTCCTATTTTGATAAGATTTCAGTATTTGTTTCCTGCTGGTACAGATGAAAAATGAAGTATTTCTTTCCTGCTGGTAAAGATGAAGTAGCCTACCTGAACACCATCACATGAATATCCATCCATTTTATGAATATTTGGGGCACACTAGGAAAAAAAAACAGAACTGATGAACCAAATGCATAGCAGAATATCAGGATGAGCTAATTCTATTAATGTTTTCGTTTTAAAAATAAAGTCTGAGAATACATTTAGTGTCTTAAAATATCTAAAACTAACAAAAACGAGGAAGCAAAAGGAAATACAACAGCTGGTGCACTTTCCCCTAAATACATTGATCTGTCAGAAGCAAAACCAGTTGTCACATAACAGCCAACAGAAAGAACTGACGGCAAGGACTCAGCTAATGCTAAAATTTATGAGCATCTTGCTTTATACAGATACACTACTCTGGAGAGCAAAAAAGGCAAGAGCACTGGCATAGATGGAGCAGTAACTATGTTTCTTCTTTTTTACCATGAGAACAACACAGTCCTTCACATGCAAGCAGAAGTCTACCTTGCGTATGTTAGGAAAAAAACATGTTTTATAGCACGCCCCCTTTTTTACTTGGTAGCAGTGCAGAAAACTGCAATGCATTCTTATGTAATTTTTAAATTTACTATACATTATATATCATTATATTCATTATATATTCATTGAGAAAAGTTATGTAATATATAAGAAAGGAAAATTAAAATGAAAACAAAAGTTTATCATATCCCAGTACCCAAAGACAACTATTTTTTACATTTTGATACATTTTTCTCTACCTTTTTCTACAAGTTTTGATATTTTTTAAACATAGTCAACATACAGATATTTTATATTACACTTTTTCCCTTACAAATTTCATCATCATAATAAAATTTTTTGTAGGTATCATCTTTCATAGCTAAAATGCACTGAACAAACAAATCATGTAACCAATGTACTAAAACATTCACTTATAAATAGAGTAAGTCCTCACTTAACATCCTTGGTAGGTTCTGTGATTTTAAGCAAAATGGTGTAAAATGAAACCAATTTTAATATAAGCTAATTGAAATAAACAAGAGTTTAAGTTCCCGCAGTATCTTCTAGATGTTCTAACAAAATGACGTTGAACGGAGCACCATCACTCGAGGGCCTGCTGATGTGCGCTGCTACACCTTGTGCTACGGGAGCATCTTTGCATGTCCATCATTTTGTCGTGTCCTCCTCATCTCTAAGTGTTAGCTCAGAAACACAGTGTTTATTAATTAGGTAATAAGGACAAAACTTTTGCATGGAAAATCTTTAGTCTTTTAGGATGACTATCTTTAAAATAATGCATTTTTAATGGATAATGTAGATATACCACTACTGAACCCCCTTTTTTTTTTAGAGCAAAAATATGCAGGTAGTCCTGCTCCAATATGCATGCATTTCAGTTATGGTTTTTTTAAAGAACAGTAGTATGCCAACACCATTTCAGTTACCATAATATATTAACTGTGAGCAATCGCATAAAGCACAACTTTGCTACTGGCTCTTGAGTCGATTGATCACTAGGTAAATAACAGGTGAATAACCTGTCACTCTTTGAAAGCCTCTCAGTGATTGGTCACTTGCCCTCCGTTTATTCAGTTCACACACAGACAACATGGTGTGCAGTGGTGTTACCTCTCTGTCTTTGGGTGACAGCGTGTGACATTTTAGAAAATTGGATAATCAAAAGAGAAAACTGGCTAACAAAGATGGAAGTTCAGCAAAAAGAAAGAAAAAAAGAAAAGCAATGACACAAAGTGAAATTCTAAGCTAACGTGAATGGAGTTATAGAACAAAATCGCTGACAATGGGAATGTTGATAGTGCTGTTGGGCAAAACACTTCACAGTCACATCCTCACATCTGTCAGAGACAGCCATGACATTGAAAGCACAAAGGACGAAATGCTGAAAGCTGATCCAAACTTAGAAAGGAGTGTGACAATTCAACAAAGCATAGAAAAGATGTTCACTATTCTCCTAAGGTTACAAGAAGGTGGCATAACTCCCAATAAGATTTTAGAAAAAAATACTTTAATTTGTAATGTTTATGTTTTAACTTAGTGCACTAAATGTTAAATTAATTTACTTTTAATTTCTATAATCATTTAAAACCAATAGTAAGAGAGTTTTCAATAGTCTGACAACCTTTTTAAAAGATCACAGAAGAAATGTAGTTTTTTCCATTGACTACTAGGATGACTTTCCATGGTTTCCGCTTGTGTGGTCATTTTCATGGTCCTGCATTACCCCACAAAGCGAGGACCCCCTGCACACACCCTGGCCACGTGAAATCTGACAACACTTGCTAAAGTTGGTCAACTTCCCTATGTTCTCTATTTAAAACTAAATAATAGTAAATCTAAGAGCAGTGATTAATGGTTGATGTGGTGCAAGCTGCCTCAGGTAAATAAGAGTCAAGACAGAGAAATAGGCTCCTTCTCAGAACCCAGGATCCTGTGGGTCTCTCTGCTTCAGCTGACACCTGTGTCAGCCAGCTGAAGAGATCTTTTTGTTTCCTCCTTCACTAAATAGACAAAAAGAAAATGAATTTTCCTCCCTACTTAAAACAAAAAAAGGCAAGCATGCACTCTTAGGTTTGCTCAACATGAAGACAAAATTATGCTGAACATCTGCTCAAGGAGATGTTTACTGAAAATCAGATTCCTGAAAAAATTAAAAAAGTGAGAGTTTATGTGAAAGAAAGATGAGCATCTTGTCCATTTCCATGTCACCTGGGAGGTTAAGTGCACTAAAGATACACCTACTTTGCCCATTGATTCAGAGTAATTATTCTGTCCATTACCTGGCTTGAATTTCCTGAGCATGTCTCACGAATATCACAGTCATTTACTGCTTCTCGGCACACAGTCCCCAGAGGCTGAAACTAAAATAACCAAACATCAATGTGTAAAAACAGGTGAAGAAAAATTTCTCACAGTATCATCTTTAAAAAAGCAAAACGAATATTCTGGGGACAGGAATATCTTAAACTATTTGAAGATGGCAGTCTGTGAAACCAGCTGCTGAATGACATGTTAATGTAATAGTTTGGGAGAGAGCTTCTTGGGGGTGGAGTAATATGCACAGTCATCACACATAAGCCTTAGGATATTGTGGTAAAATAAGCTAGTGCTCGATGATACAGCTCCACCAGGACAAGTCCGTCCAAGTTCTAGGAATTCCTCCTTCCAAATGGCTAGTGAACTTACACTCCACCCTTCATTCTTACTGGCACTTTCATCATATTATTCTTTTTTGTCTTGTCTGCCAAGAATTTGAAAGTTACACTTCATGCTAAATTGTAAAAGTTACATTTTTCTGGCAAAGGTATTTTCTCCCATGCTCTCCTTTCCCTCCTTTCCTGTCTTGTTTTTACATAGATTTATAGCTTGGTCTTTTATTCTTTTCTCATCTTTCTATGATTTATACCCATGTCTGGGGGCATTTTTTTTGTCTGTTTTCAACCATCTTAAATATTTCTTGTAAGTGTGAGAGTAGTACAAATAAATTTTTAAACTCATTGGATTTATAAATTACTAGAGTATTCATTGTAACAAAACACAGGTACATAACATTTTCATTTTTCCCCTTTCTTCTTCAATCCCATTTTCTTTCCTTCTTCAAAATGTTACAATTTGGGCTGGATCCTGCTCTGCTCACACAAACACACACATTATTTGACACACACATGTGTGCACACCTTTCACCTTCTCTCCTTTGCTCGCAACCCTCCTGGCAGCTGAGTCTCCTGTTGTTCCTGGCACACAAACAGCACACTGCCAACTCAGGTCAGCATTGCAACAGATATTTTTTAGAAGATCCAAACAAAATGTGTGTGCATTCATTCATTCACCCATTCATTCATTCACCCATTCATTCATTCATCATGTATTTATTAGCCGCTTGAAATGTGCCAGGTACTTCCTGGTCACTGGGGAGTCAATGGAGAACAAGACATGAGAATCCTGCTTGCAGGAAACCATTTTAATGGGGCTAAACAGGCCATAAAAATAAGGGAAGAAGCAGAGTAATTTCATTTCCTATACTCTGGCTCTCTTCCTCCTTGGAATTGGGGCAAACCACAATTTTAGAACATCTGAGGTAGAAATATGAGCAGATTTGAGGTAAAGTTTATAGGACAGTGTCCGTGTTCAAGACTTGCGGGAGATGTCTGAGTGGAAGCACAGGGAAGGAGGACTCGCAGGAAGTGCTGGGACACAGCAGTCAGTAGATCAACCCGAAACCCTGCCCTCCTGCAACTTACCCATTAATGAGAAGAGAAAAATAATAAATAAGTAAACAAGCAACATTTTACAGCAGAGGGTCACAAATTATGGCTAAAGGGCAGAATTATGTTGGACACTTGTTTTTATAAATAAAATTCTACTGGGACACAGCCATGCCCATGGGTTTCTGTACTTTTCAGGCTGCTTTCAAAGGCAGAGTTAAAGAACCAGGCAGAGACCTATGGCCCACAAAGCCTACACTACATACTCTCTGGCCCTTCACAGAAAATGTTTGCCAACTCTGATTTATAGACACATTATTATAAACGTATGTTGAAAAATTACACATACATACAATTTCTCACTTTGTTCCCCTGTTTCCCCTCCTCCACTCACTACTCTGACCCTCCTCCAGGAGCCCAGGGAAGGGAGGGGGAGGGTACAGAGAAAGAAAGTGGCAAAAAAAGACCTCATGTGACTGGTACAGCTGGAACTTATCTGTGGGATGGTTAATCATGCCAATTATTGTATGTATTTTATTTTCAGTATTTTTCACTTGTTGCTTGAAATGGTCATATCACAAAGAGCCAAATTCTATAAATCAAAGGCAAATGGCCTGATTAAATGCATTGTATGACAGGCAGACTTCAAACCCTTAGAATTAAAATAAGTGAGTGGGGATCCCCTGTTGTGGCAGTTGGAAAAGCGGACAGAATAAACAGCTGAGGCAGCCAAAACAAAAGAATGTCTGTTTCACATTTGGTTTAATCTTCCTTTCGTAGAGGCTGCTTTCAGAGATCTCCGCCAGGGCCTCACTTGTTTGAAAGAGCTGCCAGAGACACTATAGTGAGGGGGAAACAACAGAAATCGCTGCCAGCAGAGCTGGGATGTAACTGCACATTCATTCCTTACTGGCTGAGTGAGCCTAAGTAGGCTATTTCACTTCCTTAAGACCGAGATTGCTCAAGTGAAAAAATCTGGATGAGGACGCCTATCAGAAAAGTGTGGCTGTGAGTGCTATCTAAGACAGCAGTCCCCACTAGGAGCGAATTTACCCCTGAGGGGACATCTGGCACTGTCTGGAGACAATTCTATCATGACTGGGAGGGACTGTGCTGGCATCTGGTAATCAGAAATCAGAGGTGCTGCTAAATATTCTACAATAAAGATGACACACCCTCACAGCAAAGAGTTATCCAGTCAAAAATGTCCACAATGCCAGTGTTAAGAAATCCATAAGATGCTATCCAGTAAAAGTCCTCAGCACTATCTCTGGCACTCAACAGATACTTGGCTCATATTCCACCCTCTTTTAACTCTAATTAGACTAATCAGCACATAATCAGCGAAAGACAGTTGTGCATATTTTTATTCATTCATTCAACAAATATTTACTAAGAACCTGTACCAATTACTACTGTGTGAGTCCCTGGCTCTGCCTCCATCAAATGTACAGGATGAAAGACAGATATTCAACCTCTGAAATGATGTAGAATATTATACCAGACTTTATATGAGAAGAAGAAAAATAAGTAGATTTCATTGGAAAAGGTAAACCTCAAATAACTTTTAGTCTTGATGGAAAGGCTTAAATATTTGGAGACAGGAATGAAGATGCTGTTGGGAGGATGAAGACAGGTAATGTGTTTAAAGGTGCATTTTAAACTCTCTTGCATCACACATGTAAGGTGTTATCATGTCTGAAGTACTCCTTTTGTTCCCTCAACAGTTAATGCAAGAGATATACCAAGCTGAGCAGCAGGAAAAGTAAGGTCTATTGAGCATTCACTTGGCTTTACAAGAAAAGAAAAGCATCATTCAAAGGTTAAATACCTGGTCTCATTTAACATGCACAGTCCTCATGGAGGCAGAATTATAAAGGTTCAGGCCCTAGCTCCCTGACTTAGTTGGTGTAGGACCTTAGGCAAACTATTTAACTACTACAAGCCACAGCGTTCTGATCTGTTAAATGGGAATAAAAGTTACTACACCTTACAAGCTTTTGTGAGGATCCTATAAAGCTCCCAGCATTTAGTCACTTAATACATGGAAGATTCTACTATTGTTATTAGATATTTACCTAGGCTTAGCAATGTAACCAAATAGGTCCTCTTTTCTGTCAGTTGATAATGAACCAACATTTATTTACCTTGCACTTCTTACAACAAAGACCATCACTGCATTGAGAGTCTTGAGTTAAGGTGCATTTCTTACAACACTCTGCTCCTTCAAGGACACATTCCTAAGGAATAGAAACATTTGCATTACATCAGAAAATGGTGTAATTTTTCTGAAAGTACCAGAATATCTTCTAAAATAAATGTAACACCTCACAGTGATAAGCTTTCTTCCACAAATCTTATAAAATATCCAGGTATAACTCCTGCTCTGTATGTCTGTCCCAGTATGTGGACCTGGAATGGCCTGAATGACCCTGAAAAGAAAATCATCAAAACACCCAAAGACTTACTGTCGGGGTCCCACAGTCACACTCCTCTCCAGTTTCAATGAAGCCATTACCACACTCAGGAGGATCCAGAAGCTATGGGATGAAAACCAAAAAGCGAATCAAAATATAGACAGATTAATATCAAAGGCCTTACAAGAGTCCCTAAGTACCACACCTACGCTTCTGGCACGTCTGTCAGTTATCCAAAAATATATTTTTATTTCCCTAAACAGAAAGCATGACTTTCTATAACTTTAGAACTGGGAACTTTAGAACAGAAATGTCTAATATTGTTTCCATGTCAGATTTAATCATATTTACATATCTAACATAAATGCCATCAAAATAAAAGATGATCTACCCATTGACTAAAGCCGAGCCAGACTGAAACTGAATTTCCTTCAAAGAGAAAGCAAGAGATTTAGAGTCAGAATGTCTGGATTCAAATCTTGGCTCAGCTGCTTATCTTGGGCAAACGGCTTGCCATCTCAGAGCCCTCGAGTCTAGCATTTAAAACAGGAATAATGCCAGCTGTCCCTCTACACCACAAATGGTTGTGAGAGTCAAGTTCCATTAGTTCCATCACCTATGAAAAGCCCTTTATTAATTACATTTCCTTGTACAACAGAAAGTCACTGCACCAACAAGGAAAATGTCACAAAAAATACCACCAATATATATTTAATACAAAATGTAGACATAGTTCTGCATAGAACAGCAATAAGTCGTTTGCCCTGTACTAGAGTATATTTTAAGACTGTTTAATTTTTAACTCTCCATCAATATTATCTTTTCAGTATAGTTTACTTTATGATTATAGGTAAAATTAGGAAATATAATTGCTATATTCTAAATATATAATATTCATTAAAAAAATCAAAGTCTACATATTACAGAATGGAAGTGAATACACACCTACGCACACATGCTGCTTTCTGAAAACCAACTAAAAAGCAAGAATCATAAAAAAGAATCCCCACCTAATTTCAAATACTCTCTTCCAGACAATAAAAGAATCAATTCATCTCCAGATTTCATTTTCAGTTGAAAGGGATCATAACTAATGACACAGCTTTGAAAGATAAACCTAAAACTTATCCAGATGGAAAAATACTCTTACTCTCTTATCTCTGGGTTCAGAATAATAAATTATTTTCGTAAAAAAGACTTGATTTTTTTCCTTTATTACAGCAGGAATTTAGTTCAATGATCACTTCTAAAACTTTTGGAGTTAAAGTTATTTCAGTGCCATGTGACACATTTCCTAAATTTCCCTGAAGTGAATAGAGAATGAAAGCTGGTAAATGATTACAAAGGCGACGCCACACACCGCTTGGTACACAGAAACACGTCACAGTTGACCTAATTAACAAGGACAAAGGTTCTTCTTTAACATGCAGTTTTCCCAATGCAGGAGGAAGACCTGCTTTCTACTCAGTTGGTAATCAAAATATGTTCCGCAAGTTGCAAAAGCCTCTGACAAAGTCTAAGCACAGAAAGATTTTTTTCCTTCTCTTCTCTAAGCAAACTTGGTTTGCATGTTGAGAAGCACTTGCAATTTTAATCACACTGCTTATCCTGAAAGGCAGTGTAGGGAGTAATGAGGATAGATGCAGGGCCCTTTTTACTGGTATGAGTTATGATTAGGCATCCAAAGGGCGAGGGGGGAACTTAATAAGAAAACAAAAATAGAAAAATAAAATAAAAGCATTTTTGTAAGTTAACCCCAAATCATCATTTGGCCATATAAAAAGACAATAAAACTGTTTCAGAAAGCAAACACTTATTTCTACCTGTTTTCTATTCCCACCAGAAAAGGCCCAAATAATGCTCCAAGAATAACTTAACTTAGAAAATAGAAATACTTTTTGTAAATATAGAAAATGTGCATATAGCCAAGTTGAAAAGCTCTCTTTTATGAGACCCAATGCCTGCAAAATTTGTGTTTATTATACTTTAGAAAGAGTAATAACTGGTAACTCTAATCACACTTATTACCTTAGAAGGTTTGTTGAAAAGACAGGCACCACCACCACTATTCAAGAAGTCGTGGTACTCTTCAATGTTACACTGGGTGAACTTCTTAGGAAGGTAATAGCTACAAGACAGAGGAAAGTTAATAGCTGGGTACAGGTTTTGTCTACCTTGTTTGTACATTACTCTTAAAATTAAACATTTTAAAATTATACATTTTCTCAAAAATGCAAAATAAAGTCTATTTACCTACTTATGCATTCAATCCCTAAGAATTTTATTCAATCAGTATATTTCTAAATTCTTCATTTGATGACCACTGGTGATGATGGATGGGTTGTTCATTATTTGTGGGCATACTCAAAGAAAACACACATGCACACACACCCCTGGCATTTCAATCAAAGAATATAATAATTTGATTAGCCCTGGTCTAGCTTAATGGATTGAGTACAGGCCTGTGAACCAAAGGGTCACTGGTTTGATTCCCAGTTGGGGCACATGCTTGGGTTGTGGGCCAGGTCTCCAGTAGGGGGCATGCTAGAGGCAAGAACACATCAATGTTTCTCTCCCTCTCTTTCTATCTCCCTTCTCCTTCTCTAAAAACAAATAAATAAATATTTTTTTAAAAATAAAAGAATAATTTATTTAATAATAACTCTTTTCTAAATATTATAGTTGGGCTAGAATCCACACTGCAAAGCATTCTACAAAACAACAGACCAGTAGTCTACAAGTATGTCAAAGTCATGAAAGTCAAAGAAAGACCAAAACTGTTCCAGACTGAAGGAGGCTGAAAAGCCATGAAAACGTGCTGTCTGATTCTAAGATGACAGTTTTGAAAAACAGAGCCAATGGTGGATGAGGGCTAAGAATAAGGTAATTCTATTGGTTGTATCATGTTTCTGTAGGAGGATGTCCTTGCTTATAGAAATGCACATTAAGGTGTTTGGCAGTGATGTGGCATCAAGTTAGCAGCTTACAATTCAAGGACAAAAAGGTTCTTTGTTATTATTCTGGCAACTTTTTAAGTTTCAGGTTGTTTTATAATACAAAAAAATGTATACCAAGTAAAGGGTCAATAGAGAAAGAAAAGACTAGAGAGCAATTTGGCAATATGCGTTCAGATCTTCAAAATGAGAAATATCCTTACATCTAGTAATTCTACCTTTAGAAAGTTTTCTTAAGGAAATAATTAGCTATGTATACAAATATGTCTGAACAGATATTTATAGTGGCACAGTTTATAATAGCAGATAACATGAAAATAAACTAATGTGCAACAGTAAGAAAACTGTTACTTGTGATATACGAATAAAATAGAATACCATGCAGTTATTAATCATCATGGTGTCCAAGAATAAAGGCTCAGAAAAGTGACTATATTGTGTTAAGTAAAAAATGAATAAATAGTTATATATCCAACTAGGCTCAGATTTTATAAAAGAACAATAAAAATAGAAAGAGAAAAACTACTGGATTTAAACATTATTTTAACACTGTTTATTGTAACATTAACCATAGTTAACTTTGGATGGTAAGGGGAAAAAGTGATAAAAATTTTACTTTCTATATTTTTCAAAAATTGTTTTACATTGAACTTTTACAATAGTGACAATACAATTAAGATAATAAGTTTTTATGAAGTCTCTCCTACTGCACTGCAAGGACTATGTTCACTTATATCCTTCCTTCTTGCCAGCATCATGGTTAACACTTTATGAGTAAATTAATGGAATTTACAATGATGATGTACTCTAAACTCATTTTTCAAGTGTTTCATGTCACAGTCTCCAAAATAAAGTTGTCTTGTATTTAAATTTCCTGAACTAATTTAATTCCTTCACTTCTCTTTTCTAACATGCCATATATTCTATTCTTTATTTAAAATATTTCACACATATATTACTTCCTTTTTCTTTTTTTAATTGTATTAAAGTTGTTGAGGTAACACTGGTTAATAAAACTATACAGGTTGCAAGTATACAATTCTATAATACATCACTTATATATTGCACTGTGTGTTCACCACCCAAAGTCAAACCTCCTTCCATCACCATATATTTGACCCCTTCTTACCCTTCCCTTTTCTCCCCACCCTCCTTTCCCACTGGTATTCACTGTACTGTTGTCTGTGTCTAGGAGTTTTCGTTTTCTTATTTGTTCAAAATTTGTTGGGAAGGCTGCGTGGTCTAAGGTGCCAGAGTCAAGCTCCACTTCCCTTTTGTCAATGCTACACCCTAGCCATTTTTTTTTTTCATCACCAAATCTACTAATCCAGCCTACACATCTCTGCTAGAATTATAAAGCTTAAACAGGGCTTTCTTCAAGTTTCCTCTTTATTCTACTGGTCAAAACCTGAGATGGCTCCTACTGTCAAAGAAGAAAGTCACTAACTCTTGGTGCAGGACCCTCAGAAGTCAAAGCCTAGCTCCACCCCTGCCCTGCCAAGGGCCCTCCCCTCAGCCAGGCCAAGCCTCCTGCCCATTGCACAGCTGGGGGCTCAGTCTGCTCTCCAACAGTGACAGCAACTCTTCCCTCTCAGAGAAGGTCTTTTTATGTATGAACAGTTGAAATGTATAGTTCCTCTGCCTTCACTGTGCCACATCTGACTTCCTATAGTTACGGTCTGTGCTGTTAACCTTATCACATAATTCCTCTGACACACCACAGCCCTTCAAATACCAAAATTAGATATCATGTCTCTCCCTAGGCTCTGCCCCACACCTTCTCATGTGCAGAGTAACATATCTATTATATTCAATTCATTTTTAAAGTTTTAATTTTTACACATTTAAATAGGAAAGTATTCAATTCAAAAACAGTTTCCAACATTTAGCATTATAGAGGAACTTCAAAAAGTAGAATGGGAGAGAATGTACTCATAGGAAATACACATCTAGAATTAGTGCTGTTAGCCAATGTTTGGCACAAATCAAATTATATATTTGATCATGCCAGACAATGTTTTATGCAATGAGCTTGTGCATCTATTTGATGCAAAAAGAGTTCAAGGCAAAGAGTGAAACACATTTGAGTGTTGCCATTTGATGTTGCTGCACACTATGCTTAGTGCTAGGCATGTTATCTATAAAATTTTGTGTGTATAGTTAATCAGTATGCTGGCTGATGTGGCTCAAAGGATTAAGTGCCAGCCTGAAAACCAAAAGGTCACAGGTTCAATTCCAGTCAGGGCACGTGCATGGGGTGCGGGCCAGGTCCCCAGTTGGGGGTGTATGAGAGGAAACCAATTGATGTATCTCTCATATATCGATGGTTCTCTCCTTCTCTTTCTCTTCCCCTCTCTCTAAAATATAAGTTAATAAACAAAATTTAAAAAAAAACAAGAAATAGTTGATCAGAATAATCAAGTACAATATACTGAAGAACTTTTAAAAGATCCTCTAGCATAAAATTTAATTGTTGAAAAATTGCAACTACAGAAAAGTACCTTTATAATTTCCTCTTATTACTAAATAAGGCCAAAAAAAGTTTTCAATTACAGTTTACATTCAATATTATTTTATATTGGTTTCACGTGTGCAGCATAGTGATTAGAAAATCATATTACTATACAATGTGTTCCCTCTGATATTTCAAGTACATACCTGGCACCATACGTAGTTATTAGAATATTATTGACTATATTCCCTCAGCTGTACTTTACATCCCCACGACTGTTCTGTAACTACCAGTTTCTCAGTCCCTTCACCTTTTGCACTCAGTCCCCCAACTTACCTCCCCTCTGGCAACCATCAGTCTGTTCTCTGCATCTACAAGTCCATTTGTGTTTTGTTTCATTGTTTATTTTGGTTTTTAGATTGCACGTATAAGTGAAATCATATGGCATTTTTCTTTATCTCTCTGATCCAGACATTTTTAATAAATATTTTAAATATATGTTTGTACGTACATTCCTTCCATTTATTTTCTTTGTCATACATATCTTGGGAATTCAAATTTCAAATATAATCAATAAATATTTCTTGAAAATGAAGTCTACATGAAGTCTATTATGGTATGAGATCTGATAAAAATATAATTAATGTAAGATGTAATCCTCAACAATTTATAACTAGTTGGTGAAGGGAAGCATAACACAAGCAGCATTAAATTATAATACAGGAGTTAAAAACTGTAATAAGTCTCAAATGGCTAGAATGTGGTTAGATAAAGAAAAATGAGAACTCCAGATGAAAAGAATACATTAAAGAACTTGAAAGAGTCTGGAAATTTATGTACAATTATGGTGAGCAAATTTTTAAGAAGCTGAAAATCCATGTAGGATTATGGTTAGCAAATCAAAAAAAGCTGGAAACCCATGAATAATTATGGTTAGCAAACGGTCTTGAATAACAGTGGAAAATGAGACTGCAAATGAGGTTGAACAAAGATTATGGACAGCTAAACACTGGAGAAAGGAATTTGAACCTTATCTTTTAGACAACAGAGACTCAAAAAAGTTCTGAGCAAGAAAATGATAGGATTCATGTGTTTGACACAGGAATCTAGGTGCATTAAGAGGATAATGGAGAAATCGTGCCATACACACAGTCAGAGAACTAGAGCTACACATTATCAGCATGGATGAATCTCACAAACACATAGTTCATCATAATGAGCAAGTCACAGAAGAGGGCATATAGTGTGATGCCTTTCATATAAACTGAAATGCAAAGCAATGCTGTGTATTGCTTCAACAAAAAATGCATATATATATATATGCATTTTTATACAGTAAAAGTATAAAAAAAGAATCTGTGAATGATGTGAACCAAATTCAAGGTGGCAGTGACCTTGGCTGGGTCTGGGGCCAATGAGAGAGACCACACAAAAGGTATTTAACTATGTAGCTAGCATTTAATTTTTTTTTAATCTGGGTAATAGTTTATGTGTTCGCTCTTTCATTCTTTATACCTTTTCAACTATGGTGGAAGGGGAGTTCAGGAAGGGAGAGAGGGAGCCTGTAAGCTGGATGAATATCTGGAATGTTATTGAAATAAGAGCACAAGATGATACAAGTTTAAAGTAAGGTGGTAGTGATAACATTGGCAGAAAAGGAATGGTTGTAAAACTTATTTAGAAAGAATAAAAGGTTAGTGACTGATAGTGTGTGAAGGGTAGGACAGTATAAAAATAAAAACCTTTCTCAGGAGGGCAACTGAGCACAACTCTTCCCACTCCTTGCTCAGTGAGGCACCACTGGTAGCTTGAAATCACCATGGCAGTATTTGCACCATAGGCTTCTATATAGGGTGGAAGGCTGCTGGAAACCTGAGACGCTACAGCCCTGAGCTCTTTTCTTGTCTTTGTTTTTGAGAGTCAGCTTACCAGCACAACACTGTTTATAACCCATTTAATTAGAATTGAAGAAGATAAAAGAAATGGGAATTGATATGTAAGCCATCAAGAACAAAGTTGTTCATTTTCAGCCCACGTTCAAGGTTAAAAATGTCTTTGATCTTCTAGTTTAACTGACATCAATTGGCCTCATAAATAAGAAACTACTTTGAAAAATATTTTACATACAAAACCAGTGAGAAAATCTACTTCTGATTTTCTCTTAAATGCCTATGGTGAGGAGATTCCGTGCACTGGTTATTGCAATGTCATATTTCTAAGAAGACAGTAGCGCAGCAGAGAGGAAAAGTGAGTCATTTTCAAACACAAGTGGCTCACCCAGTGTCTCCCATTATGCATCCAGACCATGTGTCCTCACATCTACACTCGCCTAGGAGAAAATGAATACAAATGCCTTATTACAAAGTAAAAACAAGTGCATTAGAGCAGTTCCAATTTTCAAAAGTATATCTTCACTTTACTCTTCACATAACTTTAAAATAGGAATACCTGCTTTCTAATTTCCCTTCTATTTGAGGTTTCTATGCAATGTATGACAACAAAAATCTACTGACCTTCTCAAGATTATGTAATTGTTACTAATATCAAATCTTATGAATATTTTAACAAGTGAACATATTTTTAAAGAATTCATTTAAAATAAAATACAGTGAAATAGCAATGATATAATGACACACCACTACAGAGTCCTGGTTTCATAGGCCTTTATGAGAATCCTTAGAACTCCTCATTCATTTTTCAAAGCCTCTGCACCAAGGCTGCTGGTACAAGGCAGTATGGTGTACTGGTTAAGCAGAAGGTCTTCAGAATCAGAAATACCCAGGTTCAAAACTTGGGCTTGCCCTTTAACATAAACTTGTATAAAGTTCAGACATTAACCTTTTAAGATCTAGTCACCTTACCTGTAAAATGAGGCTAATAATGCACATCTTACAGGACTATCTAAGGATTAAATGAGAATCTAGATGCAGATAATAATAGCACTCAGTTATTTGAGTTATTAATATACAGAATCATGTTTATAATTTTTGTTATTAAAATCATAAAATAAATATGCTTATAGTCAACTCACACATAATACATGGTATTTGACTATTCCTGGTGAAGTAACTTGGGAAAATGTACTCCTCATAGATGCTAAAGCTAGCATATTTTACTGGGTCCACATTTTACTAAGCCCTTTATTAGTTCTACTCCTACCTGGCAAATTCTCTGTGGTCATACTAAGAGGTATTTCAAATAAACATTAATAAAACAGTATGCTTACCTATATGCCTAGGATTCTTTATTAACCCATTTAAAATTACCTACTTGAGCTTATTTTGTCCTTTTTTAGGTTAAATTCAACTACGATTTTATCATCATACAGCTTGAAGTGTTTATTACACATGCAGAAATTTTCATTTGTAATATAAATATATATTACCTTGTATTACTTTTAAAAAAATATTTGTGCTCTGGCTGTTTACCTTATATTATCATTCAAACTCTTTTTATCAAACCACTGAATTAAATAATCTCATTCTTCAAAATATTTGACAGACAGTCTATTGGAAATACAACCAAACCACATGCTTGCTTAAACTTACCACTTGCTAACTTTCTTTTGTCTGAGATAATACCAATATTATGGGCTAATGACTGGGCAAGAGTAACTGCCATTAAATCAGTTTTTCCAAACTAAAAAACAAAAACAAAAATAAAATACATGTAAATGCAAATTATTTTTTATTTAAGATGGGCCAGAAAATGACAACATATTTGAAAGTAAGTAATTTCTAAGCATTTTATTTAGCAGAAGTTAAACACATAATAGCTAGTACTCAACTGCTGAGCATTTGGGAAGAAGTAGTAAGAAATAAATCCATGTTGATTAATTCTTACAGAGAAAACTAGAAGCCAGGGAATCATCAACTTTTTGTTTTGGAAACTTAAATCTAATTCTGAGTCCAAAGTTACATTCTGGGACCAGTGACATTCTGGAAAACATAATACTTTCATACAATTAAACCAGTCTGTTAAATAATAATAAAATAATAATAAAAATGTGTAAATTATTTGAAACTTGTTCATCTTTGCATGTCCACTTAAAAGCCTGAAATTTCCCCAAACTAAGAACACGTGGCTTCAGAAAACGCACAGGATGTGGTGATAATCTTTGGCCCAAAGAAATTTGAGAAGACCTAGGGACATTTTTTAAAAAGTATATAGCCACCCAGAAACTCAAGTATTTCTCTTTTAGATCACTTCCGTCAGGTTTAGTGCCTTAGCGATAGAAGAAACCCTTTGAAAACACTGGTCTATTTTTTTTCTCCAAAAATTTGCCAAGTATCAAAGAAGGAAGAAAATTTCCAACTGGGTTGTTTGGTAGTAAGCCAAATAACTCAGGGAACTACCTAATTCTCTGGAAAAATCAATTAAAGTAATAAATAGGGCCTTACTGCCCATGGAGGTAAAAGTAAATATTTTCTCTATATAATCTGTAAATAGCTAAATCTGGAAATCATTCTAAGTAGAACATGGACAGAATTATCAGATATTATCTTCTATTATTTACCTATCCTGTCCTCTGGTCATTTATAGTAACCACATTGGTTGTTAATAAAACAACCTAACATCTGGAGAATGTGGAATACTGAGAAATTGTCTCTTAAATATTAGGAAAACATTTTCAGCCATCATACCACTTTGTACTGTATAGATGTTCACACCTACTTCATTCACGCCTCCTCCTTTCAGCAACGAGCAAATCCCACCAATATAAGCTGCCCCGCTCCGGCTACTCTCAAATTGACTTCCCCTTTCAGAAAAGGAAATGAAAAATACTTACTGCTCACAGTTCAAATATCATAACACCTCTCATTATTAATTTACCACACTTATTTTCTCAATGCACATAACATTTGTATATTATACATTCCTGAAGGAAGGAAGGAATAAGAAAATTGTTTACACACATAACCAAAGAAAAAGGTTTATAAGGGATATGTTTCCCATATAATCACCAAATACCTTCAATAGATCTATATCTATTAAAAAACAATTACTACTGTGATGTACTCTGAAAAAGATACAAAATCACTACTGTGGTATTTGTTAAAAATGCATAACTTGAGTTTCATAATGAGAAAATAGAAGTCCCATAATGAGGGATGTTCTATTCAGTAACTGGCCTATATTCTTCAAAAGGTGTTTGGTCCAAAATGAACAAAGAAAGGCTGAGGAGGCCTTTCAGACTAAAGAAGACTAAAGATACCTGACAGATAACGCAATGAGTGATCCTGCACTAGACCCTGGATTGGAGGCAGGAGAGAATTAGCCTCAAAATACAGTATTGGGACAATTGCTAAAATTTGAATATAGACTATAGATTAGATAAAGTACTATATCAATATTAAATTATCTGGTTTTAATAATTTACTATAGCTATATAAGGAAATGTCTTAAGTATTTAGTAGTAAAGGCCAGTAAGTAAACATCTCCAAGTTACTCTCAAATGATTTAGGAAAAAAACTGATAGATGGCTAAAAGGAAGAAAAGGAGGTAAGAAGGATAAAGAAAAGAAATCATAAAACAAATGGGTCAAAATATAAACGACTGATCAATCTGGGTCAAAGGCATAGGGTATTTCCTTGAAGCATTCTTGCAACTTTTCTGTAAGTTTGAAATTACATAAAAATAAAAAGTTACCTACAAAATATACTCTTTTACTTCCATTTATAACTTTCTTCAATAAAAGCTCTGACTTTGGATGTTAGGTTTTTAAAAGCTATTACATATAACTTGCTATTACATCAAATATGCTACTTACCAAAAAGAAAACCCTGTAAGAGTGAGAAAAATAAAAGACAAACTCTGGAAATATCACTAAGCTCTCAACTTAAATCAAAAACAAAGACAACATTAACATTTAAAAGACAGAAACCTTAAAGAGTATAATTAATCAGTTAAAATACCCTTTATGAGCATTAACAGTATTTTCACTCAGTAAATGCTTTGATTAAAACTCTTGAAAATTTAAATGAAACATACAGGGTCCAGCCGAAGTGAGGCTTACTTGAGTGTGGTTGGTAGGGCACATGAATGTCTCGCACAAGGTGGACAGCAATTTGAACAGTTCACCTAAAATGTCATATGGTGTGTTTGAGTGTGATATTGTTATGTTAAAGAATTACATGCTTATGATTTTGTGATAAAAGATTTTATAATAAAAAGGGGCATTATTTGTGCCAGACCCTGTACATGCTATACTAAACTCAAAATTAAACCTCTTATATTTTCATGTTAATTTCAAGCAAATTATACTTTAAAACTTTTTCCAAATGTATCTTCCCTGTCGAATCCTAATTGCATCACACAGTAGAAAGGATACATCTCAGGCACAAGTCATAGAGCATTCAATGTAGAACCAAAAAAAGTAAAAAATCATTACAAAAGTTACGTACGAAAAAAGGTGAACTGCATCACTTTTCTCTTTGATGAAATCCCTTCTGTATTTCATAAACTCACGCAGGGTGATCAGTGGATTTTCAGATATGGCAAACTTGTTGTCAGCTGCCCAGGTTTCCATGGCAACCAACACTATCCTCGTCTTAAGTTGGTCTTTGTATATCTAGTATATAAGAAAATGAACATACCAGCTATACATAGGGTAAAATCGAATGTTTTATGAACAGAACTATGAAGGTCCTTTTATAGAAACCCCTTGAGTTTTAGTTAATTTAAGAAATTTCACTTTTCAAGAAAGATAATTATTTTTCTAATTTACATTCATTTCCCTTGAGTAACAGAGAACTGACTCTCTACCAAGTAATACCCAAAGAAGAGCACTAGTTAGAAACAAAAAAACACATTTTGACCCTTATTCAAGGCTCTCCCTGGGTCCATCTCCTGGCACCTAAACAAAGAGTCATTACATACATTCTTGAGTTCCCCTAGCAAAAATGGAACAATGAAGACTCTCCAAGAAAATCATTTTTATACAGCCCAACTGTCCCTGACTAAGTTCGTGGAGAAGGTGCCAGCACTGCCTTGTCAGAGGAAGCTGTGGAAAGCAGGTGCAGGAGGATCATTGAGTTGCATCATTCCCACAGCACCAGGCACCCCCTGGAAGATGGCAACTCTTACACTGCTTTCCACTGGTGGAAGGACATGGTGAGTATCTGTTAGGGCCTAGGACCCAACCTTTTCTTTTCCAATGTGAAAAAAATACAGGAAGGAACATTAGGCATAAATCTGTGGCTAATTTTGGCCACTACCTTTTATCATCTTCCCAGCCAGATATGAGAGTCAGTAAAGTCAACTGCAAGGTGACCAGGGATTTATGGGATACCTTGGCTGAAGCATTAACTTAAGAGTAGTGAAAATATAAGACCATACTATGCATTCTATTAATAATCAAGAGATAAAATTCCTCTACAGCAACACTGAATTGGGTTGATACTTACTAAATCTGCCATGTTCACCACAGATTTCGCATACGTGTTGGTATGTACAACTGAAAGCCGATGTTTTTTAAACTGAAAGCAAAAAAAAAAGTAAAAGGCTTTCAAATAATCATCAGCAAATAATCACCTCAGCAGAGAAAACATGGTGTAATTGAAAGATCTCTAAAGTTTTCTATAAAAAAAATTGATAAATTGAAAGTCCTCTATATGCTGCATAGTCTGAGTAAAGGCTCTTTAAAATGTGAGGCCTCCATTTATTCATCTGTGAGATGAAGAAAAAAATACCCATTCCATCCATTTCACAAGTTTATTTCTATCACGAGATTGTTATTTGAAATGATTAAAGCATCTTAAAGTTATCTATGAATTACATGACATACAAATATAAGTACTGTCAAAGTCAAAAAAGTGAATGTGAATATTGCTAAAAGTAAAAATGTGCCTAAGTCCTGTAGGACTCAGTCATAAGGAAAAGAAAGCCGAGAGGATCACAAAGAGGTAGCTAATAGGCTAGATGTGGATCACATATATCTTTTGTTTGCCCTTAATGCTGTTTTAAAAATCATGTAACACCATGTAAAACCTGATTTTTGGCTTCATTTGAAATTAGCATCTTCATAAGGTAATAACTGGTAACTGCTGAGAAACAGCTGCTCCCATTAGACAGGGCTTGTGACTTCCCTTTTGCTGCAGGCCACACCCCTCCCTATTGTTTAATACCTGACTCACTTTATTTGTGTTAACTGCATAAAGATGTCTACAGACATCTGAATTTGTGATATCCCAAAATGTCCAAAATTATGTTTTTGAAACTTGTTTTATAAAAATCTCAGGGAACAGTAACATTCACTGAATTTGAAAAGGTAGAAAGATAAAACTTAGTCTTAGCCTGAACAAGAAAGAATCACTCAATCTTGATAGCACTGTCATTAAAAATAATTAAAATTAATATTATTTGTTTAATCATGTGTAAATAAATAACATTTTCCCTCAAGTAAATCACTCAAAGTAAATCTAAATATACTTTTATCTGAAATTAAGGAAAATCAAGCAGCATCCATCACTGAACACTTAATTCAATAGTCTGGTTACACAGAACAATTAGCATTATAACTCACTGCTATGCTGTGACTATAACCATATGATTACCATGTGCCCACGAATTGAATATACAACATGCTCATGAAATTAATATATACAACTGAATATAACAAAATAACTGACTCATCAAAACTGGAAGTTTTCGCTAGGTTCTTATCCTAATCTTTACTACTTGGCCATGTAAGTTTTTCCATATGGTTTACAACAAGACAGAAATAGAACGGTTGCTTTCACTTCGGTAGGATAAAATTGAACATTGCAAACTAAAGTGTCACATTACCGGTGTTTCACTTACTTTTTCGATATAAAGCGGGAGTTTTCATTTATTTTAAACCTTGCCATTTTAGTAAGAGGAGATATTAGGCCCTACATTAGTCAGGTTAAGAGCTGACATCAGAAGACTCAGAAATATTTTTGGAACCTTACCAAATACTGTTAGTTACTTTCACCTAAAGGGATTTCCTACTTGTAGGTTATTGGTTATATTTGCTAAATACATTTGGTTACACAAATACCTTGTCTAGGTGACAGGTTTGTGGGCCTCTTTCTTCTAAACATATTGCAGCACTGACCAGTTTAATCCAAGGTTCAAGCAAGTTCAAACAATGAAAAATTCAGCAAATCCTACCATGAGATGATCGTTCACAATCATCAGTTCAATGTATTTGGTTTCCTCCTCTACATTTCGAGGACGTCGCCGGAGCTGCAATATAGTAAAGGAAATGGCATCTAAATAGACCCTCCAAACTGGGCTGTGAAAAACTAAAAAATATGTTATACGTTAGATTCTGAGACTCTATTAATCTTATGGTAGAAAGTTTGTTCTCTTTCACAAACCTCGACCTACTTACCCTACCTCCTAGACCCTAGTAACCACTTTTCTACTCTGTTTCTATGAGTTTGACATTTTTTGTTTTTTTAGATTCCATTTATAAACGATACCATGCATTTTTATATTTTGGACCTAAGGCTAAGTAATATTGTGTTGTACATATACCACATTTTCTTGATCCATTTATCCATTGATGGACACATTAATAATACTGTATTATATAACTGAAATTTGCTAAGAAAGTAGAACTTCAATGCTCTCACCCCAAAGAAAGGTAAGTATGTGAGGTGACAGATGTGTTAACTCCATGGTGGAAATGTTTTCCAGTGTACATTTAAATATCTTACAGTTTTATTTTCAATTATACCTCCATAAAGCTGAAAAAACTTAAATAGGAAAAACTAAAAAATATGGAAAAATAAGCAAAACCATGCCCCCACTTATTCATTTAGTATTTATTTTTTCATTTTCATCAATTTACTTCGGATTGGAGTAAGTAAACCATTTACATGGTTCAGAAATTAAAGAACTATAAAAAGTAGAGCACAAAGGTCTTCCAGTCCCCTCTTCCCTTCTTCTTAGTCTTTACCCTTCCCCGACAGTGGGTACAGCACAGTCACAGGTTCCTTCCAGAAATACATATGCATATAAAATCAAAGAATATATATTTCATGTTGTACTTTCATTTATTTCACTCAGGCTATTTTAACAACAGATCTCAGAGATTATAATAAAATGGTTAATTTAAGCTCCTAAAACCCTCTGAGAGGTCTACAGGGAGTGGGATGATTGGCACTTTTATCCTTTAATCTCCAAATGTGGGATTGAGATGTGCCCCTTCCTCTGGGAGGGGTCAGGGGGTTCCCCAAACGACATGGGAGCTCTGATAGGACAGTTTTGAGAGTTCCCAGGCAGTCTTGGGTTATCTAGTGCAGCTCTATCTGTCTGTTCAACAACAAATTTTCTCCACCTTCAAAATCATGACCAATGAATGCTACTCACGAGAGTCACTAAGGCAGCCATAGCCCTTTGTTCTCTGCACTTAGTTCTCTGCAGTTAGTCTGTAACACAATCTTAACGAGATCTGCAAAATTAACTTTTTCCTTATGTCATGCTTTAATATACAGTTTTTCAATAAATCTGTTTGCTCACTTGCCCAAGGGTCATTCTTATGATGCGGGTATACAATCAAACTAAATCAATAATGAATGTGTATTTTGAGTACTGCATGTAAGATAAACTAAAAATTTTCTGCTGTGTGGATTTTGTTTATTGCTTACACATTCTAAAACTTTAAAAACTTTTTTTTCAAAATCCCTTACAAGTTGATAGAGAATAATAGACCATAATTTGGTCTATTTGGTAATAGACCATTATGGGGTTTGGTTCCTAAACCCCATAATTTGGGGTTTAGGAACCAAAAAAGTAACATACGCTGCATCAAATGACAAGACTCTCTTCAAAAATGGATATTTTTATGATGCTAGTCTCTGCTTTTTAATACAGAAGAAACCTAAGATTATACTTTCAGAGATCATTTCTATAGTTTGTTAACATGGAAGAGATCTGAGCCTTACCAGTTCATACAGTAGACTCTCTCACTACTTTCAACATTTTCTGAAGGTCAGAGAATTGCCAATACTAGCCACACAGTTCTACAACACTTCATCTCCCTGGGTCCACTGGCTTCTTAGAAAGAGAAATCAAGAATTTGCCTACTTAGCACATGACTGGATGTTGCAAATGTGTATGAAAACCATCAAAAGTTAGGTCAACAGAAAATTATCCTATTGTCTCAGTTATTAACACTTACTGTTTACCAACCCCTGACAAATGTCTTACCTAATACCCTCTCACAGAGACTTAATGTGGATTCAATTAATTGGCAGTCACCAAGTGTTTTTAAAGCACCATGACATATAGACCTGTGAATACATACCTGCCGTTTAGTCCTTTTTGGTCCTGGCTTCAAAATAAATTTTGGTGGAGTGATGCTTACTTGTTGGAATTCTAAAAGAAAATAAAAGTAAATTAAACTCAGTGAAATTTCTAGGTTTCTTTGATACAAGGCAAAGTTTTATTAGCCCTTCCTAGCATAAATTATATAAGTATACTTTGATTATTAATTAATTATAATTATTAATAAGTAATTATAAATTATAACCACATACCTATATATTACTTATTAATTTTATAATATAGAATGCTTCACTTAATGGTAATGCAGAATATTAATCAAAGCAATTGTATTCATATTAATGCTGAATAAATGTCATTAATTAATATAACTCAAAAAATCTCAAACATTACTCGTAAGTTATCCCAAAAGTTTTCCTCATATTTCTCCTATAAAACCATCATATTCTGTATTGGAATCTTTTAAATAGCCAACTTGACCTTCACATTTACTACTGACCTTCATTAAAGAATGACACACCAAGTGTTGGTGAAGATGTGTAGTAATTAACTCTCACACAGCAATGATAAGAGTGTAAAATGGTATAACCACTTTGAAAAAGGGTTCAGCAATTTCTTATAAAATAGTAGTTCTCAAAGTTTGATCCCTAGACTAATGGCATCAGCATTACCTGGGAACTTGTTGGAAATGCAAATTCTCATAACCCATCCAAGAGGTACTATATCAATAACCCCAGAAACTGGTGCAGCCACAATGAAAAACACTGTGGAGGTTCCTCAAAAAATTAGGAAGAGAATTACCATATACTCCAGCAATCCCACTACTGGGTATATAGCCACAGAAATTCAAATCAGGATCTCAAAGAGATGTCTGCACTCCCATTTCCACTGCAGCATTATTCATTCACGACAGCCAAGATACAGAAGCAACCTAACTGCCTATTGATGGATGAATAGATAAAGAAAATGTGGTATGTATCTAAATGGGATATTATTCAGCCTTAAAAAAAGAAAATCCTGCTGTTTGTGACATCATGGATGAACCTGGAGGACATAATGTTAAGAGAAATAAGGACACAGAAGGACAAATACTACATGATACCGCGTATATGAAGAACCTAAAACAGTCAACCTCACAGAAGCATAAAGTGGAATGGTGGGCACCAGGGGCTGGGGGATAGGGAAACAGAGAGCTATTTGTCAGAAGATGCAAAGTTTCATTTTACAAGATGAATAAGTCCTACAGGTATATGTACTGTACAGCAGTATAGTTAATGCCTGTAGTTAACAATGCTATAGTATACACTTGAAATTTTGCTAAGAGTGTAGATCTTATGTTCAGTGTTCCAATCACTAATAATAACAATAATAAAGAGAGAACAGGAGGAAACTTTTGGAGTTGATAAATATGTTTATGGCATAGATTATGATAATAACTTTATGAATGTATATTTATCCTCAAACCCATCAAGCTGTATACATTATAAATTTTTGTATGTCAACCACACCTCAATAAAGTGTTTTAAAGAAACGTCCAGCGATGGGGCCAGCAGTCTGTGCTTAACTGGCCTTCCGGGTGACTCGGATGCATGCTCAAGTTTGGAAACACTGTTATACAGGAAGCACACTTCTATAGCTACCTATGAGTCGGTAATTTCACTCCTGGGTATTTGACAGAAATATAAACAGGTGCCACAAAAAGATTTTTACAAGAATTTTCATAGTTATTTTATTAAGTATTCTCCAAAAATTGGAAACAACCCAAATGTCCATTAGCAAGATGAATAAAAAAATTGTGGTATATTCATATAGTAGAACATACTTAATAATTTAAAAGAATAAACTATTGCTACCCTGACAACATAAATCTCATAGGCATATGCTAAGCAAAAGAAGCAGGGCATAATACATGGTTCCATTTGCATGACGATCTATAACAGGCTAAGCTAATCCATGGCCAAAAAAAAAAAAAACCCATCAGAAAGGAGACTGCAGAACTGGGAGTGGGGGGCAATGACTGGGAACAGGCACAGCGGAAGTCCCTGGGGTCACAGTGCAGCTCTAGGGCTCCTGAAGGGAACACACATGTGTCAAGACTCATTGAACAGCACACAAGGTTTGTACATGTCATGGTAGGAATTTTTAAAAAGCTGAGTGTTATGGGGTCCATAGAAAATAAATAAGCTTTTTTCAAGATGTATTCCTAAGACAATAATCTTAAGATTCCTCATACAGGGTGGGGAAAAAGTAGGTTTACAGTTTTTCATATGGAAATAATACAATTAATAAATAATAATACAATAAAAAACTGTTTTGCATACTCACAACTGTAAACCTACTTTTACCCCACCCTGTATGAGTGAAATCATGTGGTATTTGTCTTTCTCAGTTTGACTTATTTTATTTAGCACAATACCCTCTAGGTCCAACCATGTTGTCACAAATGATAAAATTTCATTCATTTTTATGATTGAGTAATATTCCATTACACACACACACACACACACACACACACACACCATATCTTCTTTATCTAATCGTCTACTGATGAGCATTTAAGTTGCTTCTGTATCTTGGCTATTGTAAATAATGCTGCAGTGAACACAGGAATGCATATATCTTTTCAAATTGGTGTTTTGGATTTCTTAGTATAAATACCCAGGAGTGGAATTGCTAGGTCATGTGGTAGTTCTATTTTTAATTTTTTGAGGAGCCTCCATATAGTTTCCCATAGTCAGGTGCACCAATCTGCAAGCCCATCCACAGTGCACAAAGGTTCCCTTTTCTCCACATGCTGGCCAACACTAGCTGTTTGTTGATTTATTGACAATGGCCCCTCTCACAGGTGTGAGGTGGTATCTCATTGCAGTTTTAAGTTTCATCTCTCTGATGACTAGTGACATCAAGCATCTTTTCATATGACTACCAGCCATCTGTATATTCTCTTCAGAGAACTGTCTATTCAGGTCCTCTGCTCATTTTTTAATTGGATTGTTTGGTATGTTTTTTTGGTGTTAAGTTGTATGAGTTCTTTATAAATTTTGGATATTAACCCCTTATCAGATGTATATATTTGGTGCCTTCTCCTAATGGATAAGTTTTCTTTGCATTTCAGAGAAAAAACTGATGGTTGCCAGATGGGAAGGGGGCTGAGGGACTGGGTGAAAGTGGTGAAGGTATTAAGAAGTACAGATTGGTAGTTACAAAATAGTTATGGAGATATAAAGTACAGTATAGGGAATATAGTCAATAATACTGTAATAACTGTGTATGGTGCCAGGTGGGTGCTAAACTTATTGGTGGAGCACTTCATAAGTGATATAAATGTCTAACTACTTTGCTGTACAACTGAAACTAATATAACATTGATGCCAACTGTAAGTACCAATAAAAAAAGACAATGGTCCTAAGGGATGTGTTAAGTAAAACAAAAGGTTCTAGTATCAAACAAGTGCAGAGAACACCCAATCATATTATATCTTTGGGAAATACATAATGCATAGAACAACAAAGGTGCTGATAATCTGTAACCCACTGGAAGTGTATTAAAATCAGAATAAATAAGCTTACTTCTGAGCTTATTTTACAAAAATTGGAGTTCTGACATTTATTTCTCATTTATTTCTAACTTATCATGGTAAATCTACGCGTTCTGAAAGACAAATAACACTCTTGAAATTGACAGTGCCAACTTTTTTTTTTTAAGGAATATCAGCACATGGGGTTGACCATCTGACAAACAGAGCTCCCTGACCAGGCAACAGTACTAACTTCTAATGAAAAAAGAAAACCAGAAACTAATTGAGACAGATGTGAGTTTTCAAAGAACATGTTCAAAACTCATTTTAATAACTGCAGAATTGCCAAGTTACTTCCAAAATTTCTGTTGAAAGGAAGCCCTAAATAGAGATTTTTTTCAAATTATAAGACTGTATCATGGCAAGCCTGCAATAAAGTCCTTAGAGGGAACTATACTTATTACTTTAAATGTTAATTCACGTTGATTACTTCCAATAATATATATTAGATTAAGACTTTATTTTCTGACTGCTAGTCATGAAGTACTTTCTTTCCATAAGAGGGATTGTAAAAGTTACATAAGATACTGAAGGAACAGTCTAAGGTATCTCTGTCTGTGTGAAGAAGAGCATTCAATGCTCATTTGCAGACTTTTCAAAATAGCAAATTCTATAAAATAGGACCTTCTATCCCCTTGGCAGCAGGAGAGTAGGGGAGGGTTTTATTTCCCTACAGGGAAACTACAGAAGGTCAAGGAGTTACAGATTCACTTCAGAGAGGAAGGGACATTAGAAAACACATTTCATTTTCTGATGAGAAGACAATGTAAACTTTTAGGTCATTTTCCTAAGCAGTAGTTTAGGATTTGCTTTCAGTCTAATAATTTTTCCATTTCTTCTATGCCTCTCTCCCAGAGAACATTCTCTTTGCGCCTTCTTCCAAACCTCCCATCTCTTCCTAGCTGTGGGACCATGGAGGAGACAAGGCAGCTGAGCTTCATTTATAAAATGAAAACAATAATTCTATCTCACGGAGCTGTTGAAAAAACTAAAGTGAGTTTAAAATTTAGAATATGCTACAGCCATGATCAGGGCTCGCTAAGCAGGGGATGAAGCAGCTCCATGCCCGGTGTTGGGAGTGTGCCTGTCTTCAGCGGAGAACACACGTGAGCCCAGCTGAGCTAGTGCTCTGCATAGTCACTGCTCTACCACATGAGACCAAAGTATAAGGACTCTGCCCTATTGTCCTGTGAAGATTTGGGTGCAACTTTCAAATCAGCATGTATAAAATACATGGACCTACAAACTTACCTGAGAAGGAAAGACTGATTTCACAAATAGCACATAAAATAAAAATGCTAATCTGTAATAGTTCTTCCTTAAAATTCGGGGGCATAAAGAGATGAGGATAATGGCAAATGGGAAAATGATTAATTAAGAGTTCATCCTTATTTTTACAACTCAGTATTTCACCGAGAGTGAATTTTTATACATATTATCTGCACAGACCAATTTTTGCCCTAATGTTGTTTCTCCTATGGTACCTTACTTGAATCTATGATTTTAAAAAGCTTTCCTTCAATGCACTCAAGTTCTATCTTTCCAAACTCATCCACTGTAAGCATGTGGTTAGTCTGCATTTTATTCTCCCTCTTGATGACACTCAACTTTCTCCCTGAGACTGTCACAAGCAGTAGTGTGCTAATGATATTCCACCTATAGATTAGCTCTGAAGCATCAAAATGAATTATTTAAGTTGTCTTTTTTTTTTTAGTTAATACAAGAATATCATACCAGCTGGAAGATCATCCAAAGGAAATTCAAAGAGTCTGGATTTGTAAACCGAATGAAAACGGAAATCCGCCTGAAATAGCACAAACAACAGAGATTAAGCATGTACTTCCGACTACCTCCAGGCTCAGGCAATCATAGCTGGAGAAGCTGGAACTCTTAAAAGAATCATAACTTGGCTACACATTCTCCTGGGTTTAAAGGGGCAATGAGCCATTGCACAAAAGCTCCCACTCACGCCTGTATTCTCCCAGGACCAGAGCAGCATCCTATTAGAAGCGAATGCCTTCACAAACAGAGAACCCAGAGCCTACGGTAATGGAAAATAAATGAATGGGCCTATTCCCCCAAGGAGAAGTAAGACATCTGGGAAAATGGGTTAATGTTTTTTATGACTGGTTCCCTTCCATGGACTCCCTGCCCTGCTTTCAGAGTCAGAGAGCTCTGCCAGGTGCAGCCTGCAGAGCAAACACTTTTCCTCATACTGGGAGCATGCTGACTGGTACGGAAAGGCCCAAATGAACCTTACCACAAAATTCGAGTGTTACACAAAGTTCTGTGAAAATCCAACAGATAAAAAGTCATGTTTTGTCTAAAAAAAAATTGGTGAACATTCAAATAACTTCATCAGGCTTCATTAAATTACTAAAATTATAAGAGTATGTGAAAGTTGAGGCCATGTGGAAAATGTTAAGACAGAAATGAAAGAATTTGGATAGAGGCAGAGCCATTATGATGACAGTTCAGGGACACCAACCCATTTTATTAAGCTATCAGTGACAGGGTCAAGCAAAGTGACAGGAGAGCAGGCAGTGGGGACCCAGAAAATAATATTCAAATACGATAGTTTTCCAAACAATATTATGGTTAGGAAATGTTTCTTGAAATTATTTAAGTCTCCAAGCACTTGACCAATGCTCACGATATACAGAAGAATGTTTGTATATACAGAGCTGGAATGGAACTGGATTGTTTTGCTAATTTGTGGGAAATAAGAAAACCTAAATTTCTCTAAACTTCATCAGCACAGGGCTTTACAGATAAAGGGCAATAGACAAAAATCTCAAATCTAGAAAAGAAAAAGGTGGAAAATCACAAATCTGTGGTTTTGATCTCTTACAGAAAAAATGTTTGCATTTTTCCCCTCTAAACTCATAGGCTGAAGCCTCAACTCCCCATGTAATTGTATTTGCAGCTAGGGCCTGTGAAGAAATGATAGGGGTTGAAAGAGGTTATAAGGGTGGGGCCCTAATCCAACAGGCTTGTGCTGCTCTGAGAAGAGGAAGAAACAACAGAGCTCTCTCTTTCTCTCTGCCATCTGAGGACACAGCAAGAAGGCAGCTGTCTGCAACCTAAGGAGAAAGCCCTCAACCAAGACACTACTGACACCTTATTCTTGGACTTGCAGTCTCCAGAACTGTGAGAAAATAAATTTTTGTTGTTTAAGCCACCCAGAATTTTGTAATGATATCCTGACCAGACTAAGAGATTTATAGCACATGACGGTAGAGATAGAAATGAAAGCTTCAGAACACCTCTGAAGGAAAGTATTTTCAACTTAAAGGAGGAGTAAGAGATGGATTTAAAAAGAAAAAAAGAAATGTGTTTTTTATTTATTCAGTATTTAATTTAAATAATATATATATTTAAATAAAATAAAGCAGAGAAAAAAAAGGAGGGAATAAAGCACCTAGCATCACACACTTGCCACAGCCAACAGAAGGGGCACTTACGTGGGAGGTGTTGTTTTCTTCTGGCTCAATGAGATAGGTGTGGTTCCCATCATAGAACATCCCACTGCCAAGAACAAGAAAATAATTAGGCATGGCTATCAGCTCCTGCTTCAGAACCAAGTCATTTTAAAATCAGCAATAGCCAAAGTACCAGTTTACTTCTCAACACCCACTTCCCAGTCCCACCCATCACCAACACCACACCACAAATCACACACACACACCACATCACAAACCAGACACACACCACACATACATACATGCACCCACATATTATACACCACACACACTGACCACACCATGCATCACTCACATATATACAGAACCCCCGAGATACTACACGACACCAACACCACATACTACATACACACACCTCCCACTATATACACATACACTGCTAAGAGGGAAAGGTCCCACCCTCTAATTCCCCACAAAGCAGCAGGATCTCCTCACGTAGGCTGTTCCCCAGGCTCAGAGTTACCATTCTCCAATTGTGGGCCATTATTTCTCTCTCCAACATATGATTTTAAAACTTTAATATGCAAATAGTCAACTGGAGAGCTAGTAAAAATACAAAACTTTCAGGGCCTTTCTCAGATTTCTGGGCTGGTGCCCAGGAAGCTGCATTTTAAACAATCCTCAAGCGATTCTGATGCCCAATGTCAGGGGCTAACCTGAGAACTGCCTACCTGCCACACACGTGGAAGATGTCATAGTAACAAGAGCCAACACATTTCAACAACTTACCATGAACTAAACACACTCAATTAATCTTTCCCACAAATGTATGATGGAGGAACACTGACTATCTTCATTTTACAAGTAAGGAAACCAAAGCCCAAAGAGACAAAGTAACTTGCCCAAATTATAATATATCAGTGAGAGCAGAGGCAGGAATAGAGCAGGCAGATTGGTTCCTGAACTGCATATCTCTAGTCGGCTACCCACCTTCATTACCGTTCACTGAACAGACATTTAGAAAGCACACAGTGTGCACTGCTCTAGTGCTGGGGATACAGCACTGAACAAAACAGACTGCTTCTCTGCCCTCTGTGCTGATGTGCATTATAGGGAGGACAGAAAATATATGCAACCAACGACTAAATATATATGACATGGCGATAAATTCTAGGGAAGAAAATAAAGCTGGTAAAGGTCAATAACTGGTGCCAGAGGACTGAACATAGGGACCAGAGACAGAGGACTGTTAATTTACATAGAGGGTCAGAGCACAGCTCCACGAAGAAGATGGCATTTAAACGAAGACTGAAAGAAGTGATTTGGTGACCCATAATGATGTGCGTGCAGAGAGCATTTCAGAGTCGAGCCCTAAGGTGAGAGAATCTAGGTGTGTTCCAGGAACACCGAGGACGCGTGGGCTGGAGCAGAGTGGGTGAGGGAGGAGAGCTGTAACATGAGATCAGAGTAACAAGTCAGCTCTAGGGCCTCTGTTTTACTCTGAGAGAGATGGAGAGCCACCACAAGGTTCTAAGCAGAGGGGAAACACAATCTCCCTCAAATTTTAGAAGAACTCCCCCAATGGTAATGGTATTTCCACTGCTACCACCTAAGTGACCATCTTCTTTCCCCATCTAATCCTAGTGAAAGAAGATGGCTGCTTCGGTGATAATAATGAAAATAGTAAGAACTGGTGAAATTCTGGCTATTTTTCCAAAGTAGAACCAACGAGATTTGTTCATGATTTCAAATGATACACGGAGGAAAGAGTTGTGTCAGTGAGGACTCCAGGTTTTGACCTGAGCCACTGGAAAAATGGAGTTGACATTTTAAAAGGTGAAAACAGCTGCAGGAAGGACAGAACAGGGTTGGCACAAGGAAGCCAGATGCAGGGGGCAGAGTGTAAATCTAACATACCACATTGTTCCTTATGACACTGAACAGAGTTCAGGGTTGGACTTCGTGTGCTGGAGATGACTATCGGCCAATGGAGAAATCCTCTGGAGAGCATTCTGAGCTACAGAGGGCCTCAGTTCCCACTCAGAGAGATCCGGATAGTCACTGCTTTCAGTGGAACATGGCCCTTCTACTGAGACCAAGCCCCTTATGACACTAAAGGAATGTGTCATGTCATTCGGGAAGGGGGAAAGCTGTAATCTTCTGCCGTCATTTTTCAGTGTTAGGTGGAAATGACTGCAAGACATGCAAGCTGTTAAACAAGGAACAGTATGTGTCTTTCACTGATGGCTTAGTGAAATCAGTTGGTTTCCCTGAGCTGTCATCATAATGGCCTCCAACTCTGCCTCTATCCAAATTCTTTCATTCATGCCTTAACATCTTCCACATGTTCTCAATGTTCACATACCCTTAGAACTGCCATTCTCACATCTGTAAGGTTTTCAAACAAGAGTGCGCTTTCTGAATTTGGATGACATAGCATTTGGAGTTTAAAGCTAAACAGATGCAGTTTGTAATCTACAGGACAAATAATGCCCCCTTTTTTATTATAAAATGTTTTATTACAAAACATAAGCATATAATTTTGTAACATAACAATATCACACTCAAGCATACCATATGACATTTTAGGAGAAATGTTCAAATTAAAACTATAAATTATTACACCCATATTATTACCCTACCAACTACACTTCAAGCAGGTGTTACTTCTTCAGGACCCTGTATTACTGGCAATACACGCCTAAGAAATCAGTGGGGAAAGTCTTTTAAAAACAGTAGACCAAATATGGCAGTAACATTCTTTCTGCTCCTGTTAAGACCAGGCTGGGCCCATCAAGAAAGTTATATAAATCCATTCCCTTCACCAAAGTCCACACAGTAACACTAATTAAGTTGCAGGCAGTTTGTTTTGTTTAACTAGTACTAGGCGTTATTTCCTCTTGCATTAGGTTAATGTCCAGTGTGAAGATCAATTACTTTTACCGGGTTTCAATATCATGATATACAGTGTAAAGAACGCAGATTCTGTCACCATCTATTTCTGTAAGATTCTGGTTCCTGATATGACACATGCCATCACAATTTCTGTAACAATTAAAAGGCCTATGTGCTTTGTTTGCCTTATTTGAGGACTGATACCTTTTTGTTATATTTATATAAATTCCAATAAGTATATTGAGATAATAACATGGAAAATGCTTGATAAAAACCTGCAGCTAGGACCAAGTCATTGTAAGTCAATTGAACAAAGATTTTGAAAGGCTTATCACAGTGTTTTTAAAGAAAAGAAACATTCTTACAAATTGCCACAAGAGGGCAATAAAATTACATTTGATTTCATTCTTTAAAATTCCTATAGTTAACAGGATTATGTCTTCATGTCAAACATACCAAGACCAAAATATTAACCATTAGTCCTTTGAATTTGGAAAAAAAAGTTCTCTTTCAGATTTTTTATGTAGGAGATATAAATCTGATTATTTTCCCTTTGTGTTCAACTGAATTAAATACATTAAGGAAAACTGAAAATCTTAGTATGTATTTGGTAATAGATAAAAGATAAATTATGTACACTATAACATATCTCATATCTAAATCATTGAGATTAAGACAAAATAAATTATTTACCATTCAGTAATATCAACCCAAAATATTTCTATCAGTAATCTCTGTTCAGAATGTAAAATTAAGACAAGAAGCAATAATAAAAATGAAAAGGAACTAGAGTAAGTTTTTGCAACATGCTCATAAAAGTGGAAGAACACCCAAACATGATTCTACACAATCCTGACCATGTTCCAAGACACACAGTGGGTTTTCTGGTTGTTTTGATGTAGTTTTAAGTGAAAATTTTTCTAAAGGTAAAAGTAAATTTTACTTATTTAAAACAACTAAAGTAGACTCTAAGTTCCACCCCTGACCTAGTCACGAAAATTCCCTTAAACTTCCTTTTCCATCCTCCTTCACATGACTATGGAGGCTTAGCAGCAAGCAACGGTCTTAGCTTCTCAGGTCCAGCAGAGCCCTTAGAAGGCAGCAGTAACTTCTTTCCGATTGTCCCAATATTGTGTCCATTCAAAAAACTGAGAGGCAAACTGGAATAAGCACCAGGCAAGATGCTTAAAAAGTGACTTTGGATTGAGATTTTAAGAGGAAGGGAGAAAAGGGAAAGACTCTCATTTTTATACCACTCTCCTACTAGACACATGCACCATCATAGATGTCGACAGGCCCGGTGCACTAGTGCTAGCTGACAGCTGTGCTCACCTGGAAATCAGAACAAATTGGCCGCTGAAGGCAACTTCAACATTTCTTTTCCTGGATATGACCCAAGTCTTTCAGATATTAGGTGTGGATTCCTGATTGTTAAAAGTGTCTCTCTATTCAAATAATTTATTTAAAATAAGGAGACCAATCAGAATGGCCATCATAAACAAAGCAACAAAGAACAAGTGTTGGAGAGGATATGGAGAAAAGGGATCCCTAGGGCAACTGTTGGTGGGAATGCAGGCTGGTACAACTACTATGGAAAACAGTCTGGAATTTCCTCAGAAAACTAAAAATGGATCTGCCTTTTGACCCAGCAATTCCACTGCTGGGATTATACCCTAAGAACCCTGAAATACCAATCCAAAAGAACCTATGCACCCCAATGTTCATAGCAGCACAATTTACAATAGCCAAGTGCTGGAAGCAACCTAGGTGCCCACCAGTAAATGAGTGGATCCAAAACCTATGGTACATTTACACAATGGAATTCTATGCAGCAGAAAGAAAGAAGGAGCTTCTACCTTTTACAACAGCATGGATGGGACTAGAAAGCTTTATGCTAAGCAAAATAAGCCAGGCAGTGAAAGACAAATACCATATGATCTCACCTTCAACAGGAACCTAATCAACAAAACAAACAAACAAGCAAAATATAACCAAAGACACTGAAATTGAGAACAGGCTGACAGTGACCAGGGGGGAGAGGGGAGGGAATTTCAGGGAGAAAAGGTAAAGGTTTACAGGAACAAGTATAAAGGACACATGGACAAGGGGGGGCAGGTGGAAACAGGAGGGAGGTGGGGAGGGCGGGGGGTGGGCTGGGATGGGGGAAAAGGCAGAAAACTGTACTTGAACACCAATTAAAATAAAATTTAAAAAATAAAAATAAAATAAAATAAGGAAAACAGTCTTTTACAGCAAATAAGCCAAGAGAAGTCCTCCAGTGTATCAGGCACATGGCCTCCTATTTCTGGCGGTTTAGCTGATCCTCACCCTCCTGCCTTTCCTCTCACACACTTGCTGCCAGGGCTTGACCACAGGTACCATTTAGGCAGACCAGCTACATTTTCTGGCCTTTCCCACTAGATCTCTTTCCATGATTTCTTTAAGACCTGTCAATCTAACCCCTCTCTCGGAAGATTCCATCAAACCTGGTTCTGAGCTCATGCCACCTTCCTCAGGGGCGTTTCCCTGCAGCCCTCCAGCACCGCCTCACCCATCAGTGCCCACTCTCGTTGCATTTCTCTCCATTTTTTTCTCCCTTAAAGAAAACAAATATACCTATCATATTCCATAGTTGGAAGCTGAGCTAGATTTAGCTCCCCACCTCCCACCCCACCCCAGACTGAGCTCCTAGGGGCAGAGATCATGTCCTAACCACCTAAGTATTCCTACTGGCCAGCACACAGCAGACACTCAGTAACTGCTAGGTAGATGAAAAACCTACATCTCTAACTTGGTAATAGACAGGAAGTATTATAAATTCACCAAACAAAAATTTAACATAACTGAATTAAAGTATTGGCCTGTTCTGTGTCAAAAAAAAAAATAAAACAAATCAGAAGGAACTGAGATGATTTAGCTTCAGTAGAGTGCTGAGGAAAGACTGTGGCTTTGAAAGGGGTTACAAAACAAATGCAAGACGGCCACCTGTGCATCACCATTACCGACAGGATGGAGGAAGTAGATGTATTCCCATGCTAAACATCAGCTAACATTCTTTGATAATGAAGGTTATGAGAAAGGAAGCAAGACCCCCACCCTCCCCCAGGAAGGATGAACTTCAATCCTTGGAGACTTCTGAGAACAGAAGAACCCTCCCACGGGTTGCAGTGGGTTAGGTGGGGACTTTAGCTGAAAAAGGAGCTGGAACACATGAGCTCTCAAGGTCACTTGCAGTCTATTCTCTTTGCACAAGGAGTCAAGAGTTTCTTTCCATTTGCTAAAATTTCTATTATTCTATAAAAATATAAAAACTAACATCAAGGAGGAGTAAAAGTAGAACTGCTATCTGGAGGGTAAACATCCATAGAAACAGCCCCAAATTACCCAAACCACTCTGGTCTCAACTTGGATGAATCTAGAAAAATGCTTCAAACACCACTATCAGGTATCATATTGTAATTCCAAAGCCCTGGGTTTCTGCAGCTCTAAGTTTAAAACATGTTTGGTTTATAAACCACAGAAAAGGTCAGATCCATCACTGATTTCAAGTTATTTCTCAGCATAAAATAGGGATTTTGATTACAATGAGTTACAAATAAAGAAAATAAGTGATTGAAAGAATGGATGGTACAAAAAAAATACTGTGGACACTTACTGAAGTCCGTGGCATGTTGACAATGCAACAAACGAGGCAGGGTTTCCTCGGATGTGGCCCTGGTAGTAACAGTGTTCTCCTCCCTGAAAACAGAATAGAGAACATAAGCTGTTGCCCTCACAGGGTGAATCTGCCATGTCACTGCACAGGTTTCTGCCACACCGCACCTCCATATGTAAAGCTCTGGACAATGTTTCATTATTCAGATTAGGATTATCAAGCCATTTCTAACAGAATTACTCATAAAAACTCCTAGTGAGCTGACTCAAAGCAAGACAGGGAAATAAAAGTTGACTTAACTCTCTGTTTATGGAGGTGATGAGAGAAGGAACAAAGAAACAAGTACTAAAATACACACGCAGCTATTGCACCAGGATAAATTTAATCATCTGCTTCTCCAGTCATCAGAAATTCAGCCTGCAGCAGCAGCAAGATGATACTTTCCCATAAAGTTCAGTAACAATGCACACAAATCACTCAAGAGTCACTAAATTAAACTGATGGAGGAGAATGGCTATTTTTACAATGTTTCTATCCAAACTTGACAAGTTTATACTGTTCTTTTCTCCCATCAGGAATGGCTTTACTGGTAAGCAGTCTAGGGTAGGGCTGGAAATTGAGAAGTTTCTTCCTGCAGCCAGTTACATTAACCAAATTCCACCAACTCATTTCCTCGGATTAAATGTTCCTGGAAAATAGAAACGTAAATCCTCTGCCATCTCAGGGTGGTGCCTTCAGTTTTAAATACTTGCTACTCATTGTGTGGTCTAAAAACCAGTAGCACTTACATCACTGGGAGCATGTCAGTAACGCAGAGCCTCAGGCCCTACTCCTGATGGCCTGTATCAGAATTGCATTTTCACAAGGTCCCTACCAAGGTGATTGATTCACATGCGCATTAAAGTTTAAGAAGCCCTGCCTTAAATGACCTTTTCTACCCTCCCCCCATCCATCTCCAATGTCTTCAGAAACTGAAAGCTTTTAATTAAACTGACCCATTGAGATATGAAAGAATGAAATAGGACAGACTAATAGAATGGGTGGCTTAAAGGAGCAAATGTTAACTACTTCACAGTCTGGCTTCAGGACTAACCCCACTTAAAATATTCCCTGCTTGACAAATGGAAGGGAGGGAGAAGGAGGGCAGGAGGGTATAACAAGGCTAAAGACATCTTCTTCCCGGGCAATCCAAGGAAGGCAGCCAGGCCTGAGACTGCTGCTCCTAATGAGATAACCCCACAAGACGGACTGAACCTCAGCTTTGATGAGAGGTAGAGAGCAGGTAAAATGGTACACACAGTGTAACCCCTGACCCTCTGACACTTCCAGTTCCCAAGGCAACCACTGAGCACCACAGACCGAGGAGTGTGCTTGGATTTGATGGAGGATAAAATAGGGTGGTATTTCCCATGTGGGTCTGACAGGGGTGGAACTCAGAAGGCTTAAGGACAGAAACAAAGCTGGGTACTGACTTCCTTTGTAGGGTTGGTGGGGTGTAGCTGTTAACAGTGTGAACTACTGGCTCCTTCACTTACTAGCTGTGCAATCTCAAGCAAATTACAAAACCTTCCTCTGTCATCTGTTGAATGGGGGTAATACTCTCAGAGAGTTGGTTGTTCAGATGATTAAAAAGCTAATATGCATAGGGGTTTAGAATAATGCTTGTTACTTGGTATACACTCAATAAATGTTTGCTGCTGTTATAATTACTGTATGTCAGGTATTGTCCTACTCAATTTACATACATAATCACTTTCAGTAATCATATCAATCCCACAATACTATTATCTCTATTCTACATTGGAGGTCACAATCTGTGAGCCAAGGTTGCTGCCTGGGAAGTTGCTAGTGCCATTGTCCCTACACTACTTATGAGTTGGATATAAAACCTGTCAGTTATGTCATGCAAATCTAAGCTTTTCCCTAGACCGATTTTTTAAAATTTATTTTTGAGTGGGGCTGGGGATAAATTTAACAGAATTTTAAATATCTTGTTGGAGCTATTGGACTGGTAAATTATCCATAAGATTAGATTCTAACTGATTGACAGGTCTTTACATTTCAAACAACTTTCACTTCTTGGACACAATCTAATTGTATCATAAATTAACACTCGAGCTTTCAATTGGCCAGACACAAAAGACCTACAGTCAACGATGTGACCTGAACAGAGAGAGACTCTTATCTAAAAGCATAGGTCTAAACATAGAGTAAATAAAAAGACAATAGAGACAAGGAGAAATAGAAACAAAGAAGATAATCACAATAATTACGATATCAGATTAGGGAATAATGGAAGTTGACAAGTCACTGTATGTGGGGAAAATATGTCAGAGGAAAAGGCATATAAAAAAATGTTATATATATAAAAAAAGGCATATAAAAATACTTTTTAATTTATAAAACATTCTTTAAGATAACAAATTCTTTAAGATAACAAATTAGAGCCCTGGCTGGCGTAGCTCAGTGGATTGAGCGCGGGCTGGGAACCAAAGTGTCCCAGGTTCGATTCCCAGCCAGGGTACATTCCTGGGTTGCAGGCCATAACCCCCAGCAACCGCACATTGATGTGTCTCTCTCTCTCTCTCTCTCTCTCTCTCCCCCCCTCTCCTTTCCCTCCCTAAAAATAAATAAATAAAATCTTAAAAAAAAAAAGATAACAAATTAGGAAATACATTATATTAAATCATAACCAGGACCAAAAAATTCATGCTTTAAAGCAATATTCCATAGATGTAGGGCTAAAGAGATGATTAAATAATGGAAAATAATCTTTCACTAATTTCTAATCCTGAAAAATAGGAGTCAATCCAAAAACAGCATATGATCAGAACCCATCTGCCCAAAAGCCTAATGTTCATGGCAAATGAAGAGCTCAACATGGTTGGTTCATTATCAAGTGTTTCCATGACACCTCAATAGAAGCATAAACACCAAGGGGGAAAAAAATCCTCAATTTGGGCTACTATAACACAAATTTTCAGGCTGTCATGTACCAGGAGTATATGTAATTTTTCTAAATAATGGTGGAAATTAATTTTTCCAAATAAATGGTGAATTTTTTTCAGGGATTATCTATCACAAATCAATAGTTGCTAGAACTAAGAACCAAACTAATGCAGCATTTCTAACATGCCTGAAAAAGTTTTGGTGCAAGATAAAGGCTTTAATGTTAAACAGCTTCTTTAATTATATAAATGTATTTTTAAATCATTGAATAAATTTTTAAAATTTATTTATTTTTTACAATTATTTGTATCTATTATTCTAAAAATAATAAATACTTATGGAAAAAAATTCTAAGAATTCACAAGGTACATAGTTCAGAAGATTAAAAATATCCCCTTCACACACACTGCCTAGGTGGCGACTGCATCCTTAAAGGTATGCATTTTTGACAGATTTTATGTGCCACATCAGGAATAGTCTATGCATATTTAAGTAAACGTGTATATACGTAAATACACAGATATCCTTTCCAAAACACAAATGGATTTACACTATGCATACTGTTCTGCCCCTTATTTTTTTTCCTGAAGGTAATCTTGAGATCCTTCTATATCAATACCTCATTCTTTTGATAATGGTATAATATTTCACTATGGGAGAGAACAATAATTCATTTAAATAGTCCTGTACTAAAGGAAATTTGGATTATCTCTATTTTTTGGCTGTCATAAATAATACTGCAACAAAGATCCTTTCACGTACTTTTGTGTACTTCTGTCAGTATATATGTAAGATAGATTTCTACATGTGGACCTGGTAGGTCAAAGAATATGTGCATTGAAATTTTAATAGGTATTTTAAGGGACAAATGTAATTACATTTCTTTGCACTTATAACTATTTTAAAAGATGTACATTTGAAAATAATAACTGAAAGATCTACATTTGAAAAGATGTATATTTAAAATTGTGTATTTCTATTCTATAGACTACTACTTAAGCCAACTTTCCCAAGTCTTATCAATTATTATAAAGGTTCTCTGCATGTTCATATGACTTTCTTGAGGAACCAATGCTTTATGCAAGTAGTTATTATATGTAATCACCTGAGACAGATATTGTGGGGAAAATAGAAAAGCCAGCACATCCTATTAGAGTTCAGCTCTTTATCTGATTGCCAGTCACGGCTTTTCCCTTACTGTCTCTTTTGTTCCAGAAATAAATCCATTGTCCTTGAACCTGTCTTCATACTACTTGATTTCATAAAATAGTTTTAACAGTACAGATGTTTATTTTTAGCTAATTAGATAGTTATTGTTAAAAAACTTACCCACCTCTATAAAAATGAACCATATAACAATGAGAGTTTGGATGTCTATTGGTTTCTCTTCCCAGTGGACAAAAAAGCTTATTGCAATTTTTATTCTGGGAAATCAAAATAATCACTTACTTGCAAAAGTCAAAAGACAAACCCTACTTTTATTAAACAGCCAGAAAGATCTCAAAAAAAAAAAAACCAAACAACACCACAATTTATTATTAGTGTGATAAATGATAGCACAAAGGAAGTTACCTAGACTGGGTTATAAAACTATGAAAATCCAATAAGGGGAACCAATGGGAGCAGAGCAGCGAGGCCACAGTGGTCTGAGCTCCTCTCAGACCCTCAAAGGAAACGACAACTTTATTGGCTCCAAGATGGGCCAAGGCCACCTCCTCCAAAGAGACTCCTCAGGTTCCTTCCTCCTGATAAAGTACTTCTCACTAATCCCTCCTTTGAATTTTCATATGTGTATTTTTTAAAACCTGTGTTACCTCTCTTCACGCATACATCCCCATTTCTGTTTTGTCCCCCGCAAGACTGTGGTTTCATTTCAGGGAAGCATGTGTGCCTATGTTTATATTCCCAAGAGTGCTATTAGAGAGAAAACCTCCCTGCATCTCAGTTTCCTCATCAATAAAATGGGGGTAATATCTACCCACGCTGCTTCACGAAAGTATGCAGGGGATTCTGTGAGATGACAAAGTAAGGTCCTGGAAACTACTATAAAAACAGGTCAGAGGTGTAGTGAGGAAACGGTTACTCAATGAGAGATTCTGTTATGTCCCTTAAGGAAGGATTCTCATCATTTATT